TGTTTTATTTTGTTTGTGTATATTTGCTGATAGTTTGTAAGTCACCAGAGTAACTGTCTATGAGTAATGATATGATAAACTCAACTTGATAGTAATTTTTTTCTGTGCAATTTGCCTTTTTTAATACATAGGGTCTTTTTTTTTCCTGCATTATCAATGTAAATAGATGGTAAAATGTTTCCTATTATATATACAATTTTCTTTTCTTATCTTTTTTCTCCTTATTGTTTTGTGATTTTTCTTGTGTTTCTAGAGACCTTTTCTGCCCTTAAAATAGCAGAAGAGAAATTTTTATCTGTCTCAAAATCACAAATCTTAATGCTAAAGTTGCAGTTGCTTCATGAGCATGCTTTACATCGGTAAGTGGCCTAGTTCATTAGTTGTATTAAGAATCTTTAAATCTGTTGGTAGCTGAGATTTAAGCATGAATAATAACTTAATTAAGCATCATATAGTGGACAATTAAAGCAAGCCCAGAAACTGTGTGATGAACTTGGTGTTTTGGTATCACAAGTAACGGGTGTAGATATGGAGTTAAAGACAGAAGCAAGCCTTCGCCATGCTCGTACATTACTTGCTGCAAATCAATTTCGAGAGGTTTGTTCCTTCTTCTTCTATGTAAAAAAATTAACTTTATACCAAAAGTTAATCACATGCTATTCACAGTTTGATTCTTAATTGTGTAATGCATATGTAGTAGTGTTTTTTCATAGGAAACAAGGGATCATACTTTTTAAATATTTATGTTTTAAAATAGTCTTTGTAGTATATTATTTGACAATAAGGCTTTATGAGGCTTGAACTGGGACTATTATCTGAATCTAAGGTCTGAGCAAAACTTATTTACTGAATATAGTCCTTTACTTACGTGGCATTCATGTATTCCAATATTATTGAACCTTGATTGTTGTGTATCAAAGTAGAGTTTGTGGAGATCTTAGCTGCTTAGCCTAATAATGAGAAGAAAAAAAAAGATGAAATCAATCATTGTTAACTAGTGCTAATAGGAGAGCAATAAAAAAATTATTGTTTTTTAAATCTATATAGACTGTGTTTAGTTTTCATATAATGATTTTGTTTTTTCCAGGCAGCTTCTGTGGCACACTCCTTATTCTGCACGTGCTACAAATACAATCTTCAAGTTGAGAATGCTTCAGTCCTCCTTTTACTTGCTGAGATTCACAAAGTATGTTATCACATTTTCTGACGCACTTGGTAGTTCATGTAGCTTGGATCATCAAGCTACCTTTTTTTTGTTTTAATAGTAATAAGTCTGGATTAAGCTACTTTTTTTTGTTTTAACAATAAAAAGTCTGGATCAAGCTATTTTTGTTGTTGTTAGCTTTCTTTCGGATAACTTGTTATATAATTTCATATTGCTGATGAGTTATAATTTATTGTCAAAAGACATCTCTCCAATTCATCATGGAGAAAATAAAAATTGATTACTAATCAGAAATAGTACAGTCTAGGCCAGCCTCTTCAAGATGAAAGGGAAATCAGTTGGAAAAATTTGAAAATGAAAAGAAGAATAAGGTTGTAAGAGATTTAGAAGGCACAGTTTTGTGTGGATAATGTTTTTCTATGCCTGCATATAAGCATTCATCAGCATCACTTTTTATTCAAGGAAAATATTTGTCATGAGTTATGGCTGTGAATATTTTTATTCTATTTTGATTTAACTCTTTGATGATCATTTTTTTTTTCTTTTCTTTTTGATGCGTAATCTATTAATTCATTGTAATTACTTACAGTATACTACACTGTTCCAGCCTATCAACTTTCATATTATTGTGTGTTCTCTACTGTTTGTTTATTCTTAAAGCTTTCGTTTATTTGTTTCTATCAGAAATCAGGCAATGCGGTTCTAGGTCTTCCATATGCTTTAGCTAGCCTCTCATTTTGCCTATCATTTAACTTGGACCTTCTAAAAGCCTCAGCTACTCTTACTCTAGCTGAGCTATGGCTCTCTCTTGGATCAAGCCACGCAACAAGGGCTCTAAACCTAATTCATGGAGCTTTCCCAATGATTCTTGGTCATGGTGGTTTGGAACTCCGCTCACGTGCCTATATTGTTGAAGCAAAATGCTATCTGTGTGATTCAAACTTCAACGGTATGTCACTGCAGAGGGACGGTGTTAAGACTGTTCAAGTTTGTTGTTGTCTACATATATGTAAACACATGTTTTTGCAAGCATTTTCATACCAATAGCTGAAATTCTGATTCTGCAAATGATAATAACCAAAGAGGGAGAAAATTATGCAAAAACTCCATAACATGGTTTGTCAAATGTATTGAATGCTGAAATTGTTGCCAGACAGTTTGGATAAATGTTGAAAAGGTCCAATCTCTGACTTTTTTCTTATAAGAAGCTTTTTAAATAATGTTGTGTTTGTGATTATAATTTTCTCCAAGTTTCCCCTTATTTTCCCCCCCGCAGGAAAGTTTTATTTTTTCTGAGGGGTTTAATCTTATTCTTTCTCCCCAAAGGCTTTAACTAAACCTTCCTTTGCTGATTTGAATTTCTATTTCAGTCTTTGAGGATTATAAGATTGTGATTGATTCGCTGAGACAAGCATCTGAAGAACTTCAACTTTTGGAGGTAAACAATCTTCTGTGTTTTAATCCTGTGTGTAAATTTCCGTTGATCCTTCTTCATTTGTAAGCCAAGAGGCAGCATGTGTGTTTCTCGTCAAATTTTCACTTGAATACATGTGGTAATAAGCACCGTATGCATGTCTGTTGATGTGTAAATGGAACCTAAAGTTATTCATGCTTTAGTAGGAGTGACTGTTACAATGATTTTACAGTAGAGATAAATGTTTTTTAATTGATTTTCTGGGCATCTGACATGCAAGATTTATGGTGTTATGTTGAAAGCTCGATAGTAAAATTTTCCCGAGTAAAGTTGACCTATTTAAAACATTATTTTCCTGTACCACCTCATCTTAAACAACCCTCAATAAGATAACATCCAGACCTGTTTCGATTGCATTTAGTTTAAGACTTGATTTTCTTGTCCTAAGTGAACATTGAAACTGATCAATTAAAAAATATTTCATACTCCCAGTCAAAATCACCATAATTTCCAAGTCTTCAGTACTAATTGGTTACTGCTCCTTTACTTGACGAGCATCTTTCTTTTATTTACATAGTGCTATTTTTCCCGCACCAATAGTACTTAGAGTTGATTGTGGTCTTTATGAGGTTTTACATCTTGCGCGCTCTGCAGTTTCATGAGTTGGCGGCTGAGGCTTTCTATCTGATGGCCATGGTATATGACAAACTGGGGCAATTAGAAGAAAGAGAAGAAGCTGCAGCTTCATTTAGGAAACATATTTTGGCTCTCAACAACCCCCAAGATGAGGATGATCCTCTTGTTAGTATGTTTTGATTGTTCTGGATACCCAATTTTATTTATAAAAGCCTACCAAATTATGTACGATACTGACCTTTTTACACTGATCGTCTGTAATTACCATTCAGTAGTTGTTTATAGCTTCAGTTGTTTTGTGGCACTTTTTATAATATATGGGAAAAAATAGAAAAAATTACTAAAAAATGAGAAATTTTCAAAAATCATCACTGAAAAACTGTTGGTGCAGAAAATGTCATTAACAATTATTTTTTTTAAAGTTTTTTTAAAAAAATGTCATTGATAATTTTTTATTTTTTATAATTTTAAAAAATATTTTATGATTTTTACTTGTTTCTTTTTTGAATCTCACTATTTGTACTTGGTGCTTTAAATTTTATAATTTCGTAATGTTTTCAAAAATCTCATTTTTTAATATATATTAATTTTAGATATGATGTACGGATAATAAAAACCTCCTTTTGTTTCCAGTTGGAGCCCTTTGATGTTAGACAGTGAATAAGTAACCAAGATGTACGGTTTTCAGTTAATGAACGGACTGATAAAAAGTTAGGTAATGATGCTTGGACATGACAAATTCTCAGAAGTGTTTTCGTTTATTACTAACACTTTCTTAACAGTAAACTGCAGGTCTCCATGCTATACAGGACTCTTTAAATCGGTTCAGTTTTAAAGTTTCGGTCTTGTGGTCTTGGAAATTTTTTGGTTTCGTTTCCTGAATTCAGCTTTCCATTATGATCTTACAAAGATTTAATGAAAAATAAATAAACAAAATTACTAGGATCTATTTATTTGTCATTGATTTTTTTTTAAAAATGTTAAAAAAAATCTGCAGTCATGGATTAATTAAACAGCTAACCTATCATTTCATGCAGCTCTCGTATGAATTATAAATGAAACATGGCCCCAAAGTTTGAACGTTGGCCTACCATATAACCGCTTGTCACTTTCGGGTAAGTTACTTAAACATCCTATCTCGTTAATCCCATCTTCCTATCTAAACACCTAACAGGTTGGGTCCAATATTGCTCTTCTAACAAAATACAAGATTATCTTTAAGTCTTTAATCTTGATCTCATGATATGTTTTAACTAGTTTACTTTAATAGGTTAATATTAATCAATTCATATTTTATTTACTTGTCATGGAAGTAACTTGAAGGTTTGCTATGAAGTTTTTTCTCCCACCAATCCTTTTAAGATTGACTCAAGCAATGAAAAACTAAAGATAAAAATAACGACGTATGAAATAATATGAATGTGGAGGAAGCGTGAGGATAAACGCGAGACACGGTGTCAGCGGCGGAGAGTCCAATTCAACTTCACGACCAGATTTGGTTGACGGAGGAATTTGTCTTTTACGTTGGATACATGCAACACTTGCAGATTCACCATCGAATGAAACAAACAGAACATCAAAGTACAGGTTCACCAGAGCCAAATTGGGTAAACCAAATCGACCCCTTATGGTTTAAAATTTAGAATTAATTTAATAAAACTAGTTTTAAAAAGTTAAAGGTGATCCAAATGCATGTATAAATTAATGGAATAACGTATTTGTATTAATTAGAATATATTGTTTGAATATTAAAAGGGGATAATTTGGTTCGTCTACGAGAATCCAGGTCATTTTTCCCGTGCTCGTCTTTCAAAGTTATCTACAATTAAATAAACTTCTTCGTCCTCATCCACCCACTCACTCGCTTATCTTCATGCCCAACGCAACGTACATATACAGTTGCAATCCGGAACAGCACGCTGCCACTCCATCACTCAGCGTATCATCATCCAATCACGTCCCGCCACGCGTCACCCCTTCCCAACTCCCATCACTGCTACATAACAAGAACACCATCACCACCAAGCATTCACCACTACAGAATACCATGGGTAACGAAACTCAAACCCAAACCCAAACCCAAACCGGGTTCAAGCTCGTTGGTTACAAAAACTTCGTCCGAACTAATCCTAAATCAGACCGGTTCAAGGTGAACCGGTTTCATCACGTCGAGTTCTGGTGCACCGACGCCACCAACGCCGCGCGCCGCTTCTCTTGGGGCCTCGGCATGCCTATCGTTGCAAAATCCGATCTCTCCACCGGAAACCTAACTCATGCCTCTTACCTTCTCCGCTCCGGCGACCTCTCCTTCCTCTTCTCCGCGCCTTACTCTCCCTCCATCTCCGCCTCCACCGCCGCCATTCCCACCTTCGACGCCTCCGCCTGCCACTCCTTCTCCGCCAAACACGGCTTCGCCGTCCGCGCTGTCGCCGTCGAGGTCGCCGACGCCGAAATCGCCTTCGCCACCAGCGTCGCGCACGGCGCCCTTCCGGCGTCTCCTCCGGTGGTCCTCGACAACCGCGTCGGATTAGCCGAGGTGCGCCTCTACGGCGACGCCGTTTTGCGCTACATCAGCTACAATAACCCTTCTCACACTTCGGACCCGAACCCGGGACTGTGGTTCCTTCCCGGATTCGAACCCATGGAAGAACTCTCATCGTTCCCGTCGCTGGACTGCGGTATCCGACGACTGGACCACGCCGTCGGGAACGTGCCGGAGCTAGTGCCGGTGGTGAACTACCTGAAAGGGTTCACAGGGTTCCACGAGTTCGCTGAGTTCACTGCAGAGGATGTGGGAACGAGTGAGAGCGGGTTGAACTCGTTGGTTCTGGCGAACAACGAGGAAATGGTGTTGTTTCCTTTGAATGAACCTGTTTATGGGACGAAGAGGAAGAGTCAGATTGAGACTTATTTGGAACACAACGAGGGTCCTGGGGTTCAGCATCTTGCTCTGGTTTCTGATGATATTTTCAACACTCTCAGAGAGATGAGAAAGCGAAGTTGTGTGGGTGGCTTTGAGTTTATGCCTTCTCCACCTCCTACCTATTATGCCAATCTCAAGAATCGTGCTGCTGATGTTTTGACTGATCAACAGATTAAGGAATGTGAGGAACTTGGCATTTTGGTTGATAAAGATGATCAAGGAACACTTCTTCAGATTTTCACTAAGCCTGTTGGAGACAGGTCTTTTCTTTTCTTTGCTTTTTCTTTTTATGCGTTTTGTTAATATTAACTTTAAGCTTGTTTTAAGTTATTAAAATAAAATATTTTATTATAAAAATCTATTTTTTATTTAAAATCATATTTATATACTGGTGATAGATGAAATCTTCCATTCCAATACTTTATTTAATCATTAGTTAATAATTGGCAACAATTTGATTAACTGTTTTTGGGTTTTGAAGTATGATTGGATCTGATGTTAAAGGAGACACAATGGGGATGAAGTAGAATAGAATAGAAAAGAATGAAATAATGCAATTGCTACAAACAATCCAACCAATGGAATCTAGTATTATTTGTTTCTTTTCTTTAGTCTAAAAATAGCCTTTTAACAAAGGGAGAAATTCGGTTGATTTGATGCTTTCATGCAAGTTAAGTGTCCCTTTGGTTTGAAGTTGTGATACGAGCATAAATCAATTTAAATCACACATGTTTATTGAAAAGTGTGTTTTATTAAAAAAAAAAAGTGAAAGAATTGATTTTGTAATCTTAAAACAAATAAGCCCCAAGTTATTCAATTGTTGCTTTACATATCTGTTAGTCCTTGTCGTTTTACACATGGATTGTGTTTTTATGTCCTTTCTTTGTCATCCTGTTCTGTTTGTCAATTAGATAGCTATTTGTGCTGTTTTGTTTGAGTGTTTAAGGCTTTTGTTGGTCAATTAGTTAAATGTGGTTTGCATTGATTAGTTCTTATTGTGTTAAATGAGCAGGCCAACCATATTTATAGAGATAATTCAGAGAATTGGATGCATGCATAAGGATGAGGAAGGGAAGGTGTACCAAAAGGGTGGATGTGGTGGTTTTGGGAAAGGCAACTTCTCTGAGCTTTTCAAATCCATTGAAGAATATGAGAAGACTTTGGAAAGCAGAAGAACTGCATGATCCCATGTTTAGTGTGGTGCTTTATCACCTTGTACTCGAAGCCACCCTTCATTTAAATTACTAATGAGGAATTGATGGCACAGAGGGTGTGTTTGTATTATCTATCTATAATAATAGAATTGGAACGATAGTCCTCCCTTATACGAGTTGTTCTTTTTTCTTTCTTTTTTATGACGAATACGTTGCAACCTCAAAACCTGCGAACCATATGACAATAGGGTGGTTTCTTGCTATTTAACATTTTTTAGGAAAAAAGTTATATTCAACAATCGCTCCATATAACAAAAAAAAAAAAACCACATTAGGATACGTTCATGCGCACCAAACTGAAATTTGATGCAATTTAATGGGCAATAAACAAGAATCCTGAGTAAACTTTCTTGATGTAGTGATTATTTATCGTTTCAGAAGTTTTTTCTGACAAAATGATAAGGAATTTGGCTTAAAATTTTTGCATGGCTCAAATACGATTTTGTGGTGAATCCTATTTTTCATGCAAAGGAAGATGAATAGAAGCTAAATATATAACAAATGATCCAATAAAACTCAAACTTCCATTGGATTGCAAAGCCACGTTCCTTTGGATGAATTCTCATCAGCAGAGAAATAAATTTCCCAAAAATAGTTAAAAGTATTTCCGTTGCCGGGAATCGAACCCGGGTCTCCTGGGTGAAAGCCAGATATCCTAACCGCTGGACGACAACGGAGTTCTGCTAAGGAGTTGAACAAATTGCTACTTATAAGTTTGGTAAATTTGCATCTGTACGTTTAAGAACAAGAAGTGTGATTTCTATTCTCATATCTAAATTTATTTTTAAAAAATTATTTGCATGTGCACAGAAAAAAAATGAAAATCTTGAAGCTCACAAAGCTAGTGAAATATTTCTCACAAAACTCTCCAAATCACAGGAAAATTCTCTTTAACGTTGAGCGTCGTAATTAATCACCGAGTGGAATAATATCCAATTTTCACGGCATGATTTTGTTAATTAATAAGTAGTTTGCACGATTCAAAACACTAAATGACTCAAAACCAGGAACAATTTTTTATTTTTCCTTTTCGTGTGATATATAGCCACTACTGTTGTTTATGCTCCAGAAATAGGCTAAAAAACACTTTATCAATTTGATAATCAACTCGTTGTTCCCATCCATGGTATCTTTTATATCAAATCAATTGATTTAAAGCATAAAAGGACAATAAATCACGAGAGGTATATAATGCTCAAAGATGTTTGTTAAAAGAAAACTATGTGTGGACTCTATCAATTTTTCTAATAGTTTGTGTATCAGCCTTGCTTTCTCCATTCAAATAAATAAATTTTTATGGTGAATAAAAAAGTAAATTTATTTTTATTTATGAATTTCATAATAGAATAAAAATAAAAATTTACAGTTTCTTCTTATATAAGTTTTATAAAATTCCAAAAGGAGTTAAAACTTCCAAGAGAATAAATTTAAAACTTTGATGTAATTAAATAAACTTAACTTTATTTCTAGCAAATTATTTAGTTCATTTTGAATACATAAAAAAATTTAAAATCTCCACCAAAAACGATTTCAAATTATTTGTTACAACGAAATTGACATAAGTATCATAAATTTTAAAATATAACATTGAAAATTATTTACAAAATTTAATTACCATAAAATACAATTAGGATAAAATAATACAATTTTTCAAATAGTCCTAATTTCTACAGAGCAGTCTTCCTTTCAATACTTTTGGATTATCTTTATCTCTTCACTTTTGTTACCTAAAAAAATATTAGTAAGAGTGAGTATCTTTCGTCCCATTAAATCTCTTGTTTGACATAAGCAAGATAATCACATATATGTGTGTGTGTATATATATATATATATATACTAAAAATATTACTTAACATGAATAGAATTAATAATGACATTCGAATCATCCAATTCGTCATCACAAAGAAGTACACACCAGACAAACAGTCAATCATATTTACCATTGTTATAACATGTGTCTTTATACTAAGTTGCACGTAATAATGCATGTATTATACCACGTCAATCAATATGTCACAATACATATGTTCTAATCGCATCCGTCGATGTATTACAACACAAATATCATAACAACATCAACTAATATATTACAATGCATATATTATAATCATACAATTTCTGTACTACTTTATATACATCACACTTTCACATTTATTTCACTTTCATATTCAATGTCCCTGAGATCCCTTGAGGGCTTCACAGCTTAGATACACGTGTGCTCCCCGGGCTCTTTTTAGCAAATGTATAGTCAGGAGTCTCGTCAAGAAATGAGTGTGTGGCCTATGAATGCTTTCACTTCCATCAAATCAATATGCACTCGTTCACACTTACCATTCACCAACCTCATTTCTCTAAGATTTCTCAAATCTTCTTCGGACTCTATACCCCTAGTGTATCTCTATAGCTATCTAAACTTACCGTCAACATTTCTCATTCTTTTTCACACCCTTTTTATAGGGTAATGTGTCATAATACATGAGTCTTGACCACATAACTTGGTGTATTACAATACATATATTATGAGAACACCATTTGGTCGTATCACAATATCTGTATTGCAATCACATCCATTCATTTATTTTGACTCCCGTATTACAATTACTTTTCTCATAATTCCACCATCATGTCACATCACATAGAAAACCTTTTCTTTATTAAAGAACAGTCAAACACTTGTATTAATAACATAGTTTCACTCATTTGATATACCTCAACTATCAAACAACATCCATAATAAGTATATCATCAACAAACATTCATTCAACACAGACAATCCCCAAACAAATCTATACATCAAACAAATTAATACAATATGCCAGAGATCGGACATCTTCAGGCTCAGCCCAATCATATAATTTAGCATACCCATTCTCTTAGTGATAATAAAGTCGTCTATCTTAAAGTTTTACATAATCCATTATTAACAACATGCTCACTATTCTAAAAACATCAAATCACCACTCTTAACCACTTTCAAGGAATATTTGTTTCAGAAAATCATAATATTTCTCAAAGATAGTTTTATTTAGAGTTTTTACTACAAGTTATATTTAGATAGTTATGAAAATAAGTTTTTTCAATTCAGGCTACCCAAGAGAAGTTAGGGTTTGGGACTTACTCCTCTTACCTCAAATGAAGACCCAACACGCTGTAATAGCAAAACACGTTCTCCACACAGTGCTTTGCCCCTAAAACATGAGAAATCTCCATGAGAACCTAAGAAAACAGAGGAAGAGATGCAATACCAAAATCCTAGCTCATAAAACATACCTCTAAACGTCTCAAATACCACCTCAACTTTCAATCTTACTCACAAATGGTTTTAAAGACAATTTAATCGGTTGGATAGGGTTTTGAGTCAAGAGAATCGAAGAGATTTCAAAGGAAGGAATGAGAAATGAATTTTTTGAACCCTAACTCCTTCAAATATCCCTCTGATCGCGACAATCTCGATACAACAAGATATTCTCGTTGCAGCGACTCTCCCTCTCGCTACAGACAAAATCTTAGAGGAATCTGCACTCTAATTTCTGCAGAATCTCGCTACAACGAGATCCTCTCGGTACAACGAGACTGCACCTAGAAATGCATCTCTCACTGTCGTTCTCTCGTTGCAGTGAGAGCGCGACTGTTTCACTCCCTTCTCCCAATACCTTTTCGCTACAACGAGAATACTCTCCGTACAGCGAGACTGCCCTGCAGTTCACCCTCATCCTATTTTTCTAATCAACTTCAGTCAATCCAAGTCAACACTCACATATATTTATTTATACACACTCCCACGTTGCCAACATAAATCAATATAACATACAATTAGCAATACACATATTTATATTAACAATCAATTTATTATTACCAAATTCAGGGTGTTACAGTATGCACTCTGACAAGGAACAAAATTTAGAGAAACCAGGATAAAATTTTATGCATCAGGGCATGTAACTATATGAAGTATGAAGATGAATCAATATAATGGCGCTAAAATGTATAAGGAAATAGGAAATTCTGAATGTATTAGATCCAAATTGAACATAGGGACATAGGAATGGGTAGAATTGAATTAAACATGATATTAGAATATTCGTACTATGTTTACATTCAAGTAGACGAAATAAAAATCTATATATATGCCTATTTTAGTGTCAAAGTTTATATATAGTCTTTATTTATTTAAAGAACATCTTAAAATAATATCACTCCACATGTAAAATTTGTAGACGAGTCTTTATTCATTTTTGAAATATTTTAAAATAAAAAAAGCATTTAAAAATGTTCAATTTTTTCAGTTCAAACAATCGAATCTATCAATTTGATCTAATTTTAAAAATTATGACAAATACTATTTTTATTTTAAAAAATTTTAAAATAGATAATATAACTATTTTCAAAGATATAAAAATTGAAAATAAAATTATTAAGAAAGAACATACATTTAATCCGTTCGTTATTATTTTTAAGGAGTTTATTTATATTAAAATAAACCTAAATATGAAGGAGGGTTTTATTTTTCAAAACACATGTTTTAAGTAAACATTCTTTATTATACAAGGTAAAGATTAGTATTCATCTTTAAAGTATTAGTTAAAGAATTAAAATTAATCATTTTAATTAAAAATTATCATTAATATTTTTTTAGTATATTTTTTAAAGTATCTTAATGTGATTTTTAATAAAACTTTCTTATTTGATGAATTCGTTCAAATGTGGAATTAAATCACTCTTAGCATGTTAAAGAAACACAGGTATTTATTGAAGATGTAATACTTCTGTTGATACCATGTATAAGATATTGATTAAGAAACTCAGAATATAGTTCAATAAAATTTATATGCGTTTGGTTTTCATTTGAGGAAGCATTTCTCCAAAACCAAATACCCATAGAAAGAGCAAAGATATAAAAAACGTGCATAGGTCACGAGTGGGATTGCTCGAAAATGACAACCAAACATAAGTTGCACCAAATTAAGGTGGCCAAAAGAACAACACGTAACACAATGTTTTAGTAAATGGTGCAATCAAAATCCCACCATGGCATAACAATTAGCAAGACCACAACCACACACTCTCTATGTGCCTACATTCTAGAAAATTTTGGCAAATATTATTAGAGGCATCCTTTGGTTTGCCTTCTCCATCGATAGCAATGAAAGCCGTGAAACACGAAACCTTTCAACATATGCCTCTTGTCACTTCCTGTGACTGATCAATGCCGTATTCTAGTAGATAAGCACATTTACCCTTTTAGAACCTTCTTATCTTTTCTCATTATCCCCTTCTTAAATTGTATTAGCATTTGATCCCGCAATATTAGGTAAATGTAATTTTCATGACGTGACATGGCTCCTTTTACCGCTTATGTTTGTATATATATTATGCCTGTGTGTGTACCATATAATATATCCTTTCAAAATATGCAAGATAACCCTTCTCATTTTGTTTGCCACTTGGTTGCCTCATTTCCCATTTCCCTTAAACTTGTTTTCGTATCTAGCTCTATTATGGCCTCTAACGACAACAATGATATTAGCTTAGTAGAAATGGATTTGGAGGTCTTTGAAATTGATGGAGCTCTCCTAAGAGAATTGCTAGAAGAAGAAGAAGAGGGTAAGGGTGACAATGATCATGCTAAAGTAGAATCCTTAAAAGAAAACAACGCTAATCGTGACATGATGGATAGGGAGCAACAGCAGCAGCAGCAAAATTGTTTGGAGAAGTATGAGTGCCATTCCACTCACCATGACTTTGAGTGGCTGAGTGTAATGGACATGATGGAACCAACTAATGCACTAAATGATGTGAGGATGAATTGTTTTTCAGATGACATTGTTGGGATGGTAGATTTTGGTTATGCTAATGAAGAATTTTACTCTCAAATTTGTGATGGGATTGGCTCTAATGAGGCGAGTTACGGTTATTTGTGGGAAGATTATGATATTTAGATGCATATATATCAAAGCTTAGCTATTAGAATGATGAAAAGGGAGGGGAACAAATTGCAAAAGTAATTGAGCGTGAATGAATATGGTTAATAAAATAAAGGGCATATGAGCAGGACTAGCTGTGTAACTGTTATTCTGAATGCTGTTTAGTTCTGTATATTAAAACATAAGTGAAAGAAAAAGACATATTAATTAGTTTAAAGAGTCGGTTTCCAAATTATTTGCAGCTTGTCGAAATTAACTATGCATTTAAAATATCCTAATTGTTCTCTCTTTCATTCTATTATTTTCATGATAAATAGGAAGTAAGATTAGTGCTTAGAAAGAAATCATAGCATACTCATTGGATGGGAAAAAAGAAATCATAGCATACCAATTGTGTTTAGCAGCATGAGAGTGTAACATATATAGCCAGCTTTTCGGTGAATCCGGAAATCCACCACCAAGAAAACTTAATGCAATGGACCTTGCCTTTGATGCCTCATTTCGGACAATAAAATCCATTACAATCCTGTTCAGCTATGAGCAATTGATAATATTGATTATTACATGATTAGTCAATTACATCATTACATGGTTGGATACATGCCCTTTATGTGAATTTATTAGTTGTTTTGAAGTTTTAAATCTTTAAAGTTTATCTTGCTATTTAAAAGGATTAATATTTAGTTCACATTACTTATGTTTTACACCCATTTACATTTTATTTGAAGTGACAAATCATTTATTCTTTTAAATCAGTTTAATTAATTTAGTTGCAAAACATAAATTATGTGTAAAATTGATTGTTTTGCGATGCATTACAATTTCCTTTTTATTCCATCTTCTCCTTTCCTATGTAGGCTTATAATGAGATATATTTTTTTTAACATATGAATGTCAAGTCATCTGACCTGACCAAGAGAGAAGAGAAAAAGAAAATTAGTAGACATTCTTGAAATGTCATTTCTAGAGAAATACAAGAATAAAAAAGAAAGAACAATAGATATGAAGAAAGATGTGATTTGATAAGGGAGAAGTAGAGATAGATAAAGAGTATTAAATGAGTGTTAACACTACTTAAGAGTTTATAAATCAAAGTTAAAGAAAAAAGAAAATTGACCAAGAAAAAAAAAAGAAAAAGATGTGTTCAATGAGTGTAAATAAAATAATAATAATACAAATTGATTACATTATCAACATTCTTTTCTTATTTAAAACAATGATTTGTTAGATATAGGAATTTTTATTATTTCTTTTATTATTTTCTTATTTACCTGTTCCATTTTTTCACTTGTAACAAAAAAATTTCCCATAATGTACTGTTGTTATAAAAGCCGATCTTGATTGGTTAATCGAACCGTGAACCTATTAGAGTCTTGAAGACGACCCCATTGTCAGCATTTTTTTTTTCTAATTCTTGCGTAATTCGTTCAGCATTTTTTCTTCTAATTTTTTCGTAATAAAGAGAAGCTTCAACTACTATTTAGGTATATGTATATAGTTCAATCATGCTTGGAAATGCAAATCAGATTCCTTATTAATTAATGATCAATACGTCTTTTAAAACTTAGCCAACTTTGATTGTCGATGGTCCTAACCTATTTCTCCACGCAAAGTACAAACTCTACTCACAAATTGAGACAGGTATCAAGCCACGTGTTTATTTTCTTTTTGTGTATAAACAGGACAGGAAGTTGCTTCAGGCTACTTAGGTGAGTTATAAAAACTCGCGATATATATATATATATTTGTCACAAAAACAATGATAATAAGGCTTGGGAATGGGGCAATTATATTTGTATTCTTCATATCTTAATAATGTAGGAGCTTCAAATAGGAGCTTCAACTAGGGGCTACAATAAGTGCGCTAAAATGTTTAAACTATCACATGCGTACGGGACGCATTCACTGCAGTGACTTCACCGCTCCATAAGATCACCAAAACCATAATATTTTGGAAGCAGACTCGAGCCTAACCTAAAGTATCTTAAACAACTACTTCTCTCTTCCATAAGGTAAAACCCGAAGTTACAAGTAAATTACCTCAAATTAAACAAATTCGCTGTTCGTCTAGATTATAACATGAATATGAAACAGTCATACATACTCATGCTTTCGTAATTCATTAATGTACTTTTCAAATGGACATATGCGAAGCTCCCAGATTGTCGTTAGAAGCCAATCATAAAAAACTCTAATGGCTTCCTTCAGTGGCAATCATGAAGTAAACATAGATCCAAGCTAACCATCTCTCGAATAGCTGTCAGGTATCTTTAGACCCGACAAGAAATTTGGCGATGAAAAATCCAATTGTATCAAGGGGAGATGATGGATCAAACCTCTGAACAAGGTCTTCTTCCCCAGGTCGTAACCACTCCCTGTATAATAAATAAGACATGACGATGTGAAATTAAAATTTGGCATAGAAACTTTTTTTTTCCTGATAAAAACAAATGCAAGGTATTTCCCTACTAAACAGAGACAGATGTGTGTGTGTGTGTGTGTGTGTGAGAGAGAGAGAGAGAGAGTGATGCTTAATCACGGACAAATGGATGAAGGTCTTACTCTACATATCCATCAGGAAATTCGCAGCTACCAACTAGACCCGGTCCTCCAACTCTGGGGTGCTGAAATAAATCAACTAGCAAATATGAACGACTCAACAAGTGAAATAGCAATTCATTACAGACAAACTCATCAAAATTTGTTTGTACTAAAATATTTTCCTATCTTATAAGACCATTTAAGAAGAATCATCCTTTAGTTAATTACATATATAAATCCATTTTTAAAAGATAATAATCCGGCCTTAGAATTATAAAAGCCTTATCAATTGCGAAAAATAAAATAGAAAATTGAGACGGCAAAAGAATCAGCACCAAACCTGTGGGGCCAATGATAGATATTTGTATTTATCCAAAGCATATCGAACTAATGCTTCATTCTCACCAGGATTAATCGTACAACTATTGAAAGATAATAACATCAACAGATCAGTTTTACAGAAACATGTCACAAATAAAATGTGGTAAAAAAAAAAAAAACTTCAGAAGAGCATCCATACATAACATAATGGTTAGAGCAGCAAGGGCACAAAACAAACTTCATGATAAACTTGTGACAATAAGGTTAAGCATGTAGACAGAAACGTGATCCACAAAATGTGCATCCTTACGTGGAATAGACAATTACTCCTCCAGGTCGAACTAATTGAACAGCCTGGTCAAACATCCTTCTCTGGTATTTTGCATGGTTTCTTAAAGATTCAACTGTTTCCTGCCAAAAAATAATGCATTGCATGTTTACTTCTCTTTCCTTTAAAATAAAATTTCTTATTTGTGTTTAGATTTATTTTTTGCTAAAAAAGACCAATGAAAACTAACTTAGCAACCCAGACACATATGAAGATTACACCATACCGCCCAATCTTATAATTCACGCTGATTGACCAACTTCACAAATTATACTACTTTACAGGCAACTAGGGTGAATTTTACCATAGAAGTTTTTTTTCCCAATTACATAGTGAAATAACCATTAATTCTACATATTCCTATATTTGAGGTAAACGTTATGATATCCACATATTAAAACAGAATTTAGTGGTAGATATCGTGATATAAGTCCAGCATAGAAAATGAGGACACAGCTTCACTTTAAGGTAATCCAGTCCCCATATCCTCTCTATATTTGCACCAATAAATATAAATTTAGTCTTGAGTGTGTTGCGCAGGTGTAAATTCAAATAAATGCAGGATAAATTTCAATCAACAGATCCACTTCTACCTCTCCAGCAAATAATCGAGGCCTTAAACCAAGGGCAGAACAGGGAGCATCAAGAAGAACTCTATCAAAACTGTCAGGAGAAAAACCTTTTGAACTATCAACCCTACCACCCACACGCTGATTTCTTCCAGGTCCATTTCGTGCTCTTCGCATGGTCTTCCGGATGTCAGCTTTGCTGACATAAGCTTTTCCATTTGTCTTTTCACCGTTACCTTAAAATTATTTAAAAAATGACTTGTAAAAATGTTGACAGAGAAATACTTCTCATGTCTATGACAAATATAAAACAGGAAGTGCCAAACCATAGAAAAGAAGAAATCAGCCAACAGAATACAATAAACCTAATCACAAAATGTTTTAAGTCTACTTCTTATGTCTCAGCAAGCACAATATCTAACATCATTGTTCAGTTTTCAGATGATTTTCTAACACTAAATGATATTTTGATGACAATGAGGCTATATGTCAACCTTCAAGAAACCAATAACATTAGTGCAAGTAAGTTAACCATGGGTAAAACACAAACAACTTGCAACTCAGACAAATGTGCATCACAGTTTTCTCTTTTCAGCTGAATCTTTTTTCTTTTATCTTAAAAATATAACAATAAGTTTCTCCAATGTTTGCATTTAGCAAATAAGACTATCAATGAAAAGCAGAAAGTTAGACAATAAGAGCGTGTATAATTTCAACATAAGCAAGTGATTCAAAGTATAATTCCAGTCACTACTGCACTCGATAGTATAATGTAAGCATAGAGGACCTGATTATGCTTTCAATCATGTGTAAAATAATAGCATCCCAGCAAGTAGCAAATAAAGGCAAAGAACTTACCTACCATTTTCCTCCAGAGTCACAGATTTTAATCCTTCTGTCACAAGGGGTAACATTCTTTCTACTTGCAAATTTGGTGAATCAACAGCTTGATTTGTCACATCATTTTTGGCATTACTACGGCATGGGTCAGTAAATGCATCAACATCATTTCTTCGACAAACAGATTTAAGAGCATCTAATTTAAATGTCTTTATACAACTCAAGCCCATTTCAGCTGCCAATTTTTGAATATCCAGCACCTAGACAATCATCAAAATTTAATATGTTAACCATTAATTTCTTACAAATCTACAAGATTCATACCATTAATTTATCACAATCATAAGAAACAAAACCAATATTCTGTATCTCAAAAACAGGTTACAGAAAGCTGGCAAACAATGAAACTTTAGAAAAATAAGTCCAAAAAAATAGAACAAGTTAATGCGAGTAAAACTATAATTCCACAACATCCAGTCACTGCAATATACTTGAGTTCAAACAAGCAAATAGGAATAGCAAGCATTTTACTAGAGTTAAGAATTCCCACCTTATTATGAGATCTATCTGTTGCAATGATCTCTCCTTCATCCTTCATAAGTATTGCAATTGCAGTTGTTTTCCCCCCAGGTGCAGCACACATGTCTAGTATCCGCTCACCCATTTTTGGATCTGAATATAAAAAATAAATCTATATAAAAAATTTATTTAAGACAAAAAAAAGCCTAGAGGTGAAAGGATAAAGAATTCTCAAAATAAAAACAAAACCGAGAACAGCATGAGCATGCAAATCACTCCAAGGGAAGAAAATCAGAAATGAGATGGTAATTTACGTACCTAGAGCATGAGCAGCAATGATGCTTGGCAGATTTTGAAGAAATATTTCCCCCTCAAGCACATCTGGAAAACCAAAAAAGAAAAAAAAATAATACATCACCTACACACATGCATTCAAAGCCACATATTTTATAAAACTACTACATTTCACTGAAATAATGATATATATACTAATAAGAAATAAAAGCAAAAATGAATATACGATAAGAGGCATTAATTGTATATTAAACTGCTGCACCGTTAAAAAATGAGACACAAAAACATAAATTATGAATCGTGAAGTGATAAAGGAAAGACTACAATAATCAATATTTCCAAAAACAAACACAATATTGCATATGAATCATAGATGAAATATACTATGGAAAGAATGAATTTCATATAATCTGTCCTTCATATCCACACCAAATCAAATTACAATTCTTGAAGAGATAAAAGAAGAGTAAAGCAATCAATATTGCCAGAAACAACAATACAATAGTGCATATGAATAAGAGATGAAATTTACTGTGAAAAGAATGAAGTTCATATACTCTATCCTTCATATCCACACCAACTCCTTCAGAAACTCGGAACATTCCAGCCCTTGACATCATTGCTGTCCCTTGCCCAATATAAAGGCCATGTCGTTCAACATAATAAGGATCTGTAAAATAAAGAATATGCAAAATCCTATCAACCATATTCCAAAAAGTTTATTTCAGTGGAAAACAATCATCCCAAAAAACAACGCATCCATGACATAATTTCTAAAAAGAACCCACTTATGTCTTACTATTTCAAACTCTATATTGTTAATTAAAATAAAGTTTACTATGTCTCTTTGAAAACAAAATTTCATCTCCTTAGTGGTTACACAGTTACACTTACATCCGCCTATAGTTTTCAGGCTAAGCAATTTCGTACTAGAGTGCAAGAATTCAGACACAAATACACTAGCTACCTAACTGCGACCCTTGGAGAACAGTGCCACGTGTCATGCCAATACTCCATCCCCCATCAGCACCCTGCTGCTCCACAGCAACCGAAACAGCGACTGTATCTCCTTTCTCAACATGAGCGCTGCAAGCCATTACACCAGGAACATACACCTAAATTCAAAACCAACATTAGGAACCAATCAACCACCACGAATTCATCACCATAAACTTCAACCTCCCTAAAATAACCTAGAATTTTGCCAAGACGTTGTCAACTACCTGAGCACCCCGAAGAACTGCCTCAGCACACTTCCTACTAACAATAACCTCCTTCGGAATCGCATTACCGTAATCAATGCAGTGCGGTCCCGAACCCCAAACAAACAACACATAATCAAGTCCAGGAATCTGACACTTGGACAAAGGACCAGCATCACCATCCAAACGTTCCTTCAAAGGATTCACCTCATTGCTATCACCGTTCGACGACTCCTTCACAAGCAATCGAAGCTTCTCGATAACCGCATCGCTGGTTGACCTGAGCGTGTTCACACGAATGCACGAGTAACGAGAAGGTCGCCTGCGAATTCGGAGACACAAAACTCAAACAATTACACAAAACATAGGGTTCGAAAATGCAAAGAAGAGATTGGATTAGAGAGGTGTGAGAACGTTAACGCGGTGGAAATGCGAGAGAAGCGTTCGGCGCCATAAGCATTGAGGAAGTATTGATGAACTTGAGGGTTCCAGTGCAGAGTGGGGTTGAAAGAGTATCGGTTTGACGAATCAGAATGTGGCATGCTTCTCTGAACAAGGTTTGGTGTTTGCTCAAGTCTTCTGTAACTGCTAACAAACACTTCCCTCCCTTTCTTCATTCAAATCGACGGCCGCTATGAAATGCGACGGCTAGGTAACGGCCGGTTAGGTCTTCATAGGTTTCATTCTATGTAAAATGTAAATAGTCAAATGGTAAATCAACAAATTTAACTGAAAGAAACAAATTATTATTAAAAATTAAAACTCCATCCCTTAAATTTAAGACAAACAGCTATACATGTGCATATCAATTATTGACTACTTCTTATCCTCCTCATCTTGCGTTTTTTTACTTGAAATAGTTATTTATCTCTGCACCTTTGACTCAATAGTCTAAGTAATAAGAAAAATTGAAGTTGATGTTCAAGGTGTTCTTGTGCCGTGCATGAGAGTTAATTGAAACTGTGATTGAAGTAGGACAAATCAATTGGAAAACTATTGAAAGCAATGGAATCAAACTAGTATTCATAAGGATCATAATTTCGTATTTACCCATCTTACAGGAAAAAGACGAAAGCTGATGCAGATAAAATTTCTCTGTAAGGATAAAACTAGAAAAGGACTTCAAAATGCCAGCTATATATAGTAGACTCGTTCAAATACGAAAAGATAAGAGTACAAGAAAAACAAACAGAGATGTGCACTCTGCATGAACACAGTACAACCCAAATTACGTATTTAGAAACACCGTAAAAAAATCTGTGAATGTGAATTTAATGTAAAAATCATTATTTATAGTATTAAAATAAATATCTTTCTATAACTTAAAATTCATAAATATAGCATTAATATCATATTGTAGTCAATTTACCAAAGTTAATTATTCTGATATAAACAGAAAAATTTTAGTTTCTTAGTTTGCTTGAAAGTTTGCATAAATTTAAATTTCTAATAAATTCTCAATTTATATTATAAATAATGAGTCAGAAGCTAATATCTAACAAATTTAAACTAAATCTAAATATATTTTCGTCCTAATTTTCATCCAGATGCTTGAAGATAGTTGCTGGATTTTGTAATCGGAATATGTTTTAATCCTACCATAAAACTGCAATGAAAATTAACAAATATTTGAAAAAAGTGTTAACATTGTATTTTTTTTTTATAATAAATTTTAACTAATAATTAAAATATATTAAAAATTTATATTACTAATACCCCTCATATTTAATGCTGTGAAAACGTTATCTTTCTAGCATACCTAACATGGTTGCATGTTAGACATGTCACCAGGTATTAGAGATCTGGATTTGTGTGTAAGGTGTAAACAAATTTTATCCTTACCACTAATAGAATGAACATTTATTTTATATGTTGTAAATTACATAAAATTCCTTTTAAATTTTTTATTTAAATTGTAACTCTATTATATATTTTAAATTTCGGTAAAAATCAGAAATATTATAGTTAAAAATTGGAAACAATTACGATATAAAAGCATTACATTTTAAATCTAGATTCGATTCTATTATTTGAATATGCCTTTTAAATTTCTTGTTTCAATTTTAACTTAATCATGTATTTTAAAATTTGGTAAAAATTACAAATATCATATTTAAAATTTGAAAACAAGTACGACATAAAAACATTAATTTTTTAATATAGATTCGATTCTTCTGTTTAAATATGATATATAAAATTTTAAATATATATATATATACACACACACGCTCATCATGCTCTCATCATTATAAAGAAAATGGTTAGTAAATATTTGTTAAGATATATGCACCTTAAGAACAAAAATAAATGATATAACTTAATAAAAAATAATAAATATTAATGTTTTCTTTTTGCTTATAAGTCAAAGTTATTATTGTAATTATAGCCTGAACTATTACAGCAGCACCTAGTCTAAGTATATGATGCGTGGAAGGGAACATGGTTTTGGAAAGAAAAATCAATACTTTTAATGTTATTTTTTATTTTTAATTTAAAATAAATTTGATAAAAAGAACAATAGAAAAAACAATGATTCTTCGTGCATATTGTAATAATTTTATAATAATTTTTCACCACAAAGCGTGTATGTATATATAATTTCAACAACTATATATGCTAATTTTTGCATGATCTCAATGTTCCACCACAATATTTGCCTAGTGCTTGACATTTTCTGGGTATTGCCGTATTAGTTTGAAAATCCCACACATACTGTTCAAGGAACCCATGTTGAATGTCACAATACCAAATATCACATATTCACATGTTCCTTTTCCCACATGCTCCCACCACTTTATGTTATATACAAACACCAATAGATAAAAATATTTTATTCTGCATGTTCTATACTTGTAGGATCATTACAAAATAAATAGTATATCTATAATGACTCAATCAACATAAAGGGTGAAGTACATTTGTCATAGATACAAACTAATATGTGACAAATTAAACCTCAAACCAAACCTGAGGGGCATTTTGAGTTTATGTATATAAGTAGCATATTCAATGAAATATCTTTTATCACAAATAGTTAAAATTAAAACACATAAATTATGTGAATTTTTAAAAGTTCAAATAATATTTATAAATAATTATATAACTTTCTAAATTTTTTTATAGTTAATTTTAATTAATCTCAATGATAAATTATTTGATAAATTTAACCATTAAATAATATAATTAGCTAATATTCCTAAGATACTAATTTAAATGAATGATATCATGCTCATGTGTGATGAATCACTTTGATATGCATAATCCTCTTCCACTTTCCCTCATTTAAAATATTTTACACAGCAATTGCTTTTCATTATTTAAGTCACAAAGGTGGATTTGTCTTTCTCTATCTTCCCTTTGATTAGAGACTGGCTCAAAAACTCTGACCAGAGACCACACACTTTTACCACTCTAAACTACACACCACATTTTGTCTTTTTGGTCCTAACAGACCAACTTAATGCTTTTCTTTGACTTTTTTTAACAGTTGCAGCCTAGCCAGGTAAGACTCGCATCATCACAAGCCAGCAATGAAGCAGGAAGCAGAGAGGAAAAACCCCTGTGAGAACAAGACCAGGTTATTTTATTTATTTTATATCTTACGTTTGAGGCTTGGAATTAAAAACAACTTTTTAAGTCTCTTCATTAAGACTTTATTATTATTATTTTTCTTTACAAAACTTTATTATTCTTATTATTCATTTAAAGAGGGTTAATAAAGAGAAATACTTCATTGTGAATCAAACCGCGTTTTTGGGCTCATCCTTTGACATAGGCTTCCAAGTCTATCTTTCATTCCTTGTTACTAATAAAGTCATACGACTTAAAGCTTTCTTTCTTCCTTCTCTCATCTTCAAAAACAATTTTCCTTCAACCAAACATAGATTTTGGCCTCAAAATTTTAAATTTTTTAATAGAATTTCCATTTACTTTGCCAATCTCCATATCCATTTTTTTCCCTTTGTTCTTGAGATTTTGCTTCTGATTGGCCTTGAGAGAGGAACTTCTGAACTCTTTCTTCCCCCCCTCTTGGCTAAGCTCAGAAATTTTGATAAAGAATTACTCTTTGAGTTTGTGTACCGGATTTTCTCCCTGAAAATTCTGTGGGGTGTTTTGGTTTAGGATTTTCATTGGGTCGAAGAAAAAAAGGCATCATCATTACTATGGTTTTGAAAGTTCCTCTCATTGTGGTTATCCTTGTGATATGTTCCTGTGCTGTGGAAGCCATATCTGGGAATCACAATCTCAACAAAAATGGATCTTCTCTGGCTGCAATAAAGTTTCCTAATCATCCAAGTTTCAATGCTGTCTCTTCTTCTGGGGACACTGATTGTAGTCTCTCAAATTCTGAGCAACTTGGGCATTCTGGACCTACCATGACATCAAATGAAGAGATTGATGATGATGATGATGGTGAAGGTGAAGAGGGTGAGGCTTTTCTAGCTGCAAACCCACACAAGCAATCGGTGAAACTCCATTTGAAACACAGGTCGGCGAGCAAAGATGCTGAACCTAAAAAATCTGTGATTGATTTCACAGTAAGGGATTTGACCAGAATTCAGACCCTTCACAGAAGGGTCATAGAAAAGAAGAATCAAAACACCGTTTCAAGGCTACAAGAGAAGAAATCTAAGCCGGTGATTGCTCCGGCAGCTTCGCCGGAGTATTTTGGAAGTGGGGTTTCCAGCCAGCTTGTGGCAACCTTGGAATCAGGGGTGAGTCTTGGCTCAGGTGAGTACTTCATGGATGTGTTTGTGGGAACCCCTCCTAAGCACTTTTCTCTGATACTTGATACTGGTAGTGACCTTAATTGGATTCAATGTGTTCCTTGTATGGCATGTTTTGAGCAAAGTGGGCCTTATTATGATCCTAAAGATTCTAGTTCTTTTAAGAATATAAGTTGTCATGATCCTCGGTGCCAATTGGTTTCATCCCCGGATCCACCTAAGCCTTGCAAGAATGCGAATCAAACTTGTCCCTACTTTTATTGGTATGGAGATAGTTCCAACACTACTGGTGATTTTGCATTGGAAACCTTCACTGTTAATCTTACAACACCTTCTGGGAAGTCAGAACTCAACCGTGTGGAGAATGTAATGTTTGGATGTGGTCATTGGAATAGAGGTCTCTTTCATGGAGCTGCTGGTTTGCTAGGATTGGGAAGAGGTCCATTGTCATTTGCTTCTCAATTGCAATCTCTTTATGGCCATTCCTTTTCCTATTGTCTTGTGGATAGAAATAGCAACGCAAGTGTGAGTAGCAAATTGATCTTTGGTGAGGACAAGGAGCTTCTTGGCCACCCTAACTTGAATTTCACTTCTTTTGTTGGTGGGAAAGAGAATCCAGTTGATACATTTTACTATGTTCAGATAAAATCTGTTATGGTTGATGATGAGGTGCTAAAGATTCCTGAGGATACTTGGCATTTGACAGCAGAAGGTGGTGGTGGTACAATAATTGATTCTGGTACCACTCTAACATATTTTGCTGACCCTGCTTATGAGATTATAAAGGAGGCTTTTGTGAAGAAAATTAGAGGCTATGATCTCGTTGAAGGCTTTCCTCCTCTAAAGCCATGTTATAATGTGTCTGGTATTGAAAAGATGGAGCTACCTGATTTTGGGATCTTATTTGCTGATGGAGCAGTGTGGAATTTTCCAGTGGAGAATTACTTTATCCAAATTGAGCCTGATGTTGTTTGTTTGGCTATTTTGGGGACCCCTAGATCTGCCCTTTCAATAATTGGAAACTATCAACAGCAGAATTTTCACTTACTGTATGATACGAAGAAATCTAGACTTGGGTATGCACCCATGAAATGTGCTGATATTTAATATTATTTTCTTGGGTTGAAAGCTCAAAACTGTATAGTCTCATAACTGTAAACAGCGAGTAAGGAGGTATAGATTTTTGGGTTTTCCCATAGAGAGAAAGTGATACACACACAAAATAAAGAAATAATAAAAAAATCAGGTTATGTTTTTATAGGTGATTATAGTAGAGTTCAAGAAATCAACAAACTGGGTCATGACATGACATGACAAACACAAACATTTGTTTTGTACACAATTTAACCGCTTCACTTTTGAGTATATTATCTTATTTAATTATAATAATATGTTCTTTCAACTGTATACGGCATTCTCTCTGCCCTCTATTGGATCATATGTTCTCACAGAAAAATTGCTCCGTATATATGCAATATCACAAGAAATCAAGGGAGCAATAACAGTTTCTGGTTTGTTGCTACATTTTTTACTGTTCTTTTTCCTTCGAAATGTGTCTTTTCTTTCCTTTTAAAATACTCCTATTTGGAATGAAAAAAAAAAGTGACACATGGTTATTTCCCAGATGTCGCATCCATGTATTATTCAATGGATATCATTTTATGTTAGGTACGCTACAAACTTTTTGACAAAAATAAAAATATCATTGACACCGATTAAATGAGCAGAGAAAAAAAAATGAATGAGATGATAAAATAAATAATGCAATAAAAGAAGAAAAAAAACGAAAAATAAGACCAAAAATTTAAATAAACTATAAGAAAATTTGGATAAAAAATAAAATATTTTAATAACAAAACAACTGTTTGCCGCCAAAGAAATAAAGAATAGGTCAACTGTACTGTTAGGTGCCCCCATATCACATTCATTTGCTATCCTTTTCCGATGGCATGGGTAATTTGACAGTAACCAATACTGAGAACCCACACAGGTAGAGTATTACTAATATTCTTCTTAATAAAATAATATTATTTTTTATATAATATTTAAAAATAGTATATATTAAAATATGATTTTTTAAAAATTTACAAAAATAGAGAATTCAAAAAGTTAGAAATAGAATAGTAAAAAGTCAAAACTCGTAGATGATTTTTTAAAATATAATAAAAAAAGTTTAAAAATAAAAAATCTTCATTAGCAATTTATAAAAAAAATAAGTATAAAATTGTCATTAACAGTTTTTTAGTGATTTTTAAAAAATTCTCATGTCAAATTATCATTTTTTTCATATAAAAAGTCACAAAATAACATATTTTTTATTTATTTTTTCTTTATTTCATTTTTATGTTCAAACAGAGTCAAAATATGAAGTTTGCCTACTTCTTAAATGCTCTAATACATTTATTTATTATTTTTCATTATCATTATTATGATGATTTTAATAACATATTTATTGGTGGTTATTGAACCTAAAATTGGTTCTCCACAGGAACCACAAGTGATTACCAGCAAAAATACTATATGGTGGAGTGACAATGCTATACGAGGAATTAAGAAGAATAATATTATTTTTAAAAAAAATATTTTTTCTAACTGATAATATAATAATTTTAATGGAACTTGTAAACTATAATTCAAGAATTCAAACTTTAGTTTTACTACTAAAACAAAAAAATAAATTCAAACACATATGATATTATAGAACTCACATAAAGTAAGTTTAAGAATCTATTTGGACTCCACCACTAAAGATGCTTTAAACAAACTATAAACTCTATGTTCAAGTTTTATATTTGGCCTTTTGTAAAAATAATTTTTTAAAATATTTCTTTCTAATCAATAATATAATAAATTTAAACAAATAATATAATAATTTTAATAGAACCCGCAAATGTAATTCAAGAACTCATTTTTTAATTTTACTACTAAAATAAAAAAAATTTCAAATACATATAATACTGTAAGACTTATATAAAATAAGTTTAAGAACCTACTCCACCACTAAATATGCTTTAAACAAACTATAAATCCTATATTTAAATTTTATATTTGGTTTTTTGTGAAAATAATCTTCCTATATATAATTGTAAATTCATTTTCCTTCTTTAAATTCCGAACTACAGATATCATAGTTGATTCAGATTTTTGGTCCATATTCAAACCTAGGACCGAGGTCTAAGGTTGATTTTTTTTTTTTTTTTTGAGCTCAAAGGGTCAACAATAAAAAAGTTTAACAATGACACTTATAAAGAGAACATTGGAATAATATACATCAGGTAAGCAGAGGAAGAACTAAGCATACATATTTAAATGAAAATAATAATAATAATTCTAAAATAACTTAAAACACAACCAAAATAAAACCAAATATAATGCCCAACAATCACAACACGATTTGCTGTGTGTATTGGTTTAAGTACACGTTGATTAGCTTAATTACTTTCATATTTCACATATTTATGTTAATCTTTTCTTAAGTGACATAACTTTCTCTTATTTTTAGTTATAAATAATTATATAAATACTTTTACCGCATGATTTAGAAAGTTAAGAAGTTTCAGTTTACAAAATATTGCATGCAACGTTGGCAAGTTTTATCTGAGTTATTAGGATATGTTTTATACAAACACAGGTGCCCATTCAAATTTCAAAGCGCGTTGATTGCGGCAACGAAGATGCCGTTGACTCTGGACTGCTGACCCGACCACCAATCTCGGGCTACCCGGTTGGATCCGACCCGAGTGATTAACTTGTGCGATTTAGCATTTAGGTTGAAGAATTCAAAAATTATTCTGATACAGTACTTCAATTTTCACACGATAAAATACGAACGAGCGTGTGAATTAATTGAAAATATTTATTTCAGTTTAATATATAGTTTTAAGTTTGAGTTTACTTAAAAAAAAGGTATCTGGTATCAAAGCTCATAAAAATATACAGCAGAATATTTTTGTAATTAATTTATTTTTTTAATGAAAAATATAGTTGTAGTTATATATATTTTTAATTTTAATTAAATATTTATTTATTGATTAGATGGACATAAGTATTTCTAAGCACAAACAGATTTATGAAAAAGTTGTTGGCGAATCTGGGCCTGAGGCTTGAATTGGGCCCAACCGAGGATGGGAGGGGTCAGTTAAGATTTTAAAGTGTAATTGACGGTGGCAATAGGAATCGGAATCGGTGGAAATGGTTGCGTTGAGGGTAATGTTAACGAGTTTTGTGTTTGATTTAGTTTGGAAAGTGAGTTTGAGGATATTAACGTTGTTGTGATTGTTGTTGAAGCAGTTTCACCAGTACCAGGTTGTGGGTAGGGCTCTTCCTACGGAAAACGATGAGCACCCAAAGATGTACCGCATGAAACTCTGGGCCACCAATGAGGTCCGTGCTAAATCCAAGTTCTGGTATGTCTCCACACTTTTATTCTTATGCCTACTTGTTCAATTAAAAAAAAATTGTAATGTTTTCTATTTTTGTAATCAATGACCATTCATCACTTTATTATTGTTATATCATGACAATGTTGACTTTTTAGGTACTTCTTGAGAAAGTTGAAGAAAGTGAAGAAAAGCAATGGGCTAGTGCTAGCCATCAATGAGGTCTGCACTTCTTAATTGTCCTAGTTTGTTCCTCTTCATCTCAGCCTCATCCATGTATTGCAATGAAGCTAGGTTCCTACTTTGAAAAATTATGGAATTTTTTGCAAAGAGGATTTTTGTTTTGTATGTTAATATTGAATTACTGGGTTTAACTTCTGCATTTGGATCATCCTGAGAGGGAAAGTAGGTTTATTAGGTGATGTAGAGATTGGAAGAAGTGAAGATATAAGGTATACAGTCATGCAGAGAAACTATTAGGCGTGGTTTTGACTAAGGAAAGTCATTCAATTACGCTTAAATGGACATGGAAATTTACCTGCTGTTAGTGCTCAGTAATAAACCATTTTCTTGAGTTTTACCAACAGTTAGTCAATTTATTGTGAATTATAGCTAACATGTTTATCCATATTACATTGTTCCACTTATTTAGACAGTAGGAAATGTTGATTAAGCTAAATGAGGTGATGAAAGACACTGGATCAATGTCTTATGTAAGCCCCTTTGGGAAAGTGATAAACAAATATTTGTATTCCAAGTTCCAATTGTAGTCTTATCAGACGACGTACATGGATGTTTAATTTTTTTTCTTGTACTGATTGAAGATTTTTGAGAAAAACCCAACCAAGATTAAGAACTATGGAATTTGGCTGCGTTATCAGAGTCGTACTGGCTACCACAATATGTACAAGGAATACCGAGATACTACTCTAAATGGTGCTGTTGAGCAAATGTACAACGAAATGGCTTCTCGTCACAGGGTGAGGCATCCATGCATTCAGATCATTAAGACTGCAACTGTTCCCGCTAAGCTGTGCAAAAGGGAGAGCACCAAGCAGTTTCACGACTCGAAAATCAAGTTCCCCTTGATGTTCAAGAAGGTTAGGCCCCCAACTAGGAAGCTGAAGACAACATACAAGGCATCCAAGCCCAACCTGTTTATGTGATTCAGTTCATCTCAGTCATAGTTTAGTACCGGATTTCATTACCTGCAGCAGCCATAGACATAGTTTGCATTCTTTCAAGCCCTGAATTTTTTGTTTTTGAAAGTTGGTGTTTTACTTCAACTTTTCGCGGAGTTCTTGATTTTAATCATTCTGATGTATTCGTTCAAGGTCGGTTTTAAATTTAGCGATTACTTTGGTTTCGGTTGAGGGTTTGTCATTCCTTATTTGATATGTTCAGTTCATTGGTACTAAGTATGATTTGGTGAGTTATTCTTTAATTAAAGATTCACCTCTGACTGACATTAATCTCTAATGTTAATCTTTATTTTACTGAATATTGGAGTGAAACTTTAATTTTAATTAGAGAATTAACATACAAAATATTAAAGTTTTATCTGCTAAGAATCTTGATTCCTTGCAAGGAAGATAAGCAAGGTAGTGTTGGCACTTGTGCGATAGTCTCATTCAGTATTTGATCGTTATTTTTATGGACTATGTTTCACCTTCGCACTGTTTGTAAAAAAAGTTTGGATCGGATGATAATGTGAATTATTATTATTATTATTTTTGCATCATCACATTTTAATTAATTTTTTTTAAAGCAGTATTGATTATTTATGTCAAATTGTATGACAAAGAAAAATTTATCTTAAAAGTAATAAAAATTGTAGACTGAAACAGAAGCCTATACCTTTTATAAATTTGTAACTTTTATTAATCGGTATAACTTTTACTACTCAAACCCTAAACAGAAATGAATCTTTTCCACTAATATATTTAGAGAACATGATTTCTGAAATCATTCATGGTAAGTTTTCAACACCGCATAATGAGTTACAAATAAAGAATATAAAATCAATTATGTTAATCTTTTCCGAAATTAAAGTTTGATTGAATTACAGTGTTTTTAATTTGTTACATGTTACTAGACGCTACAATGAAAAGAAGAGGTTTTCTCTACTCAAACGGCTATTTAAGAAGTTTGAAAATCTTGATAGTAATATTTAATAAACTAAAAATAAGCAACTGTGAGTCACATGGAAAACAGAGCAATGAACTATGTGCTGCCTCTCGCTCTAAGAACATTCACCAAATGAACAACATCACGTGTAGTTTCCAATTTATGATGAAGTTCGATATTTCATGAAGGAGGACCACCTGCTTCTGCAAGGCACTCTTGAATCTACTCATAAAAGAAAAGTTGCATAATATATGGTTCAGCATTGGCACTTGTTCATTCTCTACTTTTTCTATTCTCAGTGCAGGTGGGGATATCATTTTAAATCTCAATCATACATACCATAGGTTATGAGTTATTACTGCCTACTGAATTTTCCATACCCTATCATCATTTTTGTGACCTACCATTGTCACGCAGATACAAATATAAAATAAAAATATAGGGAAAATAATAGTGAAAAACTTCTTTTTGCAGGTATGGTAATAATTAGAAGGACACTATTAAGATTTGGCCAAGAAGTTTAAATAATGTGAAGAAGAGTAATCAGTGGTAACTTCAACTAGAAAAGGGTTAACGTGTAGTTTTTCTTGAGTTGGTCGTTTAAGATTATGGAAAAACATTAACCTTGAAATTGCATGAAAGGAATGTGATTTGACATGAACCAGATTGTAATGTCTAAATGATAAAGTTTTCTACAAAAAGGAGAAAAGCTTGGTAGAATGTGATTTTATTCACTCACTTTTGATTAAAAAAAAATTGTTTGGCCTTTAGTATTTGGTTGGTGAAGGAGTCTGTGCTGTTCAAGCTTGTTATAATAATGTATGTTCAGAATACACTTAACCCTCCTTCGAAATCTGACATGCTTTTTTCTTCTTTTTTTTTCTGGAAGTCCACATGTTGCACCATAAACTCAAAAAGCCTGTGAAGGTAACCCCACGACCACAAGTTTGAAATTTTCCATGACATATCCCCACACCCCACTTTCATAACCATCCATTTTCATGCTACAACCACTGTTATTAGCTTATTATATTCAAAGAGTCTTACATTAGGCGAAAATATATAATTTTGAAGGTTAAACCTCTATCTATTTTCGGCTTATTGATGAGTTTCTTTTGGTTCAAGTTGATCTCATTCTTTGCTGAATTGGGCTCTCAATTGTTTAGTTGTGCTATCTGAGAAGAAAGGTAAGAATTCTCTGAATCCTTAAACACAGTACAGAGTCATGTAAGTTACCTTGGTCAGCTTGAAGAGAGACTCGTAAAAATTTCAGAATATCCTACTTTTGCTGCCTTGAAGTCTTCTTCACTAGCATTGGAAATTGAGTTGGTCAACATCATATTTTCAGCAAAAGAAGGAAAAATGGGAGTTCAACAAAAGCTCATTGCTTTCCTCTTTCAAGCAAGTATTGTTTTTATCATGTTTCTCCTTGTTAGTGCATCCCAAGAGCACAGGAAAGCTAAAAGCAGTCATTCAAGCAAAAAAGGCAATAACATCAAGGTATTCCATTCCTGCAGTGTTTTCTTCTTAATTTTTATCAATCAAGTTCGCAACATCATTTTGTTCATTCTATCCCTTCTCTACATTGTTATTCTTGTGATCTTCTATTTCATAGATATTAAGTGTTGTTTGTGAAGCTACCTTTTTTTCGTGGTTGTTTTATGTATGAAGATGAATCCACGACTTCAGTTTGAAATCACATTACATGGGTTTCTCTTGTGGGGTTCAATGGCGTTCTTGATGCCTGTTGGTATACTAGTCATTAGACTTTCCAACAGAGAGGGGAATCGAAGAAGGCTCAGAATTATATTCTATGTTCATGCAATTCTGCAGGAAAGTGTGTCTGAACCTCTGTTACATCATAATTTTTAATCAAACATCACAATTTTTGGTATATTTTATTAGTTTCTATTCTCTTTACTTGACAACCAATATTTGTATAGGAAAAAGAATCATTATTTTAACGGTTTCGATTTAGTTTAAAAGTGTCACTTGCCCCATTGATTAACTTTAATGATTGTGAAATGAAGATACGAGTAGCAAGATTCCAATTTTACAGTTAATTTCCCTGTCCTAAAGCTTGTTAGTTACTAAATAAGGACAACTGAGGGCTATTTCCTATTTGTTTATTGTAAAGGACTATAATGAATGCTTTGAAGACAAGAAAGGACTTTAGGAAATAATCTTCTTTGTTATTTCCAAGCTCTCCTCCTTATCTAATTTTTTAATAGAGCATGTGACAAGAACTACGCAATTATGCTGTTGGCATTAACCAAGACTGGTAGAAGTCAAATATAGCTCCACTACTAAAAATATAACTAGTTCTTACGAAAATTTTCTTGCATTGATCCTTGCTTTTTTCCGTTGAGCTTTTAGGGATTTTAAGCATTCCAAAATACTATTTTTTATTAAAAAAGAATACATTTATTACATTGAATATAAATATAATAAATACTTTTTTAATAAAATTTTGTTACTATTAGCTACTTAAAATCAACCTTCAAAGTTTAAGTTAACATTTTCCCTTTTAATTTTATGCTTATGCAATTCTTTTGTCTTTCTGTTCAACAGAAGCTTGCAGTACTTGTTGCCACTGCAGGAGCAATCATGTCCATAAAAAATTTCAACAACTCCTTCAACAATAATCATCAAAGATTAGGGGTAGCATTATATGGTATTATCTGGCTGCAAGTCCTAGTCGGCATTTTTCGACCACAAAGGTGAACCAATGAATTGGCTTTTATTAAGAAATTGAGTAACTATGCTATTTATTGGCTTAGGCCATTTAGCCTTAGCTAAAATACCAAGCTTAGAAAATTCAATCACACTTTTCTAGTTTTTTAAATCTATTTAAAGGTTTTTCATGTTCTATGTTCATATTTTCTAGAACAATTTTCTGTTTGCAAAGCATGTGATTAGTGTGGAATTGTTTTCTTGTTCTTTAGAGGATCAAAAACAAGAAGTCTGTGGTTCTTTGCACACTGGATAATGGGAACTGCAGTGTCATTACTGGGTGTCCTGAATGTATATATTGGTTTACAAGCCTATCACGAAAAAACATCAAAAAGCATAAGAACTTGGAACATAATTTTCACTGTTCAGATATCCTTGATTGTGATCTTCTATCTTTTTCAAGAAAAATGGGTCTACATACAAAGCCAAGGAGTGATTTTGGCCAACGAAGTGTTGACTCCCACTTGTCCAGAAATTCATTCACAACACAAGGATGCAGACATGAAGGCCTAGTTTTGTCAAGAAAGATGAATCAATGCCTTGCCATTCTTGACCCTCACTTCTAAAAAGGATATAAGTATTAAAAGTACCTATGAGTGTGAATTTCTTTCCATGAGATAAAATGTTTCTTAGTTTCTTTTTTCAGAGAAGGCAGAGTCATTGGAAAGATTGTAATTTCCTCCATGAGAAATTTTTTGTTGTGTTCTCCTAACTATCAAATCTAATTTATTTTAAACCTTAAGTTGTGGACATCGTTTGTCAGTGTTCATAAACATTTCAAAATAAAAAGAACTTATAACCAAAAGGGAGAACAAGAAGCCATGAAATTCTATTAAGTATTGTTATATATATATATATCATATTTCAAATTTTCAAGGAAAAAGCTGTACATAGCCGGTTAATATAGCTATTCCTAGTATTATAACAGGTGGAAGAATCACAAATGCTCCTATGGTTGCAAAGAATACTGAATCATTCCTTTGAGACACTTCTTCTAGGTAAGCTTGTCTCTTGATATTTCTCTTTTGTGAAATGGTCAAGAACTTTGCACTCACTTTCTTCAAGTTTTTACCTAATGGTATGCTGAAATCATCATCCCTTTCTCCAACTAACTGTGCAAGCTGCTCTCGGATTGTGAGTTTGCCAGAGCTTCCATCACTTTCATAACCTATAAACAAGAAATGTTCCCATCTTTGTTATCCTTTTGCCAAAAACTAAAGAAATAAGATGAAGAACCAAATATAAGAAAGTGGCTATAATAAGAGATGGCTATAAAATTTCTATTCCTTTCACATAAATAATTTGAGACACCATGCATATAAAGACTGATTCATTAACACAGAGATAAAAGGCATTGGAGAATTTCAAAAGTTGTACAGTGAATGATTGGGAGAAATAAGCATATTATGATACCAAAAATATAGATTTTACTCTCCTAAACTGAGTACATACAAGAAGAAAGTAAAAGAGTATTCACCATTAATTTAAATTAGAGACAAATACATTCTCACAATCTCACTTTACATCTTTTCGAACATTCATGCTAACAATTTTCCTACCATTCTACTACTATTGTTAAACACATTACCTTGGTCTATGATTAACATTGTTATGTGATTGCAACGTTATTGTTTCTGTTCTAAATTATATACTACATGGTAATAACGGGCAAGGATTAGTTAACATCAAAGTCAAGCCGCTTTTATAGCTTGCTTCATATTTTAATGATGTGGCAGCAACATAATCACTTTGCAGTTTGCACCTTATGATTTCAAAGGTACTAATTTTGCTTTCAACTTTTCCCTTTAAGATTTTTTTATCAATAATATCAGAATACGTTCTCCAGCCATGTGTTTATCTTCAGCATTTTCCATTTAAACTAACAAATTAACAACAAACCAGAGAAGGGTATTTAACAAGGACAATTAAATTTTCACCGCAACACATATCATTGAATTTAAGAGATGTTAACTTACATACCAGTAGGTGAGCTTGTAGACGTAAGTTGTTCCAAAAGATCCAGCTGTGCACGAGAAGAAGATAAAGATCCTAACAATACAATTCCTCAAAAGCCAAGTCAGGGATGAACAAGAAGCTCATATTGTAACATATAGAAGTATTTCATAGAAATTTACACTGGTATGATAAAAAAAGAATTAAAACAAACTTTGAACATGGTGAAGAAATGAAGTTATCTTCGATATACTCAAACTCCTTTATTTTTCTTCCTACTATATATTACTTTTGTTCTCTCACTGAAATTATACACATAACTTTCCTGCAAATATTTCGAATTTAATAAAAGTACTGATTCATTTTTGTCCTTCTAGTTAGAGATGAGCCTAGTGCATGCAACAACAGAAGCAAGAATTATTAAAATACAACTGATATAACTTTATATAAACTTTTCGACAGATGTTTGTATAATAAAAAAAAGTTCATTAATTTTTTCATATTTTAACTTATGCATGCATATTAACTTCTTAAATATGTTTTAATATTTCATCTAATTTCTCTAAAAAGTCACGAGCACAGATGATTATAATTTATGGTTTTTTTCCAACAAATATTTGTTATAAAAAATATATTTAACTTTCAACAACTAATACAGCAATTGATGCTTATCCCACTAAGCCCATATTTGAATTCAATTAAGAGAGAGAGAGAGAGAGAGAGAGAGAGAGTGGATAGGAATTGTGGGCATACCAGTAGAAGCATCATCTTGTGTAACTCCAGTGTCAGTGCCTTGTGATTGAGCACATGTTTTGTTTAAAGAAGAAGGATGGTAGAATTTGATGAGGTTGTTATGTTTGAGGGTGAGAAAAGAAGGTGATGGGTGAAGAGAAGCAGTGGTGAGATTGATGGCCATGGATTTATGCTTCATGAGAGCTCAATAGCAGTAGTGAGTTTTGGAGCCATTGATTTTGGTTTAAGCTTTGGATTTTCATTTCGCTATTTTATATGATATAATTTAATTGGCCAAAGGCGGTAGCTTCCTGCCACAAATATTATTTATGGACATATTTGGAGGATTCTAGTGCTATGTACTATGTAGGACCCACCTTTACCGTCTGTCATAAAACCATGGTTTTCCTCAAAACATTTTAGGGGAATTCTAATTTTTTTATTATGAATTAAAAATTATGCAAGTTTTTTTTTAATTTAATATATATTTTAATATTTTTATCGTTTTTAATAAATTTTATATAATAAAAAAATATGTTAGTAAAAATATATTAAATAGTGGGTTGATAGCTTCCTTCTAAATTTGAAGAGTTTTTATATTAATTGAATTACCGTTTATATGTCAGGAATCGATTTTCAAAACAAAATGTGGTATGAATATTTCATGGAGCACTTTCAAACACAGTGCATAATTTGTTACTTAAAAAATTGATTTTTCTTAATTCCAAGCGGCAAACGGAGCCACAATTAATCGTAGAAAGTTATTTAAAAAAACATGTAAAAGGGGGAAAAAAACAAAAGGATTTATTTTATATTTGATCCACGGTATAGAGAAAACATTTTATACTCATTTATTTTTTAGGAATATTTTAACATGCTAGCCATCTGGGTATATTATAAGAAAATTAAATTTATAATTTGTTAACATATATTTAGAAATAAAATTATATATGTTAATGATTTTGAATGCTAATTCAGCAAAAAAATCATGCATGCTAATGCACACTCATTTAGTTTATATGAAAAATATGTTAGCATATTACACTTTTAAACATTTTAAACAAATTAAAACTTATAAGTTACTTAGTTAAATAACTGAGTCCATGTTAGCAAATATATATATATATATATATAGTGCGTGTATGAATACGATGCTAAGGTTGCTTTCAAAAGGAATCAGTTCCAACTGCAATGAAATGCATTGAAATAAAGAAACAGAAGCATCGTATTCGTTCAATTAGTTCCAATCATAAATATTATATATATTTTTTGAAGGCTATAAATATTGTATTGAAATGAAACAAAGGTACGCGTTAAATGCATTGAAATGAAAGGTGGGCGTTAAGCAACACACGCCACCCCACACGCTCTCTTTTTTCTGCACTGTCACCAATCACCATGCAATGCATGTGCAAACAATCATATTAAGAAACCAACAAGACAAGGCAAAGGCTTGTGTTGTTTACAACGTTGATGTCAAACCAGGTTGTTCCTCGTGAAGCTCACCCTTATGCCTTTCATGTCTCTGGCCCTCGCAACTTCACTCTCCTTAATTGGAGAGACCTTATCATTTCCAGTTGGTAAGTACCCATTTCAATTCTCAGTTCAATTTTGGATTTCATCACCCTTTGTCTTAATGCCTTAATTTAAATCTGAAAGTGTTTTAAGTTTTCTACTCTTCATTGGTTGTGTGAACCTGCCTGATTATTTCTTGCGTGAAGTATTTGTTTGCTGATTGATTTTGAAGGTCTTAACACAATGGGTTGGACCACAGGAGTGTAAAGTCGCAAACTTTACCGAATCTGTTTGGAAAGTTCGTGTAATTTACGGTTTCTGATTGAAGCAACCATCATGAAATGGAAAATGAGAGCAAAATTTATGAACTGGGTTTCATCTATGTAATACGTTAGAGATGGATTGTTTGGATTCAGAGATCTAAATGATAGAATTAACAGGTTTTCTAAATGATATGTATCCTGTTTTAGTTGCCTTCTATGTAAGTCATCATTTTAGTTTCCTTATGGTTCTCCACAATGAGCAGTCAATCAGGGATTGCCTTTTTTAATTTCCAAGTTATAATTTTGGTAATTCTTGATTCAGTGTATCTATCTGTTGTAATCTTCATCATGATCCCAATTTCTTAGAATTTTGGGAAATTAATTAGTATCATCATTATCATTAACATTATTTTCTATTGGTATTCGGCTAGGATAAAGATTTAACAAGATGGATCTTTTATTGTATGAGACTTTGAATTTTGTTGTTGCCACTAGCAAGACCTCTTAATTAATCCTTCATGAGTCCAATATGATGGAAGGCATCCACAGTTTTAGTTTCATTCACATTCTTCCATAACATACGTGCATGCTGATAATTATGTTGTTAATGCAGGAAGGATGCAAATTACAAGCGCACTGTCATTGCCTGCTTTATACAAGCAGTTTACTTGCTTGAACTTGACAGACAGGAGAAGAGAACACAAGAAAATGCTCGTGCTCCAAATTGGTGGATTCCCTTCAAGTACAAGCTTAAACAAACATTGATTGATGTAAGAGATGGATCCATTTTTGGTGCAATTCTTGAATGGGATCGATCTGCAGCATTAGCTAACTTAATACCAATAAGACCAAGTGGTGCTCCTAGAGCTGTTTTAGCACTAAGAGGAACGTTACTCAAAAGCCTTACAATGAGAAGAGACATTGAAGATGACCTCCGTTTTGTTGCTTGGGAAAGCTTGAAGGGTTCTGTGAGGTTTAAGGTAGCTTTGGAAGTACTAAAATTGATTTGTGATAAATATGGAAGCAGTAATGTATGTCTTGCAGGGCATTCCTTAGGGGCTGGTTTTGCTCTTCAAGTGGGAAAGGAACTAGCAAAAGAAAGGATTTTTGTGGAGGCACATTTATTTAATCCACCTTCTGTTTCACTAGCCATGAGTCTCAAAGTTATTGGAGAAAAGGTTGAGTTTGTCTGGAACAGACTTAGATCTATGCTTCCTTCAAGTAGTGAAGCTCAAGTCATCAATGATGGAGGCAAGACTGCAGGTGTAGGATTGAAGAGTTGGATATCTGGCTCTGGTTTGAAGGGTGCTAGTTTTGGAGTGACACAATGGGTTCCTAATTTGTATGTTAACAATGGTGACTATATATGTTGCTCTTATAATGATGGTGATGGCACAAGAGAGATGGTTGTTGAGAAAGAGAATAAGGGTCCTATAAATGGACAAATTGCAGCAAAATTGTTTGTTGTATCCAAGGAAAAACAGAAATTTCTTGAGGCTCATGGCTTGGAACAATGGTGGTCTAGTGATGCAGAACTTCAGCAGGTTATACATAATAGCAAACTCATAAGCAGACAGCTTAGATCTTTATACACTGCTACTCCTTCACAAGCAACACAAGGAAAGCCTCGGTAACAATGGATGGATTTACTCTCACATTGCAAAATCTCTCGCTTTCAAACTTAATAAAGCCAAACCTGTTTTTCCCTGTATTATTTCAAAGGTTTTTCTAATATGTGCACAACAAAAACATTAATGAATAATAAATTTTTATTAAAAAAAAACAAACTCTCTCAGTGTGTTTGTGTGAGAAAATCGTTATTTCTACCCCTATACAATTTTTTAATTCTTTATACAAATTGTACCATTTTGAGTTTAAAAATTGAACTTATCTACAGCAGTAAAGCTTCATATTAATTCTTAAGATTGTTAGTATTAAGTAATTTAGTCTTTGAAATTTTAAAATAAGTTTGTTAATCATATGCTTTTTCAAACATGAAACATTTTACTATAACTAATAGTTTGTGTTATAATGTTGTTGTTAATGTTTATTATTAAATGACATTTAGAATGTCAGAATAACATCGTTTTACACAATTTTTTAAACTAATCTAACTTACGTATGTTATCATTCTTACATTCTTTTTCTTTTACCGCGGCTGCTTTTATTCAAAACTTTCTTCTTCCCAACTACTAGTGCTTAAAGGAAAAAAAAAAAAAAACATGCAAATTTGTTTCCCTTTAAATCTTTATTGGAATTTAGTCATAATTCATGTTTTTTACAAGTTTTTAGTTTAGAAAAATAAAAATAGAGAGAATGAGTTAGTGTCAATTTTTTTTTATTTAGTATTAACTAAAAGAATAGTATAAAAATTGATGTAATGGAAATAATGTGCAATTTTTTTTTTCACTTTGCATTTCAACGTATCAAACACTCTATTTCATTAAATAAAAAAAATATTAATGATATACTCTTCAACATACTTTTTATAGTTAATTAATTTTTAGAAAGTAAAATACTTTTTAAAATAAAAAATTTATAAGATAAGCAATTTGTCCTTTTAAATGGTTAATTAATTATAAAAAAATATGTTAATGAATGTGTTAAAAGGTGAGATAAAAAAATGAATGAACACTGGATGGGGTTTAGTTTTTTCAACGGTTGAGAAGATTTGCTCCCATAGTTTACGAACAATACCAGCATTGAAACAACATTAAAAAAAAAGAAAAAAAAGCAGTGTGCTTCCATTCACAGTGATTGGAATTTTTGTTCAAACGAATCACATCCAAGGTAAATAAAATGATGTCAACTCTTGTTCTATACTGCAATTACTTTACTTATTGGAAAATGGAGACTAATAAGATGACTTGTATTCCAAGGGAATCTTCCAAGTTCCAACTCATCATTAAAAAATGGAAAGAACTTGTTTTACCAATAATGTACGTAGAAATTAATACAATTTCTGATTGATGAACGAATTGGTATAATTGGAAAGGAAAAACCATTTAGAGTATAAAAAAAAAGAAGAAAATTTAAATTTTTTTATTAAAAATTACTATTAATAGTTTAAAAATGTATTATATTTTTATAATTCTTTCAAGACATCATATTTTAATAATTTTAAATATATATATATATATATATATATATATATATATATTAGTAATTTTTTAATTTTTTTCCTATATAAAAAGAAAAGTGCTTGTTATGATACTCCTATAATTAAGAGATATTATATACTTGTTTTTTATATTAAGTGGTATAATTTTTTTAATATCTTTAAAACTAAAAAATATTTATATTTTTCAAATAAATCACTAATCCTTATTTTTAAAGAGTAGGATTTACCGAAAAGAAAACCCTCCGAACGAGCACTACACGAAAAGTGACTACAAGCATATATTAGAAATGTGAGTCATAAAAAATTCGTATTACGGAGGTGGGTCATGGGCTTTACCTAAACAGAATTAGACACTAAATGTTCTCTTGGCAGAACAGATCTTCTTTTGTTCTCTTCTCTTTTTTATTGTATGCTCAGTGCTGATCTCTTACTCAACCTGCACATACCCCATTGGATTCATTCCTAGACTGATGGCTAACCAAGTGGTTCCACGTGAAACTCACCTTCATGGCCAACCATCTGGCCCTCCCAACTTGATTACCCTTAATTGGAGGGACCTTATCAGTTCTAGTTGGTCAGTACTCATCCCAATTCTAAGACGAATTCAGTCTATTACTCTTGGATTTGGTGTTCCTTGACAACACTCTACTGATGCTAGAGCTTGACCATAGATGTGAAAAGTTTGTTATTGCTGTTGAGAGACACAGCAATACTAGTTGCATGTGTGATTTTCTTGTTTTTAAGTCTCAGTTTTCTTTTTGTTGACCGATTTTGAGGATGTTAGCACAAAGGGTTGGAACACGAGTGTAAAGTTGCAAACTTTACCAAATGGGTTTGCATGGCTTTTGAATTTACTGTTCCTGACTGAAAGAACCAACTTGAAATGGAAAATGATAGCGAAATTTGTGAACTGGATTTTATCAATTGAAATAAGCTGGAGACAGGTTCCAGAACAACAAAGATCAATAATGTTTATCTTGTTTTAGGAAGCCTTATAAATGATCATTTGGTTGTCTTATTCTGTCAATCAAAAACTGCCTTACCTTTATAATGCCGAGGTTATATTCATGGATTTCTTATTGTATACAATACAGGTGATGTGAACTTGAGAGTACCATGTTGGTATTAACTCTAGCAAAGAGCCGTTTACATTTGCCGAATGGAAAAACATTAATAGTTTGGTGGCTTTTACATTCTTCTATGTATGCGCATTGCTAATAATTGTTTTGTTGTGTACAGGAAGGATACAAATTATAAACGAACTGCAATGGCAAGTCTTGTACAGGCAGTTTACTTGCTTGAACTTGATAGGCAGGAGAACAGAACACAAGAAAATGCTCTTGCTCCAAGTTGGTGGATTCCCTTCAAGTACAAGCTCATACAAGTATTGATTGATGAAAGAGATGGGTCCATTTTTGGTGCAATATTTGAATGGGATCAATCTGCAGCACTGGCTGACTTTCTACCAATTAGACCAAGTGGTGCCCCTAAAGCTGTTTTAGCACTCAGAGGAACATTACTCAGAAGCCATACAAGGCGAAGAGATATTGTAGATGACCTCCGTTTTGCTGCTTGGGAAAGCTTGAAAGGCTCTGTTAGGTTTAAGGTAATTCTGGAGACACTAAAATCAGTTTCTGATATATATGGAAGCAGAAATATATGTCTTGCAGGGCATTCCTTGGGAGCTGGATTTGGTCTTCAAGTGGGAAATGAACTAGCAAAAGAAGGGATTAATGTGGAGGCACATTTATTTAATCCACCTTCTGTTTCGTTAGCCATGAGTCTTGGAAATATTGGAGCAAAGGCAGAATATGTCTGGAATGGACTTAAATTTATGTTTTCTTCAGGTAGTGAACCTCAAGTTAAGAATGATGGAGAGAAGACTTGCAGTGTAGAATTGATGAGATTTATACATGGATTTTCAGGCTTGATGGATCCATTTTTATCGGATGTCCTTGAAAGGACATCAAGCTTGATGGATGCTGGCTTTGGTGTGGAAAATTGGGTTCCTCATCTGTATGTTAATGATAGAACTAGGTACAGAAAGAATGCAATATTATTGAATTTCTGGAACAACAGAATACATGCACTAATGTTCTGAGAATTATTCGAGTAGTTCTCAGTCTACTCCCAAGGTTATTTTTTACCAAAAAAGAAGATCCCTGATTATCTTTATTTCTTCTATTTATAATGTCCTAAGTTGTAACGGTTTTTAGTTGAAAACTATCCAACTGTCTCTTGGGCTCTTGGGTTCTGCTCCCCTACAACTGATCCCTTCCTTCTCCTATACACCTTCAAGGGACGATCTCTAACAATACTCCCCCCTAGGACTTGCACCTTGTCCTCAAGGTGGGTAACAGAAAAATTCTCCTTAATGCTTTGCCAACTTTCCCAGCTATTTTCAAATTTAGGAAGCCCCTGCCATTTGATTAAAACTTCCCACAAGTCTGACTTCAAGCAACGAACATCCAAAACATCTTCAGGTTGAGTTATCAATTCATAATCCGCTTGAAGCATAGTAGGAAGAGGATGGGCTTGTGCTGGAGGTGTGACCGCTTTTTTAAGGAGAGAAATGTGAAACACAGGATGAACCTTACTCCCATCCGGTAATTCCAATCTATACGCCACAGCACCAATTCGATCCAAAACCTTAAAAGGGCCATAATAACGAGGGCTCAATTTCTGATTCACCTTGGTAGCCAAAGATTTCATCTTATATGGTTGAATTTTCAGATAAACAAAATCACCAATCTGAAATTCAAGGAACCGTCTGTGCTTATTGGCTTGAGAACGCATATAATCTTGGGCTTTCAACAAATTAGCTCGTAACTCACTCAATAATTCATCTCTGTCTTGAGTCATTTGATTAACCTCTTCCACTCTCGAAGGAACAGTGGTACCCTTCCACAAGATAGGAGGATCTTGGCCATATAAAGCTTTAAAAGGTGTCATTCTAGTGGAAGCATTGTAATTTGTGTTAAACCAATATTCTGCCCAACTGAGAAAATCTGGCCATTGTTTTGGTTTATGGCCTGTCATACATCTCATGTAAGTTTCAATACACCTATTCACCACTTCCGTTTGACCATCCGATTGCGGATGGTAAGCTGTGCTAAATCGGAGCTGAGTTCCAACACTTTTAAATAACTCTTTCCAAAACTTACTCATGAACAATTGGTCCCTATCTGACACAATAGAGCTAGGAAAGCCATGCAGCTTCACCACTCCTGTCATAAAGACAACAGCGACATCCTGAGCTGTATAAGGGTGACCAAGGGAAAAAAAATGAGAAAATTTAGTAAGCCTATCAACCACCACAAAAATAGTGTCTTTCCCTTTTGATTTTGGTAACCCGCCGATAAAATCCATTGAAATATCAGACCAAACCCGTGTAGGGACAGGTAACGGTTGAAGTAAACCTGCTGGAGATAAGGCCTCATACTTATTCCTTTGACAAACATCACAAGCTGTCACAAAATCCTTTATATCCTTGCGCATTCCTTCCCAATAAACCACTGCCGCCAACCTTTTGTAGGTACGAAAATAGCCCGAATGACCACTTACTGCCGACGCATGAAAATCAGCTAGAAGTTGTGGAATCTTTGTTGACCCTTTTGGTACCACCAATCTGCCCTGGAAATAAAGTCTTCCTCCTCTTAGTTCATACCCCTTGTGCGAATTAGGAGCAACTATCAAATCATGCTGAAGCTGTTGTAGTTTTGCATCTTGTAATATCTCTGCGTCCCAATCCTCCAACTCCTGAAATTGTAAGACAGTCACAGCAGCAAAATATGTTTGTCGAGACAGGGCGTCCGCTGCTGCGTTTTCCTTGCCGGGCCTATACTGGATTTCGAAATCATAACCAATGAGCTTAGAAACCCATTTAAATTGCTCTTCACTCATAAGTCGCTGCTCTGTCAAAAACTTTAAACTCCGCTGATCCGATTGGATGACGAAATGGCTTCCTAACAAATAATGTCTCCATCGCTGCACAGCCTGTACTACTGCCATTAACTCTCTTTCATATACTGACTTTTGTTTGCTTCGTGCAGATAAAGCCTTGCTCCAATAAGCAAGAGGATGACCCTCTTGAAGTAAGACAGCTCCTAAACCACAGCTAGAGGCATCAGTCTCCACCACAAAAGTTTTGGTAAAATCTGGAACAGCCAATATAGGTAAAGAAGTAAGAGCTTGTTTCAGGTCGTCGAAGGCAGTCTGAGCTTCTGCATTCCAAGAAAAACCACCCTTTTGAAGCAGCTGGGTTAAGGGTTTAACACGTCTACCATATCCCTGCACAAATCGTCTATAATAACCCGTAAGCCCCAAAAATCCACGTAACCCCTTCACATCTTTAGGAACTGGCCATTCCTGCATAGCGGCAATTTTCTTAGGATCTGCTGCCACTCCCTGTCCAGAAATCACATGTCCTAAATACTCTAAGCTGGTTTGGCCAAAAGAACACTTCTCCTTATTAACCTTCAAAGAATGCTCCTGTAGTATGCGTAACACTTGCCTAGTGTGATCGATATGGCATTCCAAACTTGGGCTGTAGATGAGAATATCATCAAAAAATACCAACACAAATCTGCGTAAAAAAGGCTTCAATACCTCATTCATCAAAGCTTGAAATGTGGAAGGAGCATTAGTTAATCCGAATGGCATCACAAGGAATTCATAATGGCCTAAAAGCTGTTTTTTCAATATCTTCTTCCCGCATTCGAATTTGATGATATCCCGACTTTAAGTCCAACTTAGTGAAAATAGTAGCACCGCCCAGTTCATCTAATAATTCCTCAATAATAGGAATCGGAAATTTGTTGGGAGTAGTTATCTTGTTGAGGGCCCGATAATCCACACAAAATCTCCAACTACCATCCTTCTTCCGTACCAATATGATGGGACTAGAATAAGGACTAATACTGGGCCTTATAACCCCTGCTGTCAACATCTCATTTACCAACTTCTCAATCTCCGTTTTTTGGTAATGAGGATATTTATAAGGTCTGATATTCGGAATCATAGATCCTTCCTTTAAATGAATAGCATGATCTTGTCTTCTAGATGGTGGTAAACCTACTGGAGTTTCAAAAATAGTTGGAAATTGATGTAAAAGTTGTAACATTTCTATAGGAATCTCATTGCTATCCTGAACTGTTTGTTCCAGTGAAAAACAATCCACCAAAAACCCTTCTTCTTGCTGCAATAATCGAAACATAGTCTTGGAAGATGCTGATGATCGGCATAACGTTGGATCTCCCTTCAAAATTTTTTCCTCACCGTCTACCTTAAACCTGATAGAAAGTTCTTCAAAGTTAGCTTTAATGTCTCCTAAACCGGCCAACCAATCTAACCCTAGCACCAAATCCGCTCCTCCTAAACCAAACACGTAGAATTTCTGTTTGATCTCCATATCCGCCAATTTGAGAAACAATCCTTCACATACTCCTTGACATTTAATTCTGTGGCCATCTCCAACTTCCACGAAATAAGAAGAAGTTTCAGTGACTACTAAATTCAATTCCTGCACTAATTGGGTAGATACAAAATTATGGGAAGCTCCACAATCTATCAGAATTACCACCTGTTTTTCTTTTACTGTGCCCCGTATCTTCAGAGATCTCTTAGTTGTTAACCCCACTATGCTATGCAGGGACAGTTGAATATCTTGCTCATCAACCAGAGTGTTACCCTCATTGGGAGCATCTTCTTGGAGTCCTCGATCCTCCTCCAATATCATCATTTGAAATTGTTTATTTTTACAAATGTGATTAGGCCCGAATTTTTCATCACATTTGAAACATTCCCCTTTCTTCAACTTTTCTTGCATTTCAGCATCAGTTAATCGTTTGAATCCCCCTGTTCTAACTCGTCCTTCTCCCCCTTTATTACTACCACTACTGCTCACAGCCCCTTCATTGCCTCTGCCCTGAATCCTGGACCCTTGAGCTGTTGCAAATGACCCTCCTGATTCCAAGCTTCGATAGGAATTTGCAGTCTTACTCCCCCTTAAGAACCCTGTTCTTCCCAATGCTGAGTTCTTCTCTTCCACCAACATGGCTTTCTTGATGATTGCTGATAACGATTGCGGCTCATATAACTTCACCTCTGCACTGATATCCCCACGCAAGCCATTCAAGAAAACTTCCATCAAATAATTTTCATCCATACCCGTCATTGCTCCTGCATATCTCTCAAATTGACTTACAAATTCTGCAATCGATCCCTCTTGTTTCAGTCGCAATAAGGCTGCGAACGGATTCGGAGCTGTGGTAGGTTGAAATCGCTCCATTACTGCGTTACGAAATTGATCCCATCCGGGGTTAGGGTTACACCCTTCCCACCAATGGAACCAACTAAGAGCGTCATTTTCTAGTGCCAAAACCACTACATTCATGCGATCTGCTGCACCCACTTCTCGAATTCGAAAATACCTTTCTATTTTTTGGATCCACCCGTACACGTCCTCACCCACAAATAGAGGAACGTCAATTGTGCGCCAATTTGCACTTGTCCTGCCAACGCTATTTCCTTGCTCACCTTCCGATCTTGAACAGCGCGACATTCCTTCCTCTTCTTGTCTAGGTTCTGAACGCTGCAATAGCGTATTCAACATTTTTTCCAATCTTTGAAATCGCAAATCTTGTGCTTCTAAACGTTTCTCCAATGTCTCAAATTTCTGAGCTTGCATTTGTAAATCCCCTTCTCTTTGCGATATTATTGTTTTCTCCAAGGCGTCGATCCTACTATCCATTCTTGTATTCGCCATTATTCAATTCCCACGGCACCTGGATGTTGCTCTGGATACCAATTGATAGAACTAGGTACAGAAAGAATGCAATATTATTGAATTTCTGGAACAACAGAATACATGCACTAATGTTCTGAGAATTATTCGAGTAGTTCTCAGTCTACTCCCAAGGTTATTTTTTACCAAAAAAGAAGATCCCTGATTATCTTTATTTCTTCTATTTATAATGTCCTAAGTTGTAACGGTTTTTAGTTGAAAACTATCCAACTGTCTCTTGGGCTCTTGGGTTCTGCTCCCCTACAACTGATCCCTTCCTTCTCCTATACACCTTCAAGGGACGATCTCTAACAGTTAACAGCAATGACTATATCAGTTGCTTTTATAGTTATACTGATGGAACTGGAGAGAAGATTACTGACGAGGAGAATATGAGTCCAATAAATGGGTCGAATGCAGCAAAGTTGTTAGTTGGTTTCAAGGAAAACCAGAGATTTCTTGAGGCACATGGCCTGAAACAATGGTGGTCAAGTGATGCAGAACTTCAGCAGGATATTCATGCTAGCAAACTCATAACCAGGCAACTTAGATCTTTGAACACTGCCACACCTTCCAAGTACTACTTTTACTTTATCCACATATTGTTTCAGTTGCCATGAGTCACATTAACATTAGCGAAACGACAAATTTTGTCTGGAATATACTAAAATCTGTGCCTCTTTCAAGTGGCAAAGCTCAAATCAGCAATCATGTTGGAAACAGTGATTCAGGTGTAGGTTTGAAGGGTTGGATACCTGGATTATCTTGCTTGAAGGATGCTAGTTATTGGGTGGTGAAATGTGTTCCTTATCTATATGCTTACAAGAACGATGGCACAGGAGAAAAGATGGTTGACAAGGAGAAAGTTGTTCCTACAAATGGGCAAATTACTGCAAAGTTTTCTGGTGTCACCAAGGAAAAACTGAAATTTCTTGCTGCCCATGGCCTGGAACAATGGTGGCCAAGTGATGCAGAACTTCAGCAGGCTATCCATGATAACAACCTCATAAGCAGGCAACTTAGATATCTATACACCGGTACACCATGGGAATCAAAACACTTGTTAAATCCATCTTGTGTTTCATTTGGCTTGAGTCTCAGTAACATTGGACAAAAGGAAGAATTTGTCTGGAAATGGAATAGTCTTAAATCTATGCTTTTTTCTAGTAGTGAAGCTCAGGTGAGCAAAGACATGGACAAGACTTCATGTGTAGGATCGAAAAGTTGGATACCTCAATTATATGGCTTGAAGGATGCTAGCTTTGCTGTGGGCAAATGGGTTCCTCATATGTATAGTAACAGCAGTGACTATATAAGCAGACAACTTGGATCTTTATATTCTGCTACACCTCAAGTATCACATCTATTCAATCTACCTTCTGTTTTACCAACCACAAGTCTGAGGAATACAGGAGAAAATGCAGAATTTGTATGGAATAGACTTAAATCTATGTGTCCTTCTAGGAGCGAAGCTCAGGTCAGCAATGATATGACTTCAGGGGTACAGGATTGAAGAGTTAGACACCTCAATTATCTTGCTTGAAGGATGGTGGTTTTGGGGTGGGCAAAATGGGTTCCTCGACTGCAAGCTCACAAGAGTAATGACACAGCAGAGAAGATGTTTGGCAAGGAGAATATAAGTCCTTCGCTTGTAGCACAGGGAAAGCCAAGTTGACCGTTGACAAAGGATTTATTGTAGTTTTTAAAATGACTCGTTTTCAATCTTATTAATGAACCCTGTGAACAAAGTAACTTTTTAGTTTCCTTTTATAATAAGAATGGATTTACTCTTGAATAGAGTGTCTTAATATTTGCATACCTTTCATTCATGTATACATTCAGCTCGACTTTAATTCGTTTACACTTGATATTAACAGTAGATGAACAAACTTACACAGATGATTTGAACACTGAAAGCATAGGGGGCGAATTTCCTGCTCTTCATTCCATTTGGTTTATAGGAAGCACGAGTTCCGTGGAATTATGAGTATTGTTACACGTATGCACCTGTTTTTCTTTATCCAAAATATGATCGTAATTGTTAAGTTAGATCCAATTGCTGTCATACCATGTTTTTCTTTATCACAAAAGATAAGCGTTCTCACGTGATATTATCTTTTACACTACATGAATGATATTTGCAAACATAAAACATGAAGTAATGGATAATTCAATGGCCATTAATCATAGGGAGAATGAAAGCTACATAATTTGTCTCCAACTTCCATCAAAAAGAAGGGAGAGGAGGTGGGAGTAAGGGGATGAGAAAAGGAATGCTGATGCCTCGTAGTCGCAGAGTATTGAACTACTTTATATTCATACAAGACATTGAAGACAATAATATAGTACAAAATTCCGACACAGGTAGGCTTCGCGATTTTTTAGGTCCAACAAACACACGAGATATAACAGAAATTCCTTATGATTGGCAGCAATTTTGCAAATACAAAATCTTAACATCAATTTCACTTTGTCTTTGTTAGACAGCATAGCGGTTATATTTTCGATCAATACTTTGATAGGATCTACTAGTTTAGACAAAAGATGATAACTAATTTGATTAAAGACAATAACATAATTTCAACAAAAGAAAATAAAGATTATAACGTGAACTATTGCATGAAGCTGTGACAAACTTACTGAGAAAAATATAGTTTACCCTACACATGAAAGATATTCGCAGGCGTAGGTAAGACGTGATCAGTGAAATAATCGATTAGATGTCCATTAATCGTACGGAGTATACAACATCACTTGTTTCTATCTTCCATCAAAAAGCTATATTTCTCTACATTGAATATAACAATTAATCGGGAAAATCGAGATTAACCAACAACAGTAATTCCAGTAAAGAAAGAAAGAAGGAAGGAGGAAGAATAGAAATGAAAAAGGGAGAGAAAAAAAACTATTAAATCATTTAAAACCTTTGTACCTCATGCTTGCTAGCAGAACAAGCAGGCCTCTTCCTCATGTTTTTGCAACTAAACCCTTTCCAACAACTTTCAAGAAGCAATCTGGGAAGTCGCAGATGTGGTTTATTTGCTAGACTACAAATTACTTACTGGATCAAGACCTTGAGGAGGTCTGAACCTTTTCAGTCAATGACGAACCCAATTGAAGCATTAGAGGATAAACAGGGCTAAACTCCTTATCTCCTCTGCTCCTCACATTTACAGCATAATCATCAAGTGTTGCTTTGATGCCCTTCCAAATTTGATCCTCCCCTTGAGAATCTAACCACAATGAATACTGTAACGGTGTTAGTTTGTTTCTTTGAAGGGGTGACTGCAATTCTTCAGGACCACGGCTATATAGATGATGTAATATGACATTTGGTGGCAAATCTTGAAGAAGAGGAGATGATGCAAGCTGCGATGTTTCCAAGAAAATAAGTGGACGAAATGCTCTGAGTGCTCGATATGGTGCACCAAGTTGCTCAACAGGGAACAAATTTTGGCCCACAGCTAACTCCAATTCAGCCATATCCCTGGCCATCCTCAACTTGCCTGATTCTGAAAGTGGTCTGACAAGAGAAGCGTGTCGGATGAAGAATACTAGAACACGTGAGGCCATACTCTGGACAAGCCTGGTGCATATGTTCTCTGTCCCTGGAGCTGTAGTATTTCTGGAAGGCAATAACCTAGATAGAAACTCACTGCGGAAGTGAAGAATACACTTCTGGAGTTCCTCCATGTAAGGTGAAGCATTGTTGTCCATAGCAGCATCCATGCCAAGTACACCAAAGTTCTGATCATGTATTTGCAAAATGCAAGACTCGAGACGATCCAGCATTGCCTGGAATAAAGATGTTACTGAATCACAAGCAACACCATATATTGCACCTAATGAAGCAGACAACACCTCTGCAGCAATACTAGGCATTCCTTTAAGCATAGAGGATACTCGTGTATGAACATCTTGCAGATGCTGACACAATGTAAAGTTCTTGAGTTGTGCTGGTGTTGCAGGACCACTTACTTGACGTGATTCAGGACCAGTAGATATCTGCCATTACAATGAAAATGACCAATTAAAAGATTAGAAACTATGCTTCTACAAAAGTTGTCTTGGAAAAAAAATGGGCTTTGGGTTTGTAAATACTACAAAACTCATACACAAAGAAGAAAAAAAAATAAGACTTCAGATTCGAGAGAAAACATACAGCAAAAGCACTTTAATATCACACAACTGAAAAAATAAACATAAAGGTTCTCCCTTCCAAGAATAAAAGGGATTGCAGCAAGGCATGGTCTGGAACCATGAAGCATATCTCTTAAAAATAGTCCCTCAAAGCCAAAATGCGGACAAAACACTAGACCAACCACTATCTTCTGTAGAAACTTGACACTTCTTCAGATGTAAAAATTTAATCACAAGACTAAAAGCAATTAGGCCCAGCCCCAGAAAACTCACTAGATCAACTAAATTCAGATATCACATCAAAGAAGCAATAGAAAACCATTACAGCCAACACACATGACCAGGCCTATTACCTTACCTGTCTTCAATCATTATGTCTCACCAAATCATGACAAGTGACAACACTTTAGGTAGTATATCAGTAAAATATTTGATAAGTCTAGCCAAAATATTAATAATTTAATACAATGAGAAAGAAAAAAAGAGCAAAATGAGCAAGCAAGTTAAATAATTGAAGGGTCGCTGATCACTAAAATGTGATACAGCGAAAACCAACACCACAATATCCATATGAGCCCGTCAATGACAGAACAATGCATCTGTAATGCCATGATTAACTGTAGTGAAGATTTTTCTCTTCTATGAATCCATTCTTTCCTTGTAATAAAATATTCTTCTATAAAAAAAATATAAAGTTCTATAACAGCTAACTTATAGCCTTCACGAAAACCCATGAGCTAGATAGTGTTGAATTTCTTCCTAAGCTAATAAATGCAGGGAGGGCTTAAAACATCTAATGAACAGCATACAACACCTTAAATACAACAACATCCTTTCTTTTTACCTGGTATTCAGCCCTTTCTGCAAAAAGAATTAAAACCTTGCCTATTTCACGCAAAACAAGAAGAGTTAAGCGTGCATCCATTTGAACAGCTTCTATCTCTTCCTGAATGCGTGATATAATTCTTGATATTTGTTCCTTGGATGGAACACTTCCACGACTGGACATTGAAAATACAGAATTCACTAGATCTGAAAGGCGACTCAAGCAATGAGCCAAAAATGCAGTCTGGAATATTTCGACAGCTGAAATTATCTGTTCTTTTCCAGATGTATTAATAGCTGGTAACACTCCTTTGACATCTGTGTCACGTGAAATTCTTTCAAGTAGATTCTCTATCATGGTGTAAAGCTTTGGATATCCCATTGTAAAAATCTCTTTAACAAAACTTGATGCAGTGAAAGCAGACTTCATTTGGCTTGCAAAAGCCTTTGTAATGGCCTCCCACACTCGATCTGTTAGCATGGGATCACCTTCCTACGCAGCAGCAGTCAACATCAGAAAAATGAGAGGAAAAAAAATCCTAGTAGAAAATAGGAAAGTGCAAATAATAGCAGCCAGCATATGTACTATACTACTATGATCCTCAGTAAGAACTCAATACTGTTAAGTATGAGAAATCCTGAAGACACTAAACCCCCAAGGAAGTCCATTGAAGCTGTTTCTTTGTACATGGCATCAGATCACATCATTATCAAAACCTAGGACAAAAAACCTTATAAAAAAAGATCAATGCAACTTCTTTGCACGTCTAACATATTGATTACTTTATTACTCTTTGAATATATATAGAGGAGTAGATTTTCAACAGATCTAGTCCAATTCAATGCAATGCATCTAGGTGGTATTTGATGCATCAAAAGAAAACGGGCAGTCATGGATTTTTACAATTTCTCTACCATGCATCCTATACAGCATATTCTGAGGAAGGTCTTTGACAGTATAATGTTGCATAAAGCTGGAAACCAATTTGAATAATTCAATAGCAAGGAGAAACAACAAACAATTGACCTTGAACTCCTTACTCTCGCTTCAGTTATATATAAGTAGCACATTAATGCACAAGTCACCCAGGGCTAAAAAAGACTAAAAAAAGGAAAGTTTAAGAAGGCTGGAAAATGATTTTAATTGCACAGTGAATTCTCTACTGAGAATAAAACATGAAAATTAAATTCTGGGGATCTCTAACTTTTATAGATCTGTTAACACCAGTGCAAAAAATATTCATAGATCTTGTCAAGCCAGTTTCTTCAGAACAAAATCAACAATGATTGATTCAATTCAAACTTCTAACGTAACACATGTATTGACAAACAATTTCTACTTTCATATGAAGGATGCAATGAGCATATACTAAATGTAGGAATCCAAGCAACAGCCATAATTTTGTTTTCGTGTAAACTAACTACAAATCAACCACAAAACAATGATAAACCACCGTTACCTGAATAACCTCATCGAGCAACAAAACATGGGTAAAGGGGTCACGTTTCTTGGATAGAACTCTCTGCAAATGCCACACAGCAACAGCAATGGAATGCAACTGATCCATGCAATTCCCCAACCTCTGCCACAAAGCTTCTCTAGCCTTAGCTCCTCCTCCAATCTGAGGCGTTCCACTACCTCTAATTCCACCAGGACCGAACCCACTTCCACCAGATCCAGAAATTGCCTTCATATCCAAAGCCACACTCACACTCTTAGCACCCAAACCCTTATACTTGTTCACCACTTGCTCCACAGTGACCTTCAATTCCCCAAGGTTGTAGAAAACCTGCAACCCAGTTCCAACCTCAGCTTGATTCAACCCTTCCATTCCTCGTTCTAGAACCTTCATCGCCTCGCTCCTCAACCGATCTCCGGTTTCCCTCACCCAATTGAGCTCTTCGTCGACGGCATCGATGCCGGCAAGGTCGTATTCCTCGCAGAGAGTGAGGATCTCGGAGTGGAGCTGCGCGGCCTTGGCGAGATCGAGCTTGTCGGAGTCGGGGGAAGCGGCGATGAGGTCGCGGAGCTTCTTGGAGATGCGGAGGGCGCGGATGGAGTGTTGGAGGAGTTCGGTGGTCCGGTGGAGATTGGAGAGTTGGGTGGTTTTGGAGGCGATGGAGCGGTGAGGATCGGAGAGTTCGGATCGGAGGCGGCGGAGGGAGGATTGGAGGGAGGAGAGGGAGGATCGGAGGGTGGAGAGGGCGTGGTCGGCGTGGTGGAGAGAAGAGAGTTGGGAGAGGAGGTCGTGGTGGCGGGAGAGAACTTCCGAGCGGAGCTGGTTTTCGAGGAGGTGGATGGCGTGGTGAAGTTTCTCCGCCGTGGAGGCGGGGGAGCCGGAGGATAGAGCGGCGGAGGAGAAGGATGTGGAGGAGAAGGATGGGGAGAGGAAGGCCGAGAAGATGGGATCGGTGGCGAGGGAGTCAAGGGCGGAAGAAGTTGTGGCGGTGGCGGTGGCCGAGGAAGGGGATTTGAAGGTGGAGAGGCGTTGCATTGGAGATGCGGCGGATGATACCGGCGACCTCGCCGCCGCTGGTGACGCCATTGTGGTGTTTTTGGTTTTGCAATGAAGGGTCCTCTACTCCAGTCTATAGACACTTGGATAGTTAGTGTGTTTCCTTTCTTATTCTTTTTATCTGTTAATATAACTTCTTTTTGTTTATTTGAATGCATTAACATTTTAGTTTCTTTCTTGTTATCTTTTTTAATCATATTTTCTTATTCTTCAGTCATCGTTAACATGTAATTTTATTTTATTTTATGCTTTTATTGGAATTTAGTATCACATCAATGTTTTATAATTGATATAATTAAGTTTTTCCACACTTTTTAAAACAGTTTATTAATTTTTTTCTTAACTTAACATGATTGCATTATATATATATATATATATATATAATGGCATAGCTATGCATAACCCCTTAATTAAAGCTACCTTGAGAGAAATACTAGCAGGTTGTAATTTAACATTGTGATTTTTTATCAACACAATTACATTTTCTGTAATAACACCTTCATTATTTTTATTATTATTACATCTAACCGTTCATGTTTATAGAATTCTCCCTTGCAAATATCAATATCCAACACTGCCCTCCTTTCAAATATGTTGAAAATATCTTATATCAGACAATAAAAAATCATTATTTTCCTCTCTTTTTATATTTTAGATATAGCAAATTTATTTATTTATTTTGCAAAAAGTTAACTTTTTCTTGAATTTTGTTCTTAAATTACCTACCTTTCAACCATATTTTTCTAAAATGCTCTTTTTAAATTTGGCATAGGTTCGTCAAAAAAGTATATATTAACTTATTTTTAAGAGAAGTTGGTGTAAATTTATATTAACTTATTAAAAAAATCATTTGTTGATATTTTAAAAAATAATGAATTTTAGATCTTACACCAACTTCTCTTAAAAATAATAATTTAACCTTCCAACTCCTCTTATTTGGTTGAAAAGACAGAAAAGAAGAAAATTTTAAAATTTAAATTAATGAAAATCTTTTCTCTAATAAAACAAAATATTATTATCCATATTTTTTGGGTCTCTTTCATCCAAACATTTAATGTTAGCTAAATAAAATAAACTATTCGACGAAGACATCTTACATGATTTCTGTATGCTTAAAGTAGATTACTAATTTTATAAGATATTCATCTAATCATTTTCATGTATTATTCTTTAAAACTATAAGTATGAACTTGACCCGAAGAGATTCCATCCGTTTGATGTCACTTCATAATAGTTAATGAGCATATAAAAAACTCAAAAAATAATTATATTGAATTTAAATATCATTGTTTAAATTTGTGTAATAAGAAATGTGACCTAAAAAAATAAAAAATAAGAAATGAACCAACAGAGCTCTGCTTAGTTGTCACGTTAATCAAACCGACATATTTGTTCATTAGAATTAATCATTTATGTTCTTCTAGTTATTCATTCCAAATCATTGAAAATATAAAACAGAGCTTAACATAGAAGGAGATGATTGCTGGTGCTCAAGCAAAAGATGAAATATATAACATATATTGAAGCAGAAGAGAATTAAGAAGCCTAATTTGTGTGCCCATTTGTAATTGATAAGAAGCAGCAGGCCATGAATATGAAAAAAGAATGAACAAAATGAAACAAGAAGGAGGAGAAGAATTCAGAAGTTGCAGCCACAGCAAAGGTAAAAGAAGCAGAGGGTGGAGACAAGAACCACGGCCTCAGCGACGCAGAGTATCTTGAAAACGACAGTATCGACGATGGTGGTTTGAAAATCCAGTCGTTTCCACCTAAACGCAGAGAATCTCCACTTCTTCTTCAACCAGGTGCTGCTCTTCTTCTTGTTCTTCTTCTCCATCTCTGATCTCTCTCTCTCTCTCTCTCTCTCTCTGTAGAGTGAAAGTGAATGGATGAGTTGTTATTCTTTATATATTGGGATTGGGTGGAATGCTTCATAGACAAGGATGTGCTTCTTGTCTAAATACTACTTTTCTAATATTTCTCATTTCTCTTAATCATAATCAATTTCCACCAACCTTGTAATTCTCAAATTTTCAAGTTTATGATTAAAAGAGAAAAGTGTGTCTAAGTTATGTAAAAAATTATACACACATCAAATCTTTTCACACTCATAATTTTTATATTTATTATGTATCTTTTATTTAACTTAACATATAAATTATAATTTATTAGAGTTAAATGATAGGTATACATGTTTTTCATGATTATTGTTAAATAAGACAGATTTGTATAAGAAAACGTTTATGCGAAGATATTTGCAATTGATTCACATCAATGGGTAAGTAATTTCACCGATAATGTTTAATTAGACTTTTAGTTGAGTGGAGCAGCTGATTTCCTGCATCGTTGCGTGCATCGTGAATCATGACAGGGACTTAATATTTCTTTTTTTTTTTCTGATAAAAATTAATTAAATTTTCTCTTTAAAGTTGAATATAACAAAAATAAAAAAGCAAAATTCAATTGCAGATTTCTTTGAGGATGTAATTTAATTAAAATTAAAATTTTGTTTTGATAATTTATATAATAACAATTAATATTAAATATTAGTATATTAATATTAAAATTTCGAATATATAATTGAAATGAAATTTGAATTTTTTTTATTAAAAAGCAATGTTAATAATATTTATAATATTACACCCTGGAATGTGTGTTAATATAACACTACTTAATATTTCACGCGAGAAATTAATTAAGAATCCCTCAATCTATTTTATGAGATAGAAAAAAGGGAAAGTAGATTACAAAAATGTCATTTTTCATTAAGACTGTTATTGAATAGTTATCCTTTAAGTTTTAAGTCACTAGTTGACATAACTATTGTTATTTGATAATGACTGAATTAGAATAAAGGAAATAACGTTTCCATTAAATATCTAACTCTAAAAGTAATCTAAAGATGTCTTTTTCTTTAGAAATATCTATATACATTATCTTACTTTATTTCACCACACTTGGGTGGAAAAATGAAAATTATAAGCTACTCATGCATAAAAAAAATGTCCATTTCCTCATATTTTGAGCATTTTTTGTGATTGTAGTGTGTTGAAAAGACAAAATGACGTTAATTAGTTGATTGGTTCCCTGATTTCACTTTGTTATGGTCCCTCCCAAAGGGATCAATGAAATGATCCACTTGCACTTAAACGTTAGCAAACCATCGTTTTCTGCTACTACATACCTCAATTTTCAATTATTCATATTTTTTACATGTCATTTATATATATTTATATTATTATTCATTTCAATTACGTAACGGTCACATATAACATTGTTAGCAAATAAAATATAATAATATCATAGAAACCTTTTACGGAATGACCGTTTCATAAAGCAGCCAAATAATTTAAGGCTACTTTACAATATTGGATGAACTCAACAAAACAGCTTCAAATATGAATTACTTCTCCAAATTCACCAAAATCACCCACCTTTTTTTTTATTAGTTCCTCGATATATCGAGATGTAAATTTTGTAGATCTTATTCTAATCAATTTTCAACTTCATTATTATTATAATTTTTTTTTATAAATTTACATTTTTATATTAAAAGTTCTTTTTTTAGTTAACTGTGCCAATTTTTCTCCCTTCTCCTCTCTTTTCTTATTTTTCAAATTTTCAATAAATGTAAGAATAGTGTAAGAGTCAAGTGATCTCCATGATTATTCAACAAATAGGGATGGTGGTAGGAAAAGGGTCTGGCAAAGCTTTTGTTAATATGGTCTATAATTCCTCAAACTTGAAACTTATGAGTGAGAGTGTAGTGCTTACGAGTAATAACATACATGTGTTCCTCGAACTCTAACCCAACAAGTTCAAATGCTCATATTATATCAAAATTAAAATCTTAAATTTGAGATTTATTTATTTTTTGTTCAAAATCATTAAAAATTAGTAATGTAAGCAATTTCTTTTTCTTTTCATTTTGGTCAAATAAAGTAAGCATTTTCATCTTTGGGCATTTCTTTTTTCTTTTTTCTTTTTTTGTCAAGGGGTATTTCATTTAGCAATAAATGTGGACTTCATTCAGAGTAATGGGCTTAGGGAATAAAGGCTCCCTGCTATGGGCTGTATAGTTTTTATGCGTACCATATGGGCTGACTTTGTAGAATATACCAATACCGTTGAAAGTTGACAAAAATCAGACAGAAGAAGAAGAAGACGACAAAAGACACTGTGGAAGAAAAGAAGAAAATATATACAGACACTATGAATAAAAAAATAAAAAAATAGAGAAAATGGGCAATATCAATTATTTTAATATTTTCAATATTTAGCCCATAGAGCGTTTAAATAATAATAATAAAAAATTCACATCTCACAGATGTCATGTGGTTAAATTTTGTCCAAGATACTGGTTAAAAAAATAAAAATAAAAATTATAGCATTTAACTATTATAAATGAATTTATGTCACTATTTTCAATAAAAAAAATTATTCATTAATTACTTAGCTTGAAGTAACTCCTAAGCAAAACCGTACATTTTATTAGATATAACAAAGAAGAAATTATAACACAATGCAACATTTCTCTTTTGAATTCTATTAATATGATCGGATTCAGATAATCAATCTATACCAAACAAACAGATGATTGTCACAAAGTGACACAAACAATTGTTTGTCTGCTTTTGCCAACTCTCACTCAAAAGGCTACGTTCCTTATCTCATTGCTGAGGAGAGCACGTGTCCATGAAATCACTTGAAACTAAAATTTGGTGCAACCAATGACTATTTCTATTTCTGAAAGGCACTTATGTCTAAAGGGCTTAAAAACAATGAAGCCAAATATGTAATAAGAGATAAAGTTTGGTTGATGGTGGCTACCACTTGGTGAGATGATGGCTCACTTGCCACAAACTTTCGCATCAAACACATGTGGGCGACCCCTTATTTTTTAACCATTTGGTTCGGCATAAACTTGGTATTGAATGCCTTACAACAGTAACAAGTTTTTAAATGAAGTATGAATTCAATTTAATCCACTTTGAATGTGAAGTATTTTAATGTGTTACGTAAGTTTGTGAACACATAAGATGTTAATTTTACTAAATAACTTGATAACATATATATAGATGATAAAACTATTGGTGCAAGTGACCTGTCATCGCTCTTCAAAGTGAATTAATTAATTAACATGAGCCTGCATGATCAATGGTAACTTAAGGCAAAGATTTAAAATTTCAAAAATTGAAAAAAAAGAAGATAAAATCAGTTATATTTCAAAGGAAACATTTTAAAAATTGAGAAGCACAATGAAGGCAAAGATTCAAAGAAAGATGCAGGTTTATGGGAAGCACAAGGGATGGCAACAAGAAGGTTGCATTGGGAAGCGCAAAAAAATTGAAAATGGTGAACAGTTCTTGATTCTTTCCTCACAGTTAAACCTTAAAATTTATTCAACTTAAAAAATTTGTGAATGTTATTTTTCAATCAATAAGACCCACGTAAATTTTTCTTTATTTATAATAAACAGTGTAGATTGATTATTTAAACAACAAGAGACAACGTACACAACAAACAAATATGAACAAAGAATGAAGAATATGCGGCTCACCATTCCCTATCATGTGGTTCTCTCTCTCTCTCTCTTCTTCTCCTTCTATCTTCCACCCTTTTAACATGTCTCATTACTCAACTCTTCCTTCCAACACAACCTAGATCTTTGCACCTTTAATACCATAATTCATACAGTTACCTACTTCTGCAAAGAAACATCTTTTCATTAAATTTTCTTTCACTTCCCTATATTACATAAGCACGTGGACAAGATTAATGTTCATGATTTCCCGCGTAAAATTCATGAACTAAGATAGTGTTACATACAAACCAAAGAACCTATTTGTATCCTTATGGCTGGAAATGAATGGATTAATGGGTACCTTGAGGCTATACTATCCACTGGAGCTGCCACTGTTGATGAGCAAAAGAAGGTGGCTCCGAGAGAAAGTGGACATTTTAATCCCACCAAGTACTTTGTGGAAGAGGTGGTGACTAGTGTTGATGAATCTGATCTACACCGCACATGGATCAAGGTGGTTGCCACTCGTAACACTAGGGAACGTAGTTCAAGGTTAGAGAACATGTGCTGGCGCATTTGGCATCTTGCCCGAAAGAAGAAGCAGGTTTTTCTTTTACATGTTTAAATCGATCATATACATCTTACATGCATGCATGCCTAGGAAAATTATTTCTGCTTTTGTGATTGAGGTCTGAGGGTATATATATGTTTCTATATACTTTGCAATGTTTGTTTAATTGTTTGATTTTGTTGAATATTAGCGTTAATCTTTTTTTTTTCCTACAAACGGAATAGAATCTCTAGTACCAAGGTGAATGTAACACTAGTATGCTACTGTGTTTCTATGTAGTTGGAAGGGGAGGAACTGCAGAGATTAGCAAACAGAAGATGGGAGAGAGAACAAGGACGCAGAGATGTAACGGAGGACATGTCTGAGGAATTGTCAGAAGGGGAAAAAGGGGATGGTATTGGAGAGATGATACAAATTGATGAGACAGCAAAGAAAAATTTCCTTAGGCAGATTTCCAACTTGGAAGTATGGTCTGATGACAAAAAGGAGAAGAAGCTTTACATTGTCCTCTTGAGGTATATTGTATTGTTCACAATCATAACCATAGCATCTGAAAATCATTTTGAATTGACATCTCTGCTAAGAAATGTGTTTAGCCAATCTTTTTAAGAAGCAGCCTTGTCTCGTGGAATATCGATTGTATACTGAGGAGAGAGGATTAATATGAAAGAAATTGTCAAGCTTGTGCTATAAAAGCCCACAAGTTTTCTAAGAAATTTTAACCATTTTTGTTGTTTAACCATAGTCTCATTTTGTCATTACTCCTGTAGTGAAACTATACAATCATATGTCAATGTAATGTTTGATGTGGATTTGCCCTTTTGCAGCTTGCATGGCTTGGTTCGAGGAGAAAACATGGAACTTGGTCGAGATTCTGATACTGGTGGACAAGTATTTGGCATTCTTACATAAATAAGCTATATTTGTGCTGCTTTCCTTCTCATTTGATTGGGGCTTAATGATTTAATCAATGTATTTTACTATTTTCAGATTAAATATGTGGTAGAACTTGCTCGTGCATTGGCAAATATGCCCGGAGTGTATAGAGTAGATCTCTTCACACGCCAAATCTCATCTCAAGAAATTGATTGGAGCTATGGAGAGCCAACAGAAATGCTAACCGCAGAGCCAGATGATGATGATAACATTGGAGAAAGTAGTGGTGCATACATCATAAGAATACCCTTTGGTCCACGTGATAAATATCTCCCAAAAGAACTTCTTTGGCCATATGTTCAAGAATTTGTAGATGGAGCATTAGCTCACATTCTCAATATGTCAAAAGTATTGGGAGAACAAGTTGGTGGGGGTCAACCTGTTTGGCCTTATGTAATTCACGGACATTATGCTGATGCTGGAGATAGTGCTGCACTTCTTTCAGGTGCTTTGAATGTTCCGATGGTACTCACAGGTCATTCACTTGGAAGAAACAAGCTAGAACAACTTCTTAAGCAAGGGCGTCAATCAAAAGAGGATATCAATTCAACATACAAGATCATGAGGAGAATTGAAGCAGAAGAACTTTCCCTAGATGCTGCTGAACTTGTTATCACTAGTACAAAACAAGAAATTGAAGAGCAATGGGGACTTTATGATGGGTTTGATGTCAAGCTTGAGAAAGTTTTGCGTGCTCGTGTAAGACGTGGTGTCAATTGTCATGGTAGATACATGCCAAGAATGGCGGTAAGAATAGAATTAGTGTTACACTCAAAGTTGAATGTCATAATATTTTTATTTCTTAAAGAAAAGAAAACAACTTTAATTACCAATTTTTTTTAGTGGATGGTTATATGTATATCAGTTACTATATTTGATGTTTTCTTATGTACCTTAACATCACTTAATTCACAATTTTTGTTGAATGTCTTATAAAGTACTATTTGTTCAAACTTACGTAGGTTATCCCTCCTGGTATGGACTTTAGCAATGTTGTGGTACAAGAAGATGGCCCTGAAGTTGATGGGGAGCTCTCACAGATTACTAATGGTGCTGATGGGTCTTCACCAAAAGATTTACCTCCAATATGGTCAGAAGTGAGTAACTAATATGTCTGCATATTTGGTGTTACATTTTATTCATTGTTATTGACCTGCAACTAATGGCTTTGTGTAGGTGATGCGTTTCTTCACAAATCCTCATAAGCCTATGATCTTGGCCTTGTCAAGGCCAGATCCAAAAAAGAACATAACCACTCTATTAAAAGCTTTTGGAGAATGTCCTCCCTTAAGAAAACTAGCTAATCTTGTAAGTTGACATAATTCAATTGTTCTCTTGATGGACACTATGATTGAGAACTTGTAAAAGGATTAATAATATGTTGTCAATCAGACGCTTATAATGGGAAACAGGGATGACATAGATGAAATGTCAACTGGGAATGCTAGTGTGCTCACAACAGTGTTGAAATTGATCGATAAGTATGACCTATATGGGCAAGTGGCATACCCAAAACATCACAGGCAATCTGATGTTCCAGAGATATATAGGTTTGCTGCAAAAACAAAGGTATATTGAAAATTTTAATGCATCAAACTAACTTCTCATGTTTTAAAGATGATTGCCAACCAACTAGTTTTGAAATTTCTTTCAGGGAGTTTTCATAAATCCAGCTTTAGTGGAACCATTTGGTCTTACTTTAATTGAGGTAGGTCAAAAATAACTACCCACTTTGATGATAATAGTTTCATCTTAATGTTTATTAAATATGTTTAAACTCATGCAGGCAGCTGCACATGGGCTTCCAATGGTGGCTACTAAAAATGGAGGGCCTGTGGACATTCATAGGGTAATTGAAAATTTCCTTCATGTCTTATATGTTGTGGCATGAATTATTTTGTCAGAATGCATCAAGGCATTAGAAATTAAAATAAAATTTACATTTAAATGCAATAGAATATGGCCATTTAAATATTGTATTTCCACATTTTATTTATTTTGGAAGTCAAACAAGATCAACAATGCATTACCTTGTAGCCTCTTACTATGTCTCATTGTCATGTTAGGCCCTCAACAATGGTTTGCTTGTGGACCCTCATGATCAGCAAGCAATTGCCAATGCATTGCTGAAGTTGTTGTCAGAGAAAAATCTATGGCATGAGTGTAGGAAAAATGGTTGGAAGAACATACACCTTTTTTCATGGCCTGAACACTGTCGTACTTATTTGACTAGAGTGGCTGCTTGTAGAATGAGGCATCCACAATGGCAAACTAACACTCCAGAGGATGATAATGTTGTTGAAGAGTCTTTGAATGATTCACTTAAGGATGTGCAAGACATGTCCCTTAGACTCTCAATTGATGGTGATTTAGCTGCAGCAAGTGGTGGTCTTGAGATACAAGACCAAGTAAAAAGGGTCCTAAGCAAGATAAAGAAGTCAGATTCTAGTCCAAATCAAGATGGTGTAAATAAGATTAGGAAGCAAGATTCTGGTTCAAATGATGGCGGTGAGAATGTGTTGCATGACAATGTAACTAGCAAATATCCTTTATTGAGGAGAAGACGTAGGCTGATTGTCATAGCAATTGATTTATATGACAATAATGGAATTCCTGAGAAGAAAATGATAGAGATACTGCAAAGGGTAATTAAATCTGTTCAACTAGAGCCTCATACTGCTAGAGTTACAGGATTTGCACTATCAACTGCTATGCCAATGCTAGAAACAGTAGAGTTTCTTACCTCAGGAAATGTTCCAGTAAATGAGTTTGATGCTTTAATTTGTAGTAGTGGGAGTGAAGTTTACTACCCTGGTATTAATGCAGAAGAAGGAAAGCTTTTGCCTGATCCAGATTATGAGGTGCATATTGACTATCGTTGGGGATGTGAAGGTTTGAAGAAAACCATTTGGAAACTTATGAATGGTTCTGAGGGTGACGAAATTTCTAAAAAAGTTTCTAGCCCCATTGAGGAAGATGTGAAGTCAAGCAATGCCCATTGCATTTCATACAAAATAAAGGATCTTAGTAAGGTACATGAAATTTATTATTCTAATTACATAATGGCAGTATGTAAATCAGTTACAAATTGATTGAGGGTGTGGGATAACAACTTCATTAAATTTTTATTCAATAAATTATTATTTCACAAGGAGTTTATACTATAAATTTGACAATGAATCTTATTGATTGAAACAATTTATTTTAATAAGTTACATAAAAAAAACTTTTGAAATAAGCTGAAAATAGCTAACAAGATTCATAAGATATTTGCATAAACTCTATAAGTTCTTCTAAATGCACCCTGAAATAATCCCATTATTTATCTATTTCAGGCAAAGAAAGTTGATGACTTGAGGCAAAAGCTTAGGATGCGAGGATTACGTTGTCATCCTATGTACTGCAGGAGGTTATCTAGAATGCATGTGATTCCACTTCTTGCATCTAGAGCCCAGGCACTCAGGTAATAAAATAGTTCACACTTTATAATAGTCTATAAAGTAAAAAGTTATATCATATATGTAGTATATATGAATACACACTTGGGAAGCTCATAGTGCCTTCAATGAGTGGGTTATACTTAATTATACTCATCTTGGAGCATGCAATGTTGCATAGTTGCAATCACTTTGTAATATGAAGTAATTGAATGTTTATTATTTGGTTGTATTAGGTATCTCTTTGTACGTTGGAGATTGAATGTTACAAACATGTATGTCATCCTTGGAGAAGCTGGGGACACTGATTATGAGGAAATGATTTCTGGAACTCACAAGACCATAATCATGAAAGGAGTGGTGTCTAAAGGTTCAGAAGAATTATTTAGAGGTCCAGGAAGCTACCAAAGAGATGATATTGTCCCAAATGAGAGTCCTCTTGTTGCATACATTAGTGACATAACAGAGGAAAAGATTGCTAATACTATGAAGCAACTCTCAAAATGTGGAGGAATCTAAAGTGCTACAATATAGTTATAGTGTAAGTATAGTTTTCTTTTGCTTTCTCTCCTTTTTTAAAACAATAATACATTTAGCTTGTAACAAAAAAAGTAATACATTTACCTTTCCAAAGTACAAAATCAAAATTGGATGTAATTATTTGTTACCTTGTAAAAATGTGGCCAGATTGTGGTTTCTTTTGTTGCAAAATGCTTTTCTTGTTAGAATTTAAAGAAAGTTGATATAATTAATTTTGAAAACAAATAAATCATGACCCTTTCATTAGAAAAGAAGAAGCTTAAGAGATGAAATTTTAATATACTTTTATATACTAAATTTGAATTCTCATTTTTAAATAGGAGTATATAAGAGTTAATCTCATTTTTATTATACTCCGTGACTTTATTTTTTAAATAAGTATAATCAATTTTAATATTAACTTAAAATTAGTGTAATTTCAATCAGTTTTAATTTTGATTTGATTTAAAAATGTTGACACGCCGTATTAATAAATAAGAAAGAAATCTTATAAATTTAAATTTAATGAAATTTAGAAACTATTTTTATTTTTTAACAGAAAAATTCAGGTCTTAGCACTTTTTTGGCTCACTCACTCTTTCTAGATTATTTATATCTAGACGAGAGAAAAAAAACCTAATAAATTATATTTATGAATACAATTATACAAATCCATAGATATGAGGTTATCACAAATATAAAGAGAACAATGCTCTTTAGCATTATGAATTAATGGTACCAAAAAGTTACAGAGAGTTAAAATCATTCATGTTTATTAGTTGGTATATAACTACACTTTATATTTATAAATATTTATGCAAAAAATACCAAAAATATAATATTTTTATAGAATAAATAAAATAAAAAACACTTCCTTCTCATTCCTAATTTACAATTAGATGGTTTGCATATCTTCTTAAACTCCATTTACAAGTGTGTATAAAATGAAATGATTTTTTTATTGTATATCTAAAAATACACGATAAAAACTTTAAAAAAAATAATTTTTATTAAAAATTATAACATCTAATTTTTTTTAATAAAAAAATGATTACATGTAGATTTTGTTGTATTCACAGCACTAATGAAATGACACAGTACAAGGAATGGAAGATCCAAGTGGTCCACTCTTCTGAGTGATAATGGGTCCAGAGGAGTTATGGCTCTCACTACTTTGATGGCTTCTTTTCATATTCTAATCAAAGTTCCATTTAGATTCCTAGTTTTTATGTCTGTTTTTGTGTAACACCCCATTATCACATTACCATGGCTATGGAGATAGGTTACAATTAGATATGATTTCAAAATCAATTAACATCTAATACAATTATATTTTTAAAGGTTTAAAATTGAAATTATATGTTATACTAAAATAATTTTCTGGTAACTGGTCTACTAAAAATTTGTTAATTTTAAAATATATGGATCTTTTACCTCTTCGGACATTCATGTTAAATTTTCACAAAATAATTTTATTTACTTTTTCAAAAACAAAAATAAGAAAAAAAAGGATAAATTGATGTGATTTAACAGATTATCATGTTTCAATACATGTTTAAAAATATATTAAAAATAATGTAAATGTGAAATTGACATAAAAATTTTAATTACTAATACTAAAATAAATGTAAATTCATGACTATGAGTTCAAACATATACTAAATATTTTTTCAATGACGCGACTCTAATCCAATCTAACTCTAATACCAATTTTAATCTTTATAATTAAAAATAATAATTTAAAAACAATTTTTAATAATTTAACTCATTTAAAAAAAACCATATAAAATAAAAATGTAAAATTCATTTATTATTTATTTAAATGTAAATATTTTATAAAAATAATTAACTTTAAATTAATAATTAATAATCTTCACTTTCTTATTTTATCTAATTATTTTACTTCTAATAAAAATTAATTTTTTGTATCTATTATAAATTTAATTTTTTTTAAAATATAATTGATTTATTATCATCAATATTAACTGACAAGAGTAATGTTAATTTAATTGTGGTCTCGAGTTAATTTTTATATTTTATTTACATTTTAATTTTAAATAAGAATATATATGTGTGTGAACATGATCTTTTGTAAGTCTAAAAATTTTCAAACCAAATTTGAATCTTTCATTAATTTATATCTAACGGATTATAATTTATTACTTCACTAGTAATTAGATGTAAATTAAATAAAAGATTCAGATTAGACGTAAGAGTTCTTAGACTTACAATGATGTAAGAAGATTCATATATATATATATATATATATATATATATATTATTCTCATAAAATATTAGAAGTTAGAATATTCTTTATGTTAAAAAAGTTATTATGTATATGTTTTAATTAATAATTTTTATTCTTGCTTTTTTTAAAAAAAATTGAATGTGTGTATTTTTATATTTTATTATTAATAAAAATATTAATTAATTTATTAAATTAATTATTTATATTTTTATATTCTAATCATATTTATGAATACACCAACTATTAATTTTATTTTAAAACTTAAAACAAGACGATGATCATTCTTAAGTTTACCAGGATTAATTACACGCCCCTTTCTCTAATAAATGCAATTTAAAACCCCAAACTTATTGCAAGTAAATTTTAAATAAGAACTTTAGCACCTGTCTGAAATAGATCAAAAAGGAAAAAATGATAATTTGTTTAAAATTCTTTTAAAAAGTTCAAAGAGAAATGAATTTTTTAATAAGTTATTTTAAATACATATATTTTATGTGTTAACTTTTGATCTTTTTAAGGAAAAAAATAATAAACAAAATCTTTTTAAGATCTCAGTTTAGCGACTTTTGATTCTATTTGTTTATTTATTTTTTTTATAAATTAAGAAACTCATTTATTGAAATAAATTATTTGATATGCTGATTTAAAAAGAGTTTTACTTAATTACAATTTTAACTTAACACAGGATTAATCTCAATGTTTTATCTATAAAGTGCTTTGTGAAAATAATAATAATAATAATAACGTTTAATTTGTCAGAGCAGAATTTTTCTCCAATTATATAAACAATCACACAACCTATACTATAAATGTATATTAATATTAATTATAATTCAATTTTATTAACATCCATACTTAAAACTAATTTTAAGCATTTAAAAACAATAAATCTCAATTTAAAAAATATTTATTACTTGTAATTACTTAAAATCGAAAATGTTAATTGTTAACATTGTTATTTATGTTAGTGCAAGTTGGCACGAACAAACAGTCCAAGTCTGTTTCTCAGATAACAAAACCAAGTGTTGTCTGACCAACAGTTGAGAGACACACAACTGAACTGAACTGCATAGTCTTCTACGAACTAATAAACCTGTCTCTCTCTCTGTTTCTCTCTCGGTTGTTATTTTTCATACTAATTTTCTGAGTTTCTTCACCCTTTGCTTTTTGGCAAGGCGAGGTGAAGAGGGTCGTTGTGATCTATGACCAACCATCGGAATTGCTTCACTGTGGACTTAATGATCCTCAATGTGGCTCTGGCTTGCATCGATGCTCTTCTTGCAATCATTGCATTTGCTCAGGTTTGGATCTTCCTTTTTGTGTCACCTTTCTATGACATTGCCTTTATCACTTGTTGAAGTATTTGTTTATGGCTTTATATGTATAAATAAGTTTATTGTAAAATTCTTTGCTCAATTCTGCTTCAAGTATTCATTTTGAATAAAGGTTCATGTCCTAACTGATGCAGTTGTACTTTCACTCTCAAGCCAGGTTAAATAGAATTCAAGAATAATTTATGAACTGTTTGACATGTTTTAGCACAATCACATGGCAGGTCCTCAGGATTCATGTGCGAAGTCAGCAAAATGATTGGACACGCCAAAAAGTTAGTGGCATCTCATCAGATTTTTTCAAATTCTGTTTATTGTCCCTGATGTTTGAAAAATGCTTCAAGAATTAGACTTAGCCTTACATTTGATTATGGACTACATGGTTTTTGTTGCTTCTTTCTTGTGCTTGGACTATGACTGCTATAAGGGAGTTAGCCCAACTCTTATATAAAGGGATTGGAAAGGTTTATAATTTCATGTCTTTGTTTGAATTTCATTTGTTATTTTTTGTGCCTTGATCTCCTCTTTTTTCATAATATATCTTTTGTTTCCTAATAAAGTTCCTTTCATCCGTAAAATGGGTCCTTTAACAGTATTGGCTGCTATTTTTCAGGTACTTCATCTCATGGTTGGCACTTCCAACTTAGGTATGGTTGAGATTCACTGCTTGATTCCATGAACAATTTCCCCTGTATCAAATTTGCTGAGAATTGAACATTGAACTTAATTTGGACAATTTTTATTGACAAAATTGGATCATTTTAAAGTTAGAATTATAAATGTGTATTACATCTACCAAACTCTTGTCATAGATGCAATATCATTTTTAATGACATTGATCTTGTTACCAACTATAGGGGAATGATTTGCATCTGAGGCCAAGTTTGAGGCCGACAGTTTCCTCTTATTTATTAGAATGAAAAGTCAAGATATCCATTCTACCGGTAATAAAAATAATCTCATTAAAAAGGTTGTTATATGTAATAATTTCCTTGTTCTGCTTTCAATTTGGATACTTAGTTGTTCAAACCAACTTAGCCACTGGAAGCCATCGACTCTAACTGTAATATCCAATAGCGGGGTGGCTCTTGTTGAATAAACTTAAATGTCGGTTTTTAATTGGTTTTAATTCAGCAGTTTTTTGTTAGAATAAAAAGTCAAGAGTTAGCAGTTATGTTTTTTGATAAATGGTTATAATGGGTTTTGATTGTAGTTTATGGCTATTAATAGAATTTAAGTTTTTTTATTTTATAAATAGATCATTGTATTATTTGACAAAAAGTGTGAGAAATATACAGACAATTTTTTCTCCCCTATCGATTTTCAATTCTACAATTTGGTATCAAGAGCCTATGGCGAGTGTGACCAATAATGTGCCACTGCCTCGACTAACGAAGGTGAACTATGAGAATTGGAGCATTCAAATGAAAGCTCTTCTTGGGTCTCAAGATGGTTGGGAGGTGGTAGAAGAAGGTTTCAAAGAACCGGAAACTACCACGGGATATTCGGCAGCTCAACACAAGGCGTTGAAAGAGACGCGATCGAAAGATAAGGCAGCTTTGTACTTGTTGTTTCGAGCTGTTGACGAGTCGGGCATTGAGAAGATTGCGAATGCAACAACTTCAAAAGAAGCGTGGGACATTTTGGTGAATGTGTACAAAGGAGCTGACCGGGTTAAACAAGTCCGCCTTCAAACTCTTCGTGGTGAGTTGGAAAGCATGAAGATGAAAGAGTCAGAAGGGGTCTCTGACTACATCACGCGTGTTCAAACTGTGGTGAACCAACTCAACCGAAACGGAGAAGTTTTAACTGATGCACGAGTTGTGGAGAAGATTTTGAGGTCGTTAACTGACAATTTTGAGAATGTCGTATGTGCTATAGAAGAGTCAAAAGACCTATCAATGCTCACGATCGACGAGCTCGCTGGTTCTCTCGAGGCACACGAACAACGTAAGAAGAAGAAGAAGGAGGAGATACTTGAACAAGCACTTCAAACCAAGGCGTCAATCAAAGACGAGAAGGCACTCTATTCTCAAAACATTCGAGGTAGAGGACGTGGTCGTGGAAGTCGAGGAAATGGTCGCGGTGGTAGAGGTCGCGGTCAAGAAGAATATTATGAGGAGAAAGAACATTCAAACCAGCAAAATTGGCGTGGAAGAGGACGTGGTCGTTGGAGAGGCGGTCGATCCAATTATTCCAACATCGAGTGCTACAAGTGTGGCAAATATGGTCACTATGCGAAGGACTGCAACTCCGATAAGTGTTATAATTGTGGAAAGGTGGGGCATTTTGCGAAAGAATGTCGGGTCGAGAAAAAGGTGGAAGAGACAACGAATTTAGTCACGGAAGATGTGGAAGCAAAAGAAGGTTTTCTCTTGATGGCACATAACGAAGTCAACACCAATAACAACACGGTGTGGTACCTTGACACGGGCGCAAGCAATCATATGTGCGGGCACAAGCACTTATTCAAAGAGATACAAAAGGTTGAAACTGGACATGTGTCATTTGGAGATGCGTCGAAGGTTGAAGTCAAAGGCCAAGGTACGGTTTGTTATTTACAAAAGGATGGCTTGGTTGGGTTAATCTAAGATGTATATTACGTACCAGATCTCAAGAGCAACATTTTGAGTATGGGACAACTCATGGAGAAAGGTTATTCGGTATTTATGAAATACCGGCTATTACACTTGAAAGATAAACACGGGCATTTGGTTGCTCGAGTTGAAATGGGGAGAAATCGCATGTTTAAGCTGAATTTGACAAGCGTTCGAGAAAAATGTCTGCGAGTCAACGTAGAAGACAAGGCTTTGCTGTGGCATCTCCGTTTTGGTCACCTACATCATGGTGGTCTAAACAAGTTGGCAAAGAAGAACATGGTGCACGGGCTACCGGACATGGACTATGAGAACAAATTTTGTGAAGAATGTGTGCTCAGCAAGCATGCGAGAACTTTATTTCAAAAGAAGGCAGAATATCGTGCTAAGGAACCTCTCGAATTGATTCATACCGACATATGTGGACCAATCACTCCTGAATCTTTTAGCGGTAAGAGATATTTTATTTCTTTTATTGATGATTTCTCACGAAAAACTTGGGTTTATTTTCTGAAAGAAAAATCCGAGGCATTCGAGGTGTTCAAAAAGTTTAAAGTGGTGGTGGAAAAAGCAATCGGTAGACACATCAAATCGGTACGATCTGATAGAGGTGGCGAGTATACTTCAACAGCTTTCATGGAGTATTGTGAGGTGCAAGGCATAAGGCGATTTCTAACCGCACCATACTCTCCCCAACAAAACGGTGTGGCCGAGAGGAAGAACCGGACTGTTCTTGATATGGTTCGGTCAATGCTTAAAAGCAAGAAGATGCCGAAAGAATTTTGGGCAGAAGCCGTGCAATGCGCTATCTATGTGCAAAATCGGTGTCCATATGCGAAGCTAGATGATCAAACACCACAAGAGGCATGGAGTGGACAAAAACCAACGGTTTCTCATCTCAAAGTATTTGGTAGTGTGGCCTATGCACACGTGCCGAATCAGCAAAGAACGAAGCTTGAAGATAAAAGCAAAAGGTATGTTTTTATTGGGTATGACAACAAAACAAAAGGATACAAGCTACTAGACCCAATAAGCAAGCAGGTTGTGGTGAGTCGTGATGTACAAGTTAATGAAGCAAATGAGTGGGATTGGAGTAACTCAATGGAGGTTATCAATGAAGATGGAGAATCATCAACCGCTATACCAACAATCACACTGACAAATCCTGAAACTACCAGTGATGAAGATGAACCGCAACAACCCAGAATGCGAAGTTTGCAAGATTTGTATGATTCGACAAATGAGGTACACATTGTATGTCTTTTGGCAGATTCCGAGAATATAAGCTTTGAAGAGGCGGTGCGAGACAAGAAATGGCAAACTGCCATGGACGAGGAGATTAGAGCAATTGGCCGCAACAACACATGGGAGTTAACGGAGTTACCGAAAGGAAGTCAGCCCATTGGTGTGAAGTGGGTGTTCAAGAGAAAAATGAATGCTCAAGGCGAGATAGAACGGTACAAGGCGCGACTTGTTGCAAAGGGATACAAGCAAAAGGAGGGAATTGACTATGATGAAGTATTTGCTCCTGTTACAAGAATGGAGACAATCCGATTGCTCATTTCACAAGCGGCTCAATTCAATTGGCCGATATTCCAAATGGATGTCAAGTCAGCATTCTTGAATGGAGTGCTTGAAGAAGAAATCTACATCGAACAACCACCCGGGTACATGAAAAGAGGAGAAGAGAAGAAGGTGCTGAAATTGAAGAAGGCACTTTACGGGTTGAAGCAAGCACCGCGGGCATGGAATTCTCGCATTGATACATACTTCAAAGAGAACGGGTTTGAACAATGTCCCTATGAACATGCCCTTTACGTGAAGAAGATTGGAGGTAATATGTTATTTGTTGCTCTTTATGTTGATGACCTCATTTTTATGGGGAACAATGGTAAAATGATACAAGAGTTTAAGAGCACAATGGCACGGGAATTCGAGATGACAGATTTGGGCTTGATGAAGTTTTTCCTTGGTCTGGAGGTAAGACAAGAAGAGACGGGAATTTTTGTGTCACAGGAAACATATGCAAAGGAGATTTTGAAAAAATACAAGATGACACATTGCAATCCTGTATCAACACCGATGGAACCGGGTGCAAAACTCTCTAAATTCGATGGAGGAGAAAGAGTTGATGCGAGCAAATATCGAAGTTTGGTGGGAAGTCTTCGCTATCTCACATGCACCAGACCAGACCTTTCGTTAAGTGTTGGCATTGTAAGTCGGTTCATGGAGGAGCCAGTTTATTCACATTGGAAGGCGTTGAAGCGAATTCTAAGGTATATCCAAGGAACGGTATCACTAGGGTTATTCTATTCGAAAGCGGAAGATTACAAGTTAATTGGGTACTCTGATAGTGATTGGTGCGGAGACTTAGACGATCGGAAAAGTACATCAGGGTATGTGTTCTTTATGAGTAACACAGCTTTTACTTGGCTTTCAAAGAAGCAACCAATCGTGACGCTCTCAACATGTGAAGCTGAATATGTGGCAGCATCTGGGTGTGTATGTCATGCAATATGGCTTAGAAATCTGTTGGACAAATTGGAGCAACAACAAATTGATGCGACTGTGATACGAGTTGACAATAAATCAGCAATTGAGTTGGCAAAGAATCCAGTGAATCATGAGAGAAGCAAACACATTGACATTCGCTTTCATTTCATTCGAGATCATGTGAAGGAAGGAAATGTGGAATTAGTGCACGTGGCAAGTCGAGATCAAGTCGCAGATATTTTCATGAAACCGCTATCGACGGTACTTTTTGATAATTGCAAGAAATTGATTGGCATGAAGGATGGCAGAAGCATTTAAGTTTACGAGGGAGTTTTGTTGAATAAACTTAAATGTCGGTTTTTAATTGGTTTTAATTCAGCAGTTTTTTGTTAGAATAAAAAGTCAAGAGTTAGCAGTTATGTTTTTTGATAAATGGTTATAATGGGTTTTGATTGTAGTTTATGGCTATTAATAGAATTTAAGTTTTTTTATTTTATAAATAGATCATTGTATTATTTGACAAAAAGTGTGAGAAATATACAGATAATTTTTTCTCCCCTATCGATTTTCAATTCTACAGCTCTTACTACAGCTTAGAGACACAGGATTCAATATTTGTGTTGTAAAAGAGATATTAAGTATAGAAGTTTGACAGCCAAAGATAACTATTTCCCCACCTCAAATTGCAGGGTACTTTATCTATTTTACAACTACCGTTTTAGCTACTTGTAATGGGTGGCTTTGCTGGTCTGGTGCTTGCGGTTTTATTCTTATGGGTATGCTTTATTTAATGGTGAATTTATGTGCAGCCCAAATTTATGTTTTCAAAGTTTTTATTGAAACTTGATTGTCTACCATTCATTCTTACTGATGAAATATTGCTGCAGCCTCCTCCAAAGTTCTGTTTTTGGCAGTATTTCTCCTCTTGCTATCATTCTGGTATGTCACCGTATTGTTTAGGTATTCTCATAGATAGATGGCTTGAAAATATGTACAGTCAAAAATGGGTTAGGGATGGCTTGGAAATTTAAGCAAGGAAGAAAAAGATTGAGACTATTGGGAAAAATTTATATTCTAGACTATAATCCAACTTTACATGCTTCACGATTAGAGATTAGATTGTTTTCATTTTTAAGAATTTGAAAATGTCAGAAAGGAGAAGATCTTTTTGACAGGGTTAGGGATGATGTGGAAGGAGAAGAAGATTCAGTATCTTCATTCCTAGGCAGTCACGAATTGTCACTTTGGAGCATTTAGTGGGATGTGCTAAATCACATGAAACTTCAAAAAACAAAAAGATATCAGAAGAAAAGATTTATAGCTATGTGTTATCAGTTTTGCTTTGCTTTAGAATTAGTTTTATGATGTGTCTACTCTTTAGTATTTTCCCATATGGTCCACTAATTTGAAATTTGTGATATAAGTAACCTAATTCAGACACAGTAAACTTTATTTTAGAAGTTTTGATTACTTAAGGCTTCAATTTTTCCTATAGTTTTACCAATAATTCCAACTTTTATATTGTTGATGACAATAACAATTTTGCTTCTAGATTTATACATTTTAATTGTAGCTGACCTCACCTAATAGGATAAGGTTTGGTTGTTGTTATATTTATTCATTTTAATGTATTCTTTTTAACACCAAGATTTTCTTCAAAATATCAATGAATTAAACAAAAATATTGTACTGCACAAATTATTTGATTGATGATTTTCAAGCTGTAGACAATTTATGCTCATATGAAACTCCTTCAATAATGAAACAGTAATTATTCATAAAGAGTGTGTATGCTTCTATGGTAAATAATTTTGTAGGGTGGACCTTTTCCATCAAGAAAATGAGGAGGAGGAGGAGGATACTGTTGAGAATAGGTCCCAGCAGGCCTTGTTGGAAGGTATCAAAAGGGAACATGGTTCAACTCCCATGAAAGACTACCAGAGATGCTGCTCAATCCCAGGCTTTCACAATGGTAGCCGACAAAAATGTGTTATAGTGGTAGAGGGGATGCGTCTAGGAATTTCCCTTGTTATGAATATGTCTACTCACTTATTCATTTCATCCCCCAAAAAAAAAATGAAAAATTAAATTCTTCCTGTCATGTGATTTTGAATCTTTTCTTCCTCCAGATTGTGGTTCTAATCTTTGTTATCATGATGTCATTCTCTATGTTGATGTGGATTGAAGATCCAATAAATCCTTCTCTTGTTGCTAAGGTATGGGAACTTCTCCATGCATTATCTAGTTTCTTTTGTGGGAGATATCTAATTTTATTTCATGAGTTTGTCTATGTTGTGAATTCTTAACATGTCATGGATGGCATGGTGGTTGAAAGAACATTCACCATGGGAATAACAGAATTCTCCCCATAGCAGAGAGGAGTGGGGAAGGTGTTCTGTTAAAGAAAATGATTAAAAGGAGAAAGAGAGAGGTAGGTATGCAGGCATTGAGAAGAAAGGAATTGGTTTAGGTTAGAGGTTCTCTGCATCTGCAGAACTCTAACTTTATGTTTTGCATTTTGCTATTCTTCTAAGGAGCTTGTCTCCATTGATTTTTACTTTTTATCAGTAAAAAGTGAGTTTAGACATTACACAACAATGCATTGGTGTATTAGGGCTTAAATTCTTTACTTCAGAACTGTTTCAATATATGGAAGCAGTTGAATAGGCTTGAGTTCTGAGGACAGCTATGATTTTACATGCATGATTGACACTTGATTCTCATATAAGTTATGGTGAAGAGAAAAGCAAACATAGGAAAACAGTTATATTTTATTTGGTAGTTCAGAGCTTGGTATTGGGTTGTCACTTCCAATGTACATATGATGATATGAATACATTTTGTGTTTGTTAAATCACCAAGGGTATGAATGTTAGTACTTATATTCAAAACTTCATACATAGCATTCATTTCATTCCATTTGGATGGTCATTATTGATTTTCTGTAGTGCTAAAACTCAATCTGCTAGAAAAGCATACAACAGCTTTTTTTTGCACATACACATAGTATTAATATTATTAATTATGACTTAAGACAAATATATGATTAATTTTCAGTATTTTGCCTGTTACTTCTATTTTTTATTTTCAATTTATACATAAAAATCAATTTCAAAGCTGATTCCCTGGGCTTATGAAGAAAAGGAATTATATGTTCATCTTTTGTCTGTGAAATTAACTGTAGTGTTGCAAAGCCTTTGTTTGCTAGTCATTACCTGTCTGTAATGGCTACTTCTGTAGGTGTACGAAACATTTCTTGCAGTAATGGTACTTGTATTGGCTGGAGCATTAGGTTGCTATGGTAAGCTACCAAATGTTCTTGCTCTCCCTTACCACTATCTTGTAGCATATGATCCACCGAGTCAGTAATCTTCTTCTCCATTAATCTTTTCCCTCCATAGGTCTCCTTCTATTCTTCAGATTAAGGAAAATAAGATCTGAGAAAGCTTCATCAGAAATGTGGAAGGTTATCTGCAGAACTCATGATTGTTAATTTCATTTTCACTTATTCTATATCTATATTTGATATTTCACTCCTTCGATTAATATCATAATTGCTTAAATGCTATTAAGCATAGATTCTGACATGGTTAGTGTCCAATATATATATATATAAGAAAAACTCAAATGAATGAAATATAAGTAGCAAATAAAAGATCTAATTTGCTAATCAGCATTTGTATGTTCTTGTATGTTCAAGCTTTTCTTGTGATAGTGCGAGCCTTAGAAAAGAATATTAAGAGACATTATTCTACAATGTAAGCACTTGGTCTCGTTACAAAATATCCCTAAACAAGAAGATGAAATTATATCTTTAAGAAAGTTATATTCACCTTCTCAAACCAACTTACTGTGTTTTAGATTTTTTCTATGATAATAAGCCTCACCCAAAAAGTGAGAGGCATTATTTTTTAATATTTTATATTGTATTTCAATTTGACTTTTCTAAAAGAGAAAAAAAATATTTTTTAAAATAAGTGTGTATCCATTCATAAGGAAAGTATCAAGTCAAGTGTCCGTGCCAACAATAAAATATTTTTTTAATTATACACTTAATAAAGAGTGTCCAACACGTTGAATAGGTGTTGGTGAGGGTCAATGTGAAAACGTGTCCTGCTACACTTCAAATAGAAGAGCTGTCGATGATTCATAGGTTAAATGTAGGCGTAGCTCTTTTTGTATAGACTGTTGTAATGATAAATTTGTTATATGCGCAGGTTGTCAGTTTAGCAATTATTTCTGTTGTATGTTTTTCATCAAGTGCATTTGTAGTGCTGGACACAGAGATTCCTGTAAGTAGTTGGCCTTAATCTTTATTTTTTTTTTCTAGTTTCACTGATAAGAAGTTTCTGTACCTGTGCTGTTTTAACTTGTCTCTTTTGACAGCTTCTCTATCAATGGCATTTGAAGATCATATACGGAGTTAAAGCTTTTGTTTTCTTGATCTTGTACTATTTTGTTGGTAATCATTCTATCTCACAACATTTCTGAATTAGTATAGAAACATTCTATTAAATTATATAGAAACATTATTGAGTCCGCTTCATACTTTGCCTTTCATTGTCTTTCCCCTTGTTCTTACAGCCTTCTCTTCTACTAAATTCTACTATCAAGAAAAAGGAAAAGTAGGGACTCTCTCGTGTCCTTTTTTCAAATCTTCAGTTTATTTTGTTTTCTAGCTACAAGAAAATAGCTGTAAATTCATATAAATTATCTGTAGATTACCAGCCCATAAAATCTCTAAACTGAACCCGCTATTCTAGTTTAGGTGATTGCTATGTTTCCTTATTTTATCTTCTTGATATTTTACTACATCTTTACTAATATACCTTAAGAATAATGAATAATAAGCTGCACTCCTTCAGGTTTCATAGACTTCCTTCGTTGTGCTAATTGTTCATTTGAGCTTTTGATTACTAATTATGGCAATTGGAAATGAAATGACCTTTTTTGTTAAATTTTATAGGTTCTTCTTTTCCATCAGCTTATTTTTTGTGGATAATTAGAGAATTGCCACCTCCAGTCATGGATAGTATACCAGAACAACCAAGAACAATTACTTTCATCAGCCACGCCCATGAAGCATCTTGTCCAATCAACCCTGGTCATGGGCTAGTCACTAGTGCAACAAGTTCAAAGAATCAGGTTCCTTTATTATGTACTACCTTCATAATTGTACTATTTGAATTGAAGTATTTAAATTGTTAAATATCATTTTGGAAAGTTTCTTTAATACTTGATGTTTAGGCATTCTGCTATTTATTTTGCCAAAGCCACCAAGCTTAGGTTTAGAATCTAGCATAACCAAATTTATTAGATAATTTCATTCTCACTGACTCTGGTTAAGTAAAATAAACGATAAACATTCTCTAACTACCTAGAGTTTAATTTTGTCTGTGTATTCCTTCCTTCTTATGAGGGATCCCCCCAATTCAAATTATTCATGATGTGTACACAATTTTGTGATTTGAATTCCCATATAAGACCTTGAGATGGGAGTTTTATCAAAATGGAAACACCAGTCAATAAGACAGAGACTTATCTCAATTATGTATGTATCTGCTGTCAATTTGTATCCCTTTAAGAACTATTGAAAAGTTAATAAGATACTTATAACCTGGAAAGAAAAACAATTTTCATCTTGTTTTCCAATCTGCCTTCCGTTATTTGGGAGGCCTTTGTTAACTATTTCATACAGCAGGCCTAGCTTCATCTAATCATATAATAATTTTTTAGGAAAATTTTAACATTAGGTCCTATTTTAAACATATTAAAGTGATAATTTTTTATTGGAAGGAAGCATTTATTACACCACAAATACAAAAGTGTATCAAACACTTTCTTCACAATATTAATTATATATATTCTGCATTTTTGTATGTACTTTCTACAACATGATACACTGCCTAAACTGAATTATTTAAGAATTTGGAGAAGAACTGAATATGACAAGCTTACTGCCTAAAAACAATGAGGCATATGCTAACTTTTATTGCCAGTGTCTGCATCTAGGTAATGTATCTTTGTGAATTATGAAGACTAGTTTGCTGCATTGATCACTTCATTTTTAAATTGATGAGTCCATAGCAGTATTTCCATTAACTTTGTTAGAAGTTATAAAACCACGTTTTCCTTATATCAACTTAAACTAGGTCCAACTATTTTTAACTTAGTACTAAAACGTTTTGTTTTTAAAATAATCAAAGTCTTAAATTTCAGTATATGTTGTAGTAAACTGAAGTTACATGCACTGATGTTGAAGCATCACATCACATGCCCTATCTTTGGTTGTAGGTATCAAGAGCAAGCCCAATATGAATGGACTTTTTGAATGATTAAGTTCCTCATGCTCCAATTGCTGAACAAATTCTAATGGCTTGGCCTTAGTACGTGAAGATTTGTGAATATAACAGGGCACATGATGCAGTATCTATTTGCTGGCTTCCTACATTCATTCAATTGCAAATTTCAACTTTTTACCTCTATTGATATGTTACAGCATGCATGGGTATATATATGTATATAAGTGCACATTTTGCTCATTTCTTGGTAAAAGCTCCAATGATTCTGTGCATGCCTACATTGTACATATGGATGTTATGATAAGTAAATGCGTTGTGAATTTATAGTGAAAACATGGGAGCACATACAAGAGGCCTGCAGTTGGTTAGTATTATACATCATGTAAATTTTCTCTTAAATTGAATTTTGTGATGAATCATGAATTAAACTTCATGTAACTGATTGCTTAAAGAGTAATTATGAACTAAAATTAAAGTAGCAAAGCGTGTTTGAATTAAATAATATATTGTGCTGAGCTAAATATGGCCCTTTAGATGCTAAACTAGCACGCCAGCCAACAATAATTTGACAAATTTTGAAAAATTAGCAATTTTACTAAGGGATTAAACAATTTTTTTTTTTAATTTTTGTTATTTGGATTTTGAAGCTATGGTGTGGCATGGTAACCAAAGCATGACTACTTGATCATAAATGAACAATTTATATTATATACACCATTATCCGTCACTTAAATTTATATATTACTATTTAAGCAGTTTCTTATAAGTACATGTGGTTGAGGGCGTAATGCAGTATAGTGGGTTATTAAGATTTATATTTTTAAATTGCAAAGATCTATTTCATATTACTAAATTAGGAAAAAAAAAGAAAAGCAAAAGAGAGTATGTGAATGAAAATGATGTTAAGGGACGGTGATGGGCTTGTTTTATAGTTATCCAGTTTTTGTATCTTCAAGGTGGGGCACGGGGAATTTTGGAGAGTACTGAAAAAGTAATATGAAATTTTAACCATTTTTTTCTGAGGTGCACTGGATACACTATTTTCTATCCTGAGACTTTTCATATGCATTTTTAAAATGAAAATTGCCAAAAATGGTAACAGATTAACTAAAAGAAATGAGACTAAAGTACAAGTTATCACAAAAGTTATGAAAAAAGCAATTCTTCTTCTTTTTTTCTTTTATTTATGGAGAAGGAGTTTACATCATTATAAAAGGTGATGTTTAGGATGTGGTTTTATTTTGACTTGATATGTATTTGATTTCTCATTTTGCAGGTTTTGAAATGTCGTTTATTCCATAATTCTCTGTTGTTTTAACTTCTACGACCTCTGCTGACATTAAAACAAAGGCTATCAATTTGGATGTGGAGTAAATATAAAATTAATAAATAATTTTGATTTGTAAAAATGTATTCTCAATATAAATAAACATACCAACATGAATAAATTATAAAAAAAATTAAATAAGATCAATTTATTTCTATTAACACTAGTATTTCCTTGTTTTTCTGTTATTTTCTTTAATTATCATGCAACACAGTATATCATGCCACACATATACATATAGACAGACAGACAGACAGATAGTATTATATTGCATATATTTTTTAATATAAGATCTCACGATTATGGATTAGAAAAGTTGCTGAACAACAGTTTGAGCCAATAGTAATTTTCAAATTGACTAGTAATAAATAATAAAAAACAGTAAACCCAATAGTAATTATTTAAAAAGGTGAAGAAAAGTTGTGAAGGTTTTGACCAGATCATTATTTAACAAAAATATATGCTTCAAATCGAAGTATCTTTTTTCTTCCTCAATTGGAGGCTTTTTGTGGCTCTCAAAACCCATAATGACACTTACATAAAATAAAAATCATAATGATACTCAGAAGAATCGCAATAAGCCTGTAGATCAGGCTTAGCCAAAACATATTGACAAAACTACCCCTCATAATCACTGGAATTTGTATCCTGGGGACATAGTTAGACATCACATTATCCGTTAAGAAGGGACAAATACCATCCAGCAAATTTAATTCGCTTAATATATGTATTTTCCAATATGATGTCTACTAAAAGCTTCTGACTTTCGGACACATTTAATCTGAAAAGGAAATATAGCTATTACTTGTAATAATAAACTATATATGCTGTTGTTTTAAATGAAAAAAAGTCTTTTTCTTTTAAAAAATATACTAATTAATAATATATCATACTCACATTTAATATATTGATAATATACATTTTATAAAGTTATTAGTTAATATAAATTTCTATATTAACAACAACTACTAGATTAAATGAATATATTGATAAAATTTTGTGTAACCCTTCAATTGTGGGATGTCCGAAACCCTAGAGAGAATTGATTGAAATGGCATGTGAAGGGGAAGCATGAAGCATGGTAGGAAAGGAGAGAGGATGATGCCAAGTTTGAAGATTTGCATAAGATTTTTCCTTTTCTCACAAATAGGACAGTTTGGTAAGCAGACATGACATCAGAGGAAGCCTAGATTTGGGGCTTAGCTCCCTTTGTTGGATTGAGGTTGACTCTCTCTCTCTCCCACACACACACACACCCACACACATGCACTTTCTCTCTCTTCACTTTACCTTATTCATATTACACTTTTTTTTTTGTTTATTTTTTTGCCACCGGCCAGCCATAAACGCCATACCTATTCATTTCTTATTTGCTTTCCCTTTACTGTTTCTCTCTCTCTCTCTCTCTAACTGGTTTCCTTCATTGCAAACCAACCCTTCTTTTTAGCTTATTCTGGTCCTTCCCTGCACCTCAGCCACAATACCGCCCCAACCATTTCACCACCTTTAGTTTTTCTCTTCTAAAAAATCTACCGTTTTTCTCTCTCCCTCTATATTTTTCCCATCAAAATAACATTTTTGTCTGGCATTCCCTTCCAATTTCTGTTTTTTTTTTTTTTAATATTTTACCCTTTGAGTTTTTATTTATTTATTTTAAGTGTGGCCCACTTGTTACCTACTGGTGTGCCACTACATCTTTTGCAACATCAGGATTTCTGTTGTAGGGTATGTGTGTTGCTCAGCCTCTGCTATTCTTGCGCCTCTCTATGCACATTTGAGTCTCTTGTCGGTTCAAAATGAAGTGTGAAACATTTTGCTTCTTTGGGTGCTCAAGGTAGAAGATCCAGGACTCTAGCTTCCTTGGATCAGCACGAAGGTAAGTAAATGCTTTGTCTTTCTCAACCACTTTTTGGATAATATACATTTCACTTTCTCTTTTGTTTACTTGGATCATAAGTGATGCTTTCCTTTTCCTTTGATTATAAATTGTTGTGATGATCAACGTGTCCTTTTTACTTTCCCAATGAATTGTTAATTAATTCTCTCAATATGCCTTTTTGATTGTATTGGTTTTGAATCAGCTAAATCCCATGTGCTGCTTCTTGTGATAATTGGATTGTGCTTTATAGTATGTCATTGCCAACTAAGCCTGAGAGTCTATGATCTTCACTAGCTTAGAGGAAATTTTTGTAGTCTGAAATTATCTTAAGATAGAGCTGTAGTTAGTGATTGGTTGAGTTGCTGATTTTGTTTTTTGTTTATGGCATTGTTGCGAGAACTGAAATGTTGGCTGTGCATTTGAATGCTCAGATATGCGTTTCAAAGCCTTGAGTAAAGGGGAGTAAGCACTTAACTTGATTCTTGTACTATGGTGGGAATGTCTTAGTTCTACCAGCTGAAGAACTTGGTAGACGAAATTGATTAACTTGGTGTAACCGATTATGTCAGCCAACAGTTCTTTGAATGTGGAATTGTCAAAGAAGACGTCATTTTTGGGTTTGAAACGATGGGTTTTGATTGGGATAGGTGTTGGGGCATTTATAGTGTTGATTCTTTGTGCATTATCAATATGGGTGATGTTTCGGAGAAAATCTAGAAGATCTCTGGACAAGTACTCTCTATCCCAAATACCAAATGTCTCAAAAGATATCGATGTTGACAAGGTTGGGGTGCAGAGTTCTCATGTTGAACCAGAAAATGTGTTTATTCCTGTTGTTCATGATAAGGCAAGTGATAAGAGTTCAGAGAATGTATCAGTTCATTTGGGAAAGAGCAAATCCGGTGATCCTGATAGTATCAGTCAATGTAGCTCAATTTATCATCATGAGAGAGGGTTTAGTTCATTGTCAGCGGAAGAAGGAAGCTCTGGGAATGTTAAGAAGCAATCTACGTTGTCACATGGAGGGCTGGTGGCTGCATCTCCTTTAGTTGGATTGCCCGAATTTTCTCATCTTGGGTGGGGCCACTGGTTTACTCTTAGAGATCTGGAACTGGCAACCCATCGTTTCTCTACTGAGAACATTATTGGCGAGGGTGGGTATGGGATTGTTTACAGGGGCAGGCTGATCAACGGAACTGAGGTTGCAGTGAAGAAACTTCTTAACAACTTGTGAGGATATTTACATATCATTGGTGTACACTTTAATTGTTCTCTCTGGCACTTTTTGGCAGTACTTGTAAACAATGACTTCTTTTTAATCTTGTTATGTAATTGAGAGTTCTACATTGAGTTTATAGGGGACAAGCTGAGAAAGAATTCAGGGTTGAAGTGGAGGCTATAGGCCATGTTAGACATAAGCATCTGGTGCGCTTGCTTGGGTATTGTGTAGAAGGAGTTCATAGGTAATTTCTTAATATTTATTTTTCAACAATAGTATCCACTTTATATTATATTTGTGCTCTCACAAGAAGTCCATTCTCAATAATAATTCAAGCATGATAGTCATGTTCTCTCTAATCCAAAATTGTAAAGAAGCTTTTTCATATGTTATGTCTCTTTATCTTTTATAATGAACGAACTTCCAAATTTATATTCAGGCTGCTTGTGTATGAATATGTGAACAATGGTAACTTAGAACAGTGGTTACATGGGGACATGCACCAACATGGGACACTTACCTGGGAGGCCCGCATGAAAGTTATACTTGGCACTGCAAAAGCGTAAGTTCAGCTTGCAACTTGAAAATATGGGCCATGGTAATCATTTGTACAGTCTGGTGCCAAATCACTCATAAATTCCCCATCTCTGAATTTTATGATTGTAAAACTATTTCATGTTCCTTTAATTAATGTTGTTACTATTAGTATTTTGTACACTGCAAAAATATTATAATGTTATTAACCATTTATTTTTAGGTTTCTTGATAATATTATGTTATAGACTTTATATTGCATGTATTTTGCAATACATTTAAGCACATTCGGTTCATAGACAAAACAACAATATGCTCTCTCTGGCTCTGCCCTTGGGACCACTGATTAAACTCCCTAATCTTAGATTAGGTTTTGATATCTATTATGTAATGGGGTGAGATGGTATTAATTGAATAGAGTAAAGTTACCAATACCATATCATTGTTTGGATATTTTATAGTGGAATAAAATAAAAATTGGTTTCATCCCATACCCCCAAACCCAAATTGGGGGGTGGTGAGATGGGGGAGAAGGTGCAGTTTTGGATGGAATGGATTGCATTCCATCATGTTCTATTCCATTCCATCCTATTTTAAAATAATCCAAACAGTGAATCTGGAATTATTCTATTTCATTCCTTTCCATCTGTCTAAACATAGCCTAGTGAGCATGTGACATTCTTTAGTTTTAACTTTTAATAATTTACTTCTTGATTATTATAAATTTATTTGTGTGGAAATTTGAACATGGGACCTAAGCTCAGTGATTAAACTCGCTATTTTACTGTGACTGATGGCAGGCTTGCTTATTTGCATGAAGCAATAGAACCAAAAGTTATTCACCGGGATATAAAGTCTAGCAACATATTGATTGATGATGAATTCAATGCAAAAGTTTCTGATTTTGGTTTGGCCAAACTTTTGGATTCAGGAGAAAGTCACATAACCACTAGAGTAATGGGAACATTTGGGTATACAGAAAATTTCATTATCTCTTATTTTTATTTGAAGGACTTATACACTTGGAAACTTACTTCTGTTGTTGATTTCAGTTATGTGGCACCAGAATATGCTAATAGTGGTTTGTTAAATGAGAAGAGTGACATTTACAGCTTTGGTGTCCTCTTGCTGGAAGCAGTTACTGGAAGGGACCCAGTAGACTATGCACGTCCTGCTAATGAGGTGCCTAATCCTTATGAACTCTGCTTCTGCTAGCTTGCCAGTTCTAACCATGCTTTCCACTGGAAGTGATCTCTAAGTACCTTTCAATTAGCTAATGAGATTTTGTTTATCCTCATGATAGGTTAATCTAGTTGAATGGCTCAAAATGATGGTGGGGTCAAGGAGGGCAGAGGAAGTTGTGGACTCCAAGCTTGAAGTTAAACCACCAGCACGCGCTCTAAAGCGTGCCCTTCTGGTTGCACTTAGGTGTATTGATCCGGATGCAGACAAGAGGCCTAAAATGAGTCAAGTTGTTAGGATGCTCGAAGCTGATGAATATCCATTTCGAGAGGTTCCTTCTTTCACTATATTGTCTTCTCAATTCTCATATGCAAGTCAGATATATAGGTTATGACTCAAGTCTTGAGTCTTTTATCACATTTTTGCAACCTTTGGACCTTGTGTGCATTCTTATCATTGTTTTCTGTTATGTATGTTTTGGCTAACCTACCACCAACTAGAATCAGTAACACATGGCTTAAAACTCGCGTCACAGAGGGGGAATGTTTGATTTTCTTCATACTGCATATTTACTGTTTCCTCTGTTTGCAGTTCTCAGCATAGCTCTAGCAAAGAAAGCTTAATCTCTTGCTTTTATCATGATATATCTATCATTAGGATTATGCAGTTTCTACATACTTTGCTTTCTGATGCACTATGTTATGTAGACTCTGGTTTGCATGCATGTTTTTTGGTGCTTATAAGCCTTGTATATACTAAAAATTACCTAGATAGCTGATTGATCTAATCACTTTCAGGATAGAAGGAATAGAAAGAGTGGCACTGTCAACATGGAAATTGAAACAGCGAAGGATAATTCTGGTCCATCTGATGCTGAAAAGATTGGGCATTCTGAAAGCAACATGGGGGAAACAACTCAAGGATAGGATTTGATAACACATCACTTAACCTGCATGTACAATTGCCGTTGTACCCTTTCCAATAACTTATTTATACCATATATCTCCAAGTTTGTGTCGTTAAGAAAATTTTGCTGCATCTGAGAATAGAATCAGATCAGAGAGAGCCCATTTGGATAATGAAGTTTTTTCTTTTTATTTTTGGTTTAAATATTCAATGGAACCATTTAATAACATGATACCCCAACTTTGCAAAGAGGTTAGAATCAGTGTGAGTGTGAGTGTGAGTGTTAATGTTGTACAGATGTCTGCGGGGCCTATTTTCTCCTTACATGATTGTTGATTTTATTTTTTATAACACTTTTGGCTATATCCTTGCATGCTGCTAGAGAGTGGCGATAGTGAAAACTAATATTTGGCTTCAATTTAACATTTTGCTTTGAAGTTTATCTTATTTATTGTAAACATCGAAGAACATTTAATCAATTGATAATATCTTTTATTTATGCAGTATTTTGACTTAACTTCGTTATTTTCTCATCAACCTGATTCAGGACTTAATTGAAGGGTGTTAAGGTTAGATATATCTAATTTTTGTCTGTGTTTGAAAATATGTTGAAAAGCTTATAAATATGAATCTAATTCAGAAATTATAGTTAATAGTATTAAATTAAGCGCAAATTTATAGTAAAAAAAAACAGTGCTCGTACGTGTAGGAAAAGTATTCAAATTCCAACTTGCACAAATGATAGGACAAGAAATGGGTACTTGAAAAAATTTATCATATTTTCATGTCAAAAATCAGCACCGAACGCTACAGTACATAATGAGATGCAAAAGTGTTTGCTTTTCCTTCACAGTATTGTTGGGTCATGTACTCAAATTAGAAATGGTTCACCAAGTTATGATTACCTTTTGATTCTTTTCTTTTCAATAGAATTTTTGTTCCATTGATGCAAAGTGTCATGAAGGAATCTTATCCTTTTACAAATAAATTAAATTATTAACATTACTGATTCTCTTATAGGGTGGGAAAAGAATGCATGCATAGTTGGGTGTTTCTTGAAGAAGCATTTATTGGGAGTGAAACAAATGATTCAAAGTTTCAAACGGTGGAAGTGGAATACATAATAATTAAATATTCTGATAAAGTAAACCTATTTTCACGGATTGTTTCTCTACCCTTTAGGTTTCTTGCTTCCATCAATAGCAGACAATCTTTCTCCGATGCCACTTTACAAACTCCATGGGGAATGGGGCAAGTTGGCCCATCTTGTTATTTTATTATTATTATTATTATTTAAAATTGAGGTTAATATTTTTTATGAAAATATTATATTTAATATTAATAATATTAAATATTATAAATTTTAACAACAAATTATTATAAATGAATCCTTTTTGTGTATTTAAGATTACATGTTAAAATTAATTTATTATTTGGAACACAGTGATGAAAGGTATACAATTAGACCCTTAAACATGATCACACAATCTTGTAATATTCAACTTCTGAGTGTATTGTAATCATTACTCTTGAATTCTTGCCTTCTCTCTATTAATTAAGTAAATTACACCTTTTTTTCCCCTTCTTATAAACAAATTGGCAATTAAAGTAACATTAATTGTGCATTTGGATATAGTGCCAACTATTACCGTTTTTTGTTCCTTCTGGTCAAAACTATTACCCTTTTAAGCGTTGCTTTTGGGATTGGAACTTGGAAGAAAGAAAAACAAGTCCATTTCTACAAGCAACAGAGACACAAGTATGTCACTTTTTCAACCACGAAATCGATTCAAATTTCAAAGTAGATGGACTTTGCAAGGTTGATGTTGTTGCTGCTTCAATAGTTCTCTTCAACACATGGTTAGAATTTATGAAAATAATTTATTATTTTTAATATTTAGTATAATTTATTAAATAAGTTAATTTTATCTTGTTTTAATAAATACTAGTTAAATAAATACTCATGGTGAGTTCTACGTCAAACTTATAACGTTGACAAATGCTTCCTTTTAATAATAATTTGGTTTTCAACTTTTCTCAATCATCTAGAAGAATTTTTTAAATCTTTCACCGCATTATAAATTTTCCTTGAAAAAAATTTCAATGTATTTTTGTATTCGTCAAGCATTTGAGAAGAAATCATTCATGAATTATTGATTATAATGTATTTTCTTGCACAATTTTAATTCACCTATGTAGCAATTAAATTATTTGAAGTACTCTTTATTGTATCTTTAGATATGCCTTGCACTTCACTCAAACTTGTATTGGGTTACAACTTTTTATTTGTTTGTATCTATGTATGTAGACAAATGAAGAGTCGCTATTGTAGACAACTAATACAAATGGTGCATATATATATATATATATACACTATCTTTTCAACTTGAATGAATTGAATAGGAAATTGTTTGTCCCATTGGGGGAAAATGAAAAAAAAAATAGTGTAAGAAAATAATGTTTGCATATATATGCCAAACACATTCATATATAAGCTTTAAACTAATTAACTTGTAAATTTTAAGCTAATTTGTTAAGTAATTTTTTCGAACATAACCTATTTATGCACAATGGAGCAAAATGGAGTCTCTTACATTATATGGGTTGCATGGAAAAATAAAGCCTTTATTTTTCAAAATTATGGACAATAGAAAGGTAGAAACTAGATATTATTAATTAATAAGCAATTAAGTTTTATTAAGAATAAATAATTTTTAATTGAAAAAATTCATTACCTTAAAGATATCTTTCTGTTTTAATTAATGAATAAATTATTTATCATATTGGTTAAACTTTATTATTTCAATTGGTGTCCTGATCAATGTTTTATTTAATTGATTAAAAGATTGAAGCCATAGGGGGTTATATTTCTCGGCAAAAGTACAAGAATTTCCCATTACGCGTAATACTATATGTTCCTTTTGTTAACTGGCAATACAAACATCAAAGCCCAAATTATCAGAAAATAGATTTATAATTATTCAAACGATGATGAAAAAAGCAATGATTCTCAGTTTGATTTGGATTCACCTATTGACATGGCGACAGAAAAAGAGAAGAGGAATAGGGTGAATGACAAAGTCAAATAAGAATAATTTCTGAAAAAAATTCTCTAATACTTTCTTACACGAGTAATATTAATTTATGGCGAACATTAATTTATCCAAATTACATTAGTATTGATGCCCAACCAAATATAGAGACACCAAAATAATCACATATTTAAAATATTAATCAGTGTTTAACACAATTAATTGCTTGCTATACACTTGCAACATAGTAATTAATACAATAAATTTTAGGTGATTAAGTTTAATTTGATAGATGTAGAATAAACTAAGAACACACGAGACAAAAAAAAACTGTTAAGGGTTAAAATTTTGTCGTGAAAAAGGTGAAGCTTATGGAAAAGGTTGTATGGCGGCAGAGCAAACGATAAAGAACTCAATGATTCATTCATGAAATTAATTCACAGTTTCGATGGTAAAGAGTTTGTAATTAGTTCCGTTGATTATGGTAATCCAAATTTATAGCCATCATGATTTGGACTTCTACGATCAACACAAGTTTTGTGATATGTTTAACGTGGCAAGAAAAATAATAATAATTTTGTCACTTTTGTCACTTTTTTCTTTATCTTGTGATAATTTACAATTTCTTTATGAAATATTTTTCTTCATTTTTTAAAATTAACAAATGAAATTAAGTTCAAAATATTTTTTCCAGCTAAGATCAGTAATTTATTTTAAAATTTTAAAGATTATATATTAATTAAAATGTTTTGAGCCTTGAGCAACTTGAACAAAGGCCCTCAGCTAGTCAACTCCACATGTTTGACTTTCTGTGCGATAAGATAACACAACCCTTGTTATACTTGTTTCAAATTTCAAACTAATCACATTCTTTTAACAATTTACTACTATAATTTTTTTTTATCACATTCAATTTGGTAATGTAAAAGAACTTTTACTCGATCTGTTATTAGATATTATTGAAGTTATTATTTTTATATTCATTAATTTTTTTAAAAAAATTTATATAGTTTAATTTATTGACAGGGTAAACTCTTTTTATATATTGACAAAATCTAAATAAAAAAATTAATTGGGTAAAACTACAAATTTTTATGCAATTTAAGTTCTCAATCTCTTAATATGATTTAATATATATGAATAACACGACTTTAATGTCCCCATATGTTTGAATAATTGGGAAAAGGATAAATTGGATATTTAAATTTTAAGAGGAAAATAAATGAATATAATAAGATATGAACATTACAGTCATATTCATTTATAAGTTATAGCAACTACACATGATTTTATTTAAATTTATGGACATCCCTATAACATACCTTATCGTTATAATACATTTTTAAGAAAATTATTAACTTGAATAGTTATGCTAGTTGGATTATCATAGTGAATTAAACAGTATACAAACAAATTCATTATGAAAGTAATTATAGTAAAACATCAAATAATTGTTTAATAATAAACATGAAAAAAAGGTGTTATGCAAATGTCACCGCTATCAACAGACATCTTAATTACTTATTTAATTGTCTTCCCTAAACTACACTCTTTATTATATTAACTTTTAACCCCATTTTATATATGGCCTCCCAAACCTATTTAACATTCCAGTCCAATTTTATTTTACATTATTTCAATATAAATCAATGTTTCAATAACAAAATATGTGGCTTGTCTCTTCTAAATTTATAGGACGTATAGTCATATTAATACACACCGTGAATCAAGTTTTATCAAACAAGAAAATTAATTCAATCATATTACTGTTGGAAATCTAAAATACTACTAAATAATTTCGAATGCTCGTCAATATTGTAAAACATTTATTTGAGTATTTTTTAAATATTATAAAACACTACTCAAAATATGTCATATATTACCCAATAATATGAATTTGTGATGATCTCAACTCTTTTTATTATGTGTATTGAAAAAAGAAAAAAAAACCTTGACACAGAGTATTAATATATAGCCTATCAACGACGTCTAATAGTTTAAGTGGCAAGGAATTTGACTTTCTATAAAAAAGAATTGAATTTGAGTTTTATAAATACAAAAAATATACTTTAAATATTGTTTCCTCAAGTAGGTTGGCTTGACTGAATTCACATTAGTTGGAGTCCAAGTGACTTCCAAACACTAAAAGTTTGAACTAAATTAAAAATATATATATTATAGCTTAAAAAAATACATACCCAACTCAGATTATAAATACAATTATAATACAGATTCAGATACAAAACTGCAAGGCACACATGATTATAATAAAAGCATATAAAGTAGTATAAAATACAAATCTTATCAAATTTAGAGAATGAATGTTTTAAAAATGAGAAAAATAAAACATTATGAATTATGTAATGATGTATTATCACCTATATTAGTCTAACAGTTTAAATATAAAAAGGAAAAAGTAGTCTCATCATGTACTATTAATGTCCAACAATACACAGATATAACACAACACTTAATATTTTGAGCTTGTACTTCTTTAAGTTTAACAAAGAAATTACACAACGAATTTTTGTTTTAGATTCATAGATAATAAATATGCATGGATGTAGTGGAAAGAAAGGAAAAGGAAAGGGATGAAAAGTTTATTTCATCCTTATTTTTAAAATATTGATAAGGAAACTCTATTACCCTTGTTTGCCAGTTGCATTATAAACGAACGAAATATTAAAATTTTCAGTTCCCAATTTCACACTGATTTTGAGAACAAAAATAGGTTCTTTGAAGTAAAGAGCGAAGAAATAAACCCTTCAATGCTTTTTGTTTCCTATCTACTTTTAAATCCTAGCATATATGTACTTACAATGCTAATTTTTTTATAAAATAATTACTGAATTAACTGTTAACAAATTATTTATTCTTAAAGAAAAAAATAGACTTATTCTAATAACTCAATTCATTTCAAATTAGTGGACCCAATTATACAAATAGTTATTTACTTGGGCAAATTTTATTGCTGATTAAAGCTTGCTTTTGAATCATCTGGAGATATTTTGATTTTTCCATTTGGTTTCATGAAAAGAAATAAAAGATCAAATCAATCTTGAAAGTTAGGTATGCGTCCACAAACTTAACCGAAAGTGTAGTTACACACGCAAACACATACACTAGATCACTCAAACGCCGAAATGTATATGGTTTGCCTTCAAACCACCTTGATTCCATGTACCTAAGGTTCTTGATATATATTAATCCCCCCCCATAATTCGTAATATAAAAACCGAAAAATGTTTAACATGCACAACCATTTAAAAAATAAAGGCCATAAATAGATATTAATGCAAACTCGCTGCAATTTAAGCCGATAAATGCACGTTTCAATCGTGTCACTTAAACCTTCCATTTCTAGTAGCATACACTATAATCTCCCTTTTAACTGAGTCAGTGATACAAGAAATCATCACCAAGTCCTATCAATACCTTTCACTGAGAAAGATCAATCATACATTGTATGTTAATTGTCTTGTCAAACCATCCTTCTCCCACACATATTCTCAACTTGCAAACTACTCAAACGGAAAACGCACGGCCCATATATGACATTTTTGACAAAATTTACCATGCTATATATATATATATATATATATATATATATATATTTAAGAAGAATAATTAAGATCAATGTCATCTGCAGTAATTCTAAAATACTCATTTAATGCTTCTTAGATCCCACTACGTACCATATATAGAGATATATTTATATACCTGTCTTCCATACAAATCTAGACACATGCATGACTTGAAGAAATGGGCTAACTATTAGTAGTGGGAATCAGCTACAACTTACTACACATATGTAGAGAGTGTGGATACTGCAAGCCCACGGCATGCTAATAGAAATGTGCTAAGTGCATGTTTAGTTTAATTTATTTCGTAAAAATAATCTTCTTCTTTTTATCACTTTAATTCTTTAAGAAAACCTTTGAGAATAAAATGATTATTTCTCTCAAAATAATCAAATCTAAACATGCACTAAGTTGTTTAATAAGTTCATGGCTCTTGTTTGCCTGGGAATGATGGTAGTAGGTCTTGCAACAATCCATAGTCACGAGGGAGTTGGAACTGCTGCTGTTGTTGTTGCTGCTGTGGATGAGGAGGATTATGGGAAAGGTTTTGGTGAAACATGGGATTTTGGTGATCATTTTGGCTATAACTTGGAAGCAATTGAGCAAGGACATCTTGGGGTAAGGTTGATCCCATATATGTGGAACCAAAAAGGGAAGGTGAAGACAACATGCTGGCAGCATTACCCCGGAGTGTGGCTGGACAGTGATGGTTGTGTTGTCCTTCATATGTTGTGATCACAATTGATGGGTCTTGGAATGACCTCTCTACCCTTTTCTTTACACTGCACTTCTGACTGGTGCATCTGTAGTAGCTCCTGCATTATAAGTAATTACAGTTATGTCAGATTCACAATATGTTGTATAAGTGTGCAATTGAAGAGGGATATCATGTCATGAACTAATAATTTCTTTGTATTGTTGAATATACGCGTGTGATATTGTGATCTTGTATATATATATATATATATATGGTATGATATGATATGTCTCCAATTTCATTATTGGATTGTTGATCACAAAAACAAGCCTCGATAAGTCCTTAGAAATAAGCCGTTACAAACCTTACTGTGACAAGGATATGAATCATTACATCGATATGACAATAAAAAATAAAAGACTTTGATGCCAATATATGATGATTTTGGCACCCAAATTCCACAAACCTTAATCATTTTTTTGGGTGATACAAATACAAGCCTTCATCATTTTTTTATTTGAAAGGTTAACGTACCAAGTAGATAGATAAGAAATCTAAAAATTGGAAAACAATTAACCTTGGGTACGGACTATTCTTGACTGCTTTCTGTCCATATTTTCTCCATCTGTATCCATCTTCAAGGTGATCGATCTCACTTTTAGTCAAGAAAGCAAAGCGAGGCTCTCTAGCCTTTTTCTCTTTCTTTTTGGGCTTGTTCCTAAAACGCTCCAAAACATCAGTCAAATTCACAGCAACATATATGTATGTGGCAGATAAAATCCACCAAACTGATAACAAAATATTTTAGGGTTAAGTGACTATCATTGTTCCACCATTTTAGTCATACACAAAACCTACATGGCCTTCACTGCAGCACTACTGTGTATGGTATAAGAGTTAGAGTATGGACAAGATTGACCAAGTTCATTTCATGAGTGAAACTGTAAGTCAAAAATAATTGAAAAGACATGGAATAATAGGCATAATATAATTGCATTAGTAATTCAAAGAAACTTCAAAATTCTACCTCATGAAAATAACTAATACTAATAAGATAATCAGATCCTATTCATCAATTGTGAAGGAAGAAAAAGAGAAAGTCTATGAGGAAAAACCATCTTACCCTCAACTGATCTATCAGAAAGCACAAAGAAAAACGGACAGAATAAGAAGAAGAAGAAAACCTACTCTTTCTTAGACTTTTCATCTCCTTCTTCACACCCTTTTGGCTGCTTATCTTTGTGGCTTTTGGTTGAGTCTTCTTCTATTACTGCTTCGGCTTCATTAGATGAGGAAGACACTGAGGAATTGGGTGTTGATTGGTTCCCGCTGATCCCTACGGAGTCTCCTGTACTGGGTTTCTTTGGGTTGTCATCAATGGAGGAGATCACTTCAGATGATGAGCAAGACAAGTCAAAGGCTTTTGAGAGGGTGTTGTAATCCATGGAACCATGTAAGTAATCAGTGAAACTGGAGTGAGAGGGATTATCAAGCCCTTGAAAGTGTTGTGAGCTTGGTGTTGAGTTGTTGTCCCTAAAGAATGGAAAGTTTGAGTGGTTGAGTTCATGGTGGTTGTAATAAAAGGGATCATAATAATGGTCCTTCTCATTAGCCATGGAAGAGAAGAAGAAGAATAGAGGGAAGGAGGAGAGAAGGTTGGAGGAGGAAGGGCCAGAAAAAATAAAGGTAGCTTTGAGAATGATATTTCAGCTAAGACTTAAATTCGATGTGGTTGCTTGTTATGGGAAAGGGAGCTTTTTGGTTTAGAACTTTGTTTTTCTTCTTGCTTTTATTCCTTCTACTTTTGCACCCTCTCACTTTAGTGTTTGGAGGTAATTGGGGATTGTTTCTCTATCTTAATCTTTCTGAAGTCAGTGTGTGTTTGATTTTTTTCAATGGAAATATATTTTCTTTTTCTTTTTTAAAATTAAAGGAATAATTGTGATACCTGCTTGTGCATGTGGCGCGACTTCTTAATCTATATATATAATAATAATGCACCGTATATTCTCAAACATCTATCGACATTTTACATCACTTGTTTTACACACCTCTATATTGGAAAAAACTTCTTTTATTCTTTCTTTTTTCTTGTCAGAACATTGAATTTAGAAAACATTCGACTTTGGGATATGAAACAAGAGGAAAATGAAAAAAAAGAATATAATGATAATAGAATAAGAAAAGGAATAAAACATCTAATAAAAAGTTCAAATGTTAGAAACAGCAAAACATTTTATTTCTTCCTTCCGTATACGATGTAATTTGACATGTTCTGAAGGGTGTAAAGGACATATAAAAAAAATTAAAACGAGGCAAATATTTTAATCCTCAAAAGCCTACTGATTCAAGGATTATTGGTCAATTGGCTGAAAGACTTATTACCTATTTAGCTGATAGCGACTTCTCGTTTAATTAGAATCACACCTGTATATTATTTTATTTGATCGATCTGAATCCGATCAAGAGAAGAAAAAAAATAAGTTGAATAATACTTGCATGCTAACAACCTTTTTTTCTACATGTAATAATATAAGAGCATTGATATTAAGAAGGTAAACATACATACATAGACTAGCATTTATCTATTTATAAACTATGAATAACATAAACTATTTATCATAGTTGCATGACGTCAGGTTTTACCTTGCTTTGTCAAGTTTTAAGAAGAAAAGTAATTTAAAACCTTAACCTCAGCTTTACATTTTGTGATCATTTGAGCCCCACGTAAAGTGTTTGACAGAACCATATATTAGAAAATCTGACTTAAACGTTTAGAATTAGACGTCTAACAATAAAATCAGATAAATTTTAATATTATATTAAAAAATTTAACTTTCACTCGCTTATAAAACCAAATTGTAAGAAAAGAAGTATTCAAACTTGATAAAAGCACCTTAACATTGTATATAATACTGTGATTGATTATACTTAGGGTCCTTGAACAGGCACATCGACAAGGCAGAGGAACAATATTGCTGATAATATTTTCTTTGTATTCTTCTTACATAAAAGAAAATGGATATACATCATTAATATCATTGATAAAGATATTTATAATAGAGAGAGAAGTGTGATGGGGGGGTCGTAGTCACGTTGTTAACAAGGGAGTGGGGTTAGTCAAGAATTCCGACTATACGCATTTTGTTTTTGTAAATTTGGCAGGATTGGAGTTACACGTGTCACACCATTGGGCACCGCCATTTGACCGGGGAGTCGCACGTACGAGAGATTCGTTTGCTGTTGTAAGAAATATAATGTTATACCGTATTATACATAGCTAAGTGAAAACTTATGCTGTTCCTGATCACGCCTATGTCTATAGCTATGTGTTGCTGAGTGGGTTTTCACGTCACATTCCTTTTTCCCTTTCTTGCTGTCTCCTTCCCTTTCCTTCTCTAATGCCTTATCATATGCTCACACTATCACATTCACATCAAATCAAAGAGCAAAATTAAATGGTCAAAATCTTATGTCTCTTCTTCTCATCTCCCCTTCTAATTAACTTTTTTTCAATTAAAATTGTGAATACTAACGCTGAAAACAAAGAGCCTGGATTCAATTAATGATCACATAGATGTTGAGTGATCACTTGTCCCTCAATGATCTAAAGGTGCTTGTTACTGTAATAATTACAAACATGGGATCGGTTGAGACCTCATTTTAATTCAAAAGCTTCCCTTTTTCTACCAATGGCTACAAACTGGTTAATCATATTAATCCCTTAAAAGATAGAAGCTGCTACTCCTCAAAGTATGACATCTCCATAGTCATAAATCACAGTTCTTAGAAGTTGGTAAACCAAAGACTTTTCTTGGGTGGGTGCAAAACCAACAATGAGCACCACCCATTCAACAATCATGACACATCCCAATTTGGCCCCCACCAAACCCAGCTGAAAGGAACCTAAATCAAAATGACTATTTTTCTTTTCATAAGCTATTTTAAACCATATGCTGCATATGAACTTGTATCCCTTCCTACTCATCGATTCATTCCCCTTTGTCTGATAGAGTACTAGATCATGGGGGGAAATTTGGAGAAATGATAAAAATAGTATTATATGAAATATATAATTCCTAAAATATTTATCATGCATGCCGGAGACATTTTGATTTTCAATTCTTGTATATTAATACAATAGTGAATACATATGTGTTTGTGTAAGATTCATATTTTAATTTTAAGCTAAAAATTGTGCATTCGTTAATTTTTTGTTATATTAAAAATGTGTCTTGTCCGATTGATGATATATGTATGTGTCTTTCCTATTTGTATCCACGTTTCTGAATCCAATCATAGGTTTATATTACAAAAATGAAAACACATATTGCACATTGTTATCTTTATAAATATATATATATATATATATATATATATATATATATATATACCATTTATTAATAATTTAATATTGAGTTAGTTTTTATTAATATATTATATAACATATTATATTCATAAATAATTTTTAATAAAAACATTAATATATATATATATATATAGATACATTAAATGTGTAATTAATATGTTATTTGTTAGTATATATTTTTAATAATTAGTAATGTAAAATTGACAATCATCTATACGGAAACACCTAAAGTTATCCGTAGTAGCATCATTGTCTTTTCCTTGACTTGACTCCGCGACCACAGAATTTTATTACAATCTTCAATTTTTAGTTTAACTACTTTGATGAATCTTGAATTTTAAAGAAAAGTCTTCATTAAATTGTATTAACAGTTAAATTTTAATTATCAATAAATTATATTTTTATCAATTATTGTTAACAATAATTCAAAGTTTAATTGAAGTGAATTTTTTCGTTATTATGATGCTATGATATTTCTTAATTTAGTATTATTTCAATAGTATTGCATTATAGCGAATTAAATTTAAGGTTAAATTTCTTTAATATATTTGTTGTATTGACTAAAAAAATAAAAAGAAAATGGATGGTAAGCAAGATTTCTTGGATTCATCATTATCCTTCTTTCTTTGACAGCTGAAAACTCATTACGAGGAGCATGAAATTGTTGACATATTTGGGTGCATTTGTGTTTCATTAGACTTGGTAATCTCAACTCCACTTCTTGGCATTCATCCCTTACAATTGTATATGTAAACAACACGCTTGATAATCTGAAATGAAAAAAAAATTAAAATTAAAAAAATTAATACAAAATATTTTATTTTATCAATTGGTAAAATATGAGAAAATAAAAATATAATTATGTTAAATAAGTAACCAATTTTTATATTATTTTAACATAAAGTTAGTAAGTAATTTTGTGAATAAATCCATCAATTTTAGCAATTTTTTTCCTTTTTTCTCACTTTTTTTGTCAACTTAAAGAGAGACGTTTGTAAAAAAAATATATTTTTTCTCAATTAAATGATACAAAACATATATTTTTTCAACTCTTTTGTTTCACTTAATTTCTTTCCACCCATTTTTAACATGCATAAACCCATTTTGCATTGCAACGATCAATCTTTTTATTTCACTTTCACATTTTGAATACAAATATTGCGTTTAATTCAGTCACTAATGTAGAATGAATTATTTTTACTGGGTTAATGCTCATTTTATAGTTTACACAAAACAAATTTTAACACAAAGATTGATTATAACATTTACTTTAACATATCTATAAATGTGAGATGTTATGAGACAGTATGAGTTTTCATCTTGAAAATTGTTATTTTACAGGGAAGGGTTTAAAAATGATCGACAAATATTTTTTGGATGTTGTGAATTAATACCTTAAAAATACTGATTAAAAAATGATAAATAATATTTTTACTAACATTAAAATACATTGAAGTAACAAAAATGAATGCATTAGATTAGATAGCACCATAAAATATTTTTCAATAAAAATTGAAGATCTTAATAATAAATACATCCGTTTTAATAATTTACATAAACTTGAAGATACATGTTCAATGCACAGAAACTTGGTATGTGCTTAACTAGTTAATATCACTCATTATATTTGGGTTGGGCAAAGTTCATATCCTAATTTTTTTAGGTGCTATTTGTTATTAAAATTATTTTTTTGTTTTAATAAAAAAAAAATATTAATAAAAATTATTAAAGTAAAACTATAATTTAAATTAAAAAAAAGTACCAAATTAAGATATAGTACAGCATTTAAGTTTTGCCCATTATGCTTTTGTCAACCAAGGCAGGTTGTTTGTTAGGTTTGTGCAGTGCTAATACTATGAAACTTCTTCCTAACAACGACGTCTCAACTTAAAGAAACAACATAAATAAATGGAAATAGTTTTCGTTGTACACTCATTAATCAAACAAAGTGAAGAACTAGTGTGTGGTGATCCAACCATAAGGAATCAATTCTTTAAAATTTTAAAAATTTTAACAATAAATTATTTATTGCCAATTTATATCAGTTTTTATAAAATAATTATTTTTTTAAATTATTATTATATATTTACAAATTATTTATTTAGATCAATCCTTGACGATTTTTACTTTGATAACTATCAAGGCAATTGGTCCTTGACATTAAAAAAAAAAAAAAACTATTTAGTTCTTAATTTTAGCAATTATTAGCGAATTGGATCTCTAATTTTTATTCACGTCCACTGTTTTGGTCTTTATGCCAGTGATTGATTGATGATTGTTGAATTTAAAGACAAATTTGACAAATTTGATAATACATCACTTAGGTACGAATTTGATCAGTTGTGTCAATTTCAAAAACCAAATCAATTAACAATTGCTAAAATCAAACAATAAATTTAATAAGTTTTTCTAAAATAAGAAGAACCAAGTAAATTAATAATATTTTTAGAGACTAAATTAACGTTTTACTCAAACCCCCGTGTCTCACTAGCATGATGAGTCTTGCAAATGAATATTTTAAACACGTTAATTAAGTAGTTAATTAATCAATAATTTTTATTAAAAATTACAAAAAATATATATTATTTCAAAAATATGATTTTTAATAAAAAAAAAAAGTTAGATTAGATTTTTCGATCATTCTCCTATAAGTATTGATTAGCATAATTCAATTTAAGATTTTATTTTTCATGTGGCATTTTAAAATAATTGTCACTTTATAAGTTACATAGCACGAAAGAGTAATAACCAAAGAGAAAGGAATTAAGAATTGGTTGGCTAATTTTTTGCCTCACCACGATGGCCATTGCTTTGCTCTATTTTTGGTAAGATTTGAACTTCAATGAGATCTTATTATGTATATATAGCTCGTACCTCCTTTACTTCATATTTTTCATAGTTCTAATCAAATTTTGTTGTTTTAATTATTGAAACAAATATTTGAATATTTAAAAATTAAATTATATGTTAATACTATTAATTTTATAATTAGTTCTGTCGTTGTTTTAATTATTGATGAAACATTTTCAATTTTTGTGGACACCGTACGTTAAGTAAGTTGTTGAGCATTTATTAATGGTTGACAATAAATTTTAGAAATTAATTTAATAAAACATTAAAAAAAATTTAAAAAATTCATAAATAATTTATAAATTAAAGGATATTAAAGGATTTTTTATAATAAAATATTTAAAAAGTTTATAATAAAAATAAATTATAAATTAATTAAAACCATGATATTATAACATAAGAAAGGAGACTAATATCCCTCAAACGTGAAGGCATTAGAATAGGCAGCATAAGAAGAATGGTACTAACATAAGTTTTTAACAGATTTTTTGTTATTGACTAAAAATGTATTGAATATATCATTGGACAGGACAAAGAAATACGACCACACATAGGTCTTTGAAGGTGTCCTTAGAAATGAAAATCAAAGACTCTGTTATGATATTAGCTAGGCAAATGACTTTTCTAAGGACACTTTTGGTCATTTTCTAAGGACACTTTATGGAGACAATAGTACAATGCAATTTCTATAGGTACGAATTATACCTTTGATCTTGAGAATTATACAGTCATTTTCTATAAGTACTCTTGATTCATAAATGTGATGTTTTTGTAAAATATTTTAAAAAAATTTCTATAATGATATAGGAGAAGAATAACTATAAAAATAATTTGATGGTAAAGTCAGTATTTAATATAAAATAATAAATATTATTTAATATTTTAAAGTTAACTATTTTATTTATATTTTATATTTTTTTATAAATATAATATTAAATTTAATAGATTTTATGATTCAGTTCTATCTTAATTTTTTGATTATTTAAATAATTAATTTTTTTATTTATCAACTATTAATATTTAATTAGTTTATTAATTTATTTTAACATGTTTAAAGAGATGTTTATTTAAAGAATATAATTTTTTTTTATACTAGATGGAAGGACTATTCAAATTCTTTATTGACGGAGTAGTTATCCATTACAGTTTTAAAATGCATTTGACAATTTTCATAAGACTTTAAATTTTAGGTACGAAATAGCTTGCGTTTTCTTCCATAGGCTATTTGTTATATGCATCATGTTGTGGTTAGCTACGTACACTGGGTTTTACGGCATTGATCCGTTGTTTGCTAAACCAATAAAGGAGCCAAGCCATCACGTCAATTGCAACTTTTTAACTTGACTATTTTATGGACTCGTAATTTATTTTAGGTGCTGATTTGCTATTCCCTTCAAATTGTATGAAAAATCTATCACTTTCAGGTTCTTCATGCAAATTTATTATATGTAGTTCTAAAAATAAAATAAAAAAATCTATGTTGAAATCAATTTCAGGGATAGGTTAAACAAGAGAGATAATAAATTTAAAAGTTTATATAATATAACTTATAATTGATAAGCTAACTATAAGTGTAAAACTTATAATTAAAATATATTAAATGATTCAAATTAATATATAATATAATATTAATAAAAAATTAAAATTAAAGTTTAAAATATTTCCACTATCAAACAATTTTATTATTTTATTTTTTAAAAATAAATTATAAATTATTAAGTAGATATAAATTTACTACCCAAACACATGAATTAAACATTAGTATGAGTTCTTTTAGTTTAATCTGCTATTTTGAATAAATGTATTAAATACTTGAAAAAAGAATTTTAGGGTACGATTGTGTCCAACTCAGTTTAGAAAAAAAAAATTATGATATTAAACAAAGCCTACAAAAGGAAATTAAGAAAATAAACGAAAAATATAAAAATTGAAATAAAACAAAGAGGTTAAGAGTGTGTAACGTTGTGAAGTGAAGAGTGGACAGAGGGATGATATTGAAGTGTGTTATGGCCGTTCCTTCGTGGAGGCTCAGTTGCAGTTGCTGCGCTTCTTCGTGCGTTAACACAGAGCAATTACGTTCTCAACTCGATCATCTTCATGCCGAGGCTCACACCACCAGAGCCAAGGGTTCGTATTCGCTCTCTCTCAGTTCTGTAATTATATCAACTGTTTATAATTTTGCTTCCTGAATCTCTAATTATATGATTTTGACTTTGTCACAAATATAGGGAATTTCCTCTGTTGTTGTTGTTGAACTTTCCTAGGGTGTGAATATGTGTATAATTAAGATTAATTAATGCTTGTTCGAACGATATAAAAAAATTACGCGTGGTGATTAACAGCAAATAATGCTAGATTGAGGCTTCTGCGACTGTCGGAGGCTGCAGAGAAGCTTCAAAGACAAGCCGCTTTAAGCATTCAAAAAGGGGATGAAAATGATGCGAGGGAAATGCTTTTTCAGAGGAAGAAGGTGTTGCAGGCTTTAGACAAATCTAAAGGACGCATTGAATTACTTGATGAACTTTCCACTAAATTGAGTCAGGTAAAGTGAATTCATCAGTGACATTGTGTTATGGTATTTTGTTCACTGTTACATTTTTTTATAGTCATTATCACAATGATATCATAATAATAAATATCAATAAGTTGAGGGACGATAATTCTTTTATCTGAGTCGTGACCTGTTTACAAGTGATGGCATGAGCACCTGCAAAAGGGACTGTAGAAGACCAAGATAATTTTCATATTAGCAGGTTGAATGCACTTAGAAAAAAAAAAAAAAAAAAATTCCTTCTGTGGAACATTTAAAATTTTGATTTAGAACTGATTGTATCTCTATAGAACCATATGCAGACAGAATTGCTACTAAATGATTGTAAAGAGAGCCGAGCATTTTTCATTTGCTGCTATCCTGTCATATATGGTATAAACCATGTGAAATTATTAAAGTATCAGTCTCTAGGAAGACAGTTCTAGAGCATAAGCTGTTAATATGTAGGCCACTTTGCCATTTATAAACTTATGCAATTCTAGTTCAAAAAAGAAAAAAAAATGCTTACCTTCAATGATGGTCTCATTTTTTCTATCTTAAATTTGTATTTGGGTTTGTTCCATTGATTGATGAGAATAACTGTGCCTGTTGACCCAGATTGTTATTGTTGAATTTGCTTCTATATATAATTTCTATTTTCTCCTACACCCCCCCCCCCTTTTTTTTCTCGATGCCACTTAAAAGTTCACATTTTAGTAACTGTATTATTAAAGAAACCTATTGTGGTTGTAGGCAATATCTTTGAAAGAAAGTCAGCTGATTGGAAATGTCACTATGAATTTGGAAGACATGACCGAAGACACTTCAAGTGCAGTTCGAATCATTGCTCCAAAGAAGGAGGTTCAAGAAAATTATAATAAGGTTGACTCAGATCCCCATATGATGAAATTGAGCAATATTCATGATGTGCAGCTTTCCATGGAAAGTGAAGGGAATGCACTGGATGATAAAGAGAGCCAGAATCTTCAGGAATCCCTTAGAATTGCCAGTTCAAATCAAGAAAATGTAGCCAGCAGCTTGTCAGAAATATCCTCTTATGAGGATTTCATGGAACACATAGATAAAAAACTAAGTGAAATTGAAGCTGAACTAGTTACTGTTTTGAATGTCTCAACCTTGGTATTGGATAATGAAGAGAGACCAAAGAATTCCAGGTTGCAACAAACAATGGAACTCCTTGAGAGCATCCATGGCATTAGACAGAGGTACAACATTTCAATCTTTCAAAGCATAATTCTTGCGGTCTCATTTGAAGATTTAACTATAAAAATCAGTTTTGATAAGGTGCTCTCTAGTGGTTTTAAATTATTGTTAACAATATTCATATAAAGAAAAGTAATGCAATACTTTTCAAATTTCAAATCCCACAGAATCAGAAGTACCAAGGAGGCAAAACTGTGGATCTGATCAATTTTGTTTTGCTCAAGTCATCTGCTTTCTCCAGGTGAGAACTAACTTCTTTGGGAAAAAAACTGCCACAATTTTCTTTTAGCCCTCTGTCACTAAATGTGGAAACCGGAAAGATACATTTGAGATGCTTACTATTAGTTTATTTCAATGAAAAGAGGTGTTGATGTATTGATTTACCACTATTCTTTCCAACCTGTAATCGTCTGTTTGGTCATAGAGGAGCAGTAAATTAAGAAAATTGCATAAGGACTAAGGATAGCTTAGTTAAGTTGTTTGTCCATATCTCACAAAGGAACGTACTAGTGAAGTATTTTTGGAGTAGGACTCTCTGAGATGTCCTTTGAATTTTTAGAGTAAGCCTGCAGGTTACCACCCAAAGTTCTTATTGTCGTCATAACTCATCAGGAATTAGATATTAAATCATACACCGATTGTGTATCAGGCAGGATAAAAGGTTTGTGGCTATTTTTGGAGTTTGTAAATGTGGATTCCATGATTTACATATTGTATATACTTGCTTCATGCAATGCCATAAATTCCCATCACCTGTTTGAGTGTACAGAATCCATGCATACTTCAAATGAAGATTTGGCATTCTTGCTAGCTTAAGATATCAGGAGCTTCTGCAACTTCGGATGAATTTGTGTTTATGGGCTCTGGTAAATTGTGTTAACAGTAGTAATGATAAGTATTTACAGATAACTCATTTACTAATCACTGACTAAATCATTTGTTTCAGTATTATTGCTATTATTTTAGCTACTTAATTTCTAATTTCATCCTGGTGATGTATGCTACAATCCTAAATTTGTATGCCCTAATTGTTATAAAAAGGTGAAAATATCACAAGTTTCCAACTAATTGTGATAAACTTGTTACCAAAACTTTGCAATTGCAACATTTATGTTGAGATTAAAATAAATCCATAATAACTATACTACATTGATATCTCCCCAGTGCATTGTTAGCAATATTGTGAACTAACTAATTATTGCGAGCACCTCCAGCAGTGTTCTTGCATCTGAGATGTCTCTTGAATGAGATTTTTCTTTTTAAAACGTATAAATTTGAAGCAAGGCTTGTTCAAGTTCAACTCGGGCCTCCTTGAATAAAAGAAATGAATTTTATATAAATGCAGTTACCCAACAAGTGTCAAAACTACCTAAAATTATTAGATGTAGTCCTTCACATTTTTAGACTTTATTCAGAACACAGTTCTGCTAGAATCCAAATTGTGTATTCTTTTCACGTCGAGGTATGACATCACGTCAGGAAGGCAATAGAAGTAGCACTATGGAAAATAATTAGCAGCCATGACATTATGCTTTTCAGTTTTGAAATTTTGAAGGCTAATGTTTCTATTCATTGAATATTCGTATATCATGCGTAAGGGCGTGACAGTAAATGGTTGGTATGGTACTGCTGTCAAATACACGCTCAACGCCCAAGAGGCTGTTCAACCAAATACAAGATCAGGAAAATAATCATCCGTTGTTTGAACAAAGAATGAACTGCAAAAAAGGCGTGGTCTCGTATTTTTCATTTTTTTCCCCATAAAATTATGGGATGAGTTTTATTCCTCACAGGGCCCTTTTACAAAAAGAGAATAAAGGATGAGCTAACACTATGTTCGTGCTTGGTAATGAGTTAAAGGGTGAAATATTCACACCCAACCTTACACAACTCTGTGTAGCATTAACCATAAACCCAAACACGCTGAGGTTGTCTTTGTGACGTGATGATGGTCACAGGTTGAAGATAACAAACATGAGACTCTCTACAATAATGGTAGTCTCACAGACTGGTTTGCCCTTATAGAAGAGATGTTTGCATTATCCATGAGGTTAACAAGAGTAATCTTGCCATGCATGCCATAGTCCAAGGAATCGAAGTGTCTGCTTATTCGCTGAATGTCTATCTCAGTAATCTTCCCCATTTCCTTAAGCTTGAATATGACAAATTCTGACTTACTGCACGAATAGAAGTAAAAGGTCAACAAAAATGAAAAAAAAGTAATACAACTCGGTATTCTCTATTGGACTGAATTCTCTACCTCACCTTTGCATGTAGATAGCTGCCTATTGGCTTAACCAGATATTATGATTTCGGCTGCGTTTGCCTTCTCATTTGCTTAAATTAGCATTTCAATTTCTATAATGTAACGTATAGTTCGAACATTGGAAACTAACCAGAGTGGAATATCCCAAAAACCCAAACCGTTGGCACTGATTTCATGATGATCAATCATTCACCTATAGATTTTTTTGAAAACCATAGTAGTAAGATGCATTTAAAATTACTATGGGTGTGCATTTAATAGCATTTTTAATAATTAAAAAAATTCTCTCTCGAGTTTTTTAAGCATTTTTTTAGTTAATTTTGACTGAAGAAATTCAAATTTATATTTTTAAACAGGGTGAAATCATATGGTCATTATGAGAGAGATGGAAAAGTACTTCTGATAAGATAAAAAAAATTACAGTAGGGTGTTAAGGCAAGAGGGAAAGATGTTATTTATCCTGTTTCATAGCATGATAATTTCTTCTAGCTTTAAAACAAAATATTATTTCTTTGAGATGGAGGTTAACGGTGGTATGCACATGCCCAGTATTTTGATATCAATTAATGTTGGTCTGAAATGATGAATATAATGAGATTACCAACATTCAGCTTACCTGATTGATCCATCATTATCAAGGTCTGCAGCAGGGAAATCTGATAACGTTATCTTCTTCTTCAGAACCCATTTCGCCATCTCACGGGTTCTCTTGTGCACGCTATAATCAGCGAGGTATACAAAGGCCTTGGCAAATGCCAGTGTGCTTACCAAAAGCCATAAAATTGCAAAGGATCTTCCGGTTACAGTTTTGAAAGAATAATCTCCATAACCAACCGTTGTGACAGAAGTAATGGAGAGGTAAAAACTGTCAGCCCAATTAAGGTCCTCAACAAAGTGCACTGTGATTGTTCCGATAGCAATGCAGCCAATGACAACAGCCAAAGCCACACAAAATTTGGTTCTTATCCTCATTCTTCCTTTCTTTTCATCAACCATATACGTCGTGAGAATCTTCTTGTATGGACTCTCATTGGTAATGCTCAACAAGAATGCTTCTTGTGCATCACAGATGTATGCTACCAACCAATTGAGCAGATATGCAACAAATCCAAAGCCCACCAAAATGAAAATACATGTAAAGATTTTGGTAAACGTCGTGTCAGGAATGATATCTCCATAGCCAGTAGTGCAAAGAGTTACCATTGTAAAGTAAATAGCATCTACAAGCTTGGCTGTGGTAGTGCCCTTGAAACTCCCACTTGTCATGTACACTGCAACCCCAGTTACCACATACACGATAACTGCTATCAAAGATAGCCTAACTATCCACCCTGACTGTTGTGCTGGTCTTGGTTCAGAGGGCTCATGAACATTCACCTCCAACACAGATGGAGCAGAGCGAGAGCGATAGGTAATATGCCTTTTCTTCAAGCTCAAGTTAGCATTAGAAGGGCTCCTTGCTTCATTGATGATATAAGGAGGAGATTGGAGCGGTGATGGGGCAAGATCATGGAAAGATTGTTCATTGGGTGATGATGTTCCGCTTGGTGAGGCTAATCCTCTGCTGGAGCAAGGGCTTAGGAGGGGCTCCTGCATGGTGCATTCAGATGCCAGTTGGGGGTGCAGGCTAGTATATATCAATATCACACTTTCATTCAAATACAAGTCAAGCCAGAGGAATGGAGGAATATCTATTTGTTGTGCTTTCAGCTGAGAGTCATTTGTAGAGTCAGAACGAGCTCATGCATTTCTGTTTCTAATTGCCGCCAACTATCTCAATTCTGTCAACTCACTTCTCATGAATAGCATATGTTTCATTTCTTATTGTAAAGTTTGATCGATATCTTTCCCACAAACTTTATTCTAATAAAAGGAGAAAATGGTTTTCTAATATTGAAGTGTCTCACTATAATATGCTCCAAATAGAACCCCTAAATTTCATCTGGCTTTTGACCTCAACTATGTGGAAGAGGAACCCGTTGACTGTATGCCGAAGGTCAATGAATACGGTATCAGTGGTTTCGATATTTCTTTTAAGTTAAATATGTACACGATATTAATGCAATACAGGTGTACAGAGAATGAATACGCCCGATTGTAGAGGATACCTGCCTTATAACTAACTATAACTAACTAAAACTAACTAAACTAAGAAACAGTTGGGTCAGTTTCTTCTCCCTGTGAGACTTCAAAGGGCAACAGTAACTCATGAAATACCATTTCATTTCTTTTAAGAACTTCCTCAGGGGTGGCCCAAAATAGTTCCACCGGCGAATAAAATAATTAAAAGTTGAAAAGAAAAGGGGGCATTGTAGATTCATTAGTAATCATTAAAATTATTACTCAAATACTTAAAGGGATAAAACATTTTTCAAGTCCAATAGAACTCCGAAAAATTACTTTTTACATTTCAACTTATCTTTTGGTAGAATCACCTAAGAAGCTGATAACAAAGACATAATTTGGCATATCATCCGTATAAGTCAATATCTTGCACCATATAATAGCCTCATAAAAATCTATAGACCGAACAACTTTGTCATCATGAAACGAAGATTTGCACCATTTGATGGCCTCTCTGCTGCAGTTTGAGGAGGATCCTTGTGAGGCACTGTTTTTCGTACTTGCGCATGAGTTTCTGCTTCATGTTGAAACATCCTGACTAGCTCTTGAAGCTCTAGTTTTCTCACTGCAACATTTTCTTCAACGATGGGTTTTTTCAGCCCAAGATAAAGCAATCCAATTCCAATTAGCACTGCTCCTAGCACAAAGAGAGCTACGGAGAATAGAAGAAAGGCATAAGGAGCTCCCGAAGCTCCAGGTATCCCATCCACATTTATGCCAAATAGTCCGGTTATTATGGACAGAATAAGGCCACAACCTCCAAATACTCCTAAGTTATGTGTAACAGTGAGGCTTCTGTCCTAAAATAAGTAAAAAGAGTGAGACAAAGCAAAGACCAGCACATGTGAATGTACAGTGACATAAAAAAGGAAAATAAGTAAATATATTAGAAGTACTAAAAATAAGTAAATATATTAGAAGTACTAATTTTCCACTTAAATATAAAAAACTAGAGCAAATTCTTATTTCACTCCTCCAAAGAGATAGAGGTCAATCCAAGAGGATTATCTTTTTCCCCTTATTAGATAAAAAAAATAAAAATCATGCACCAGTAATAATGCCAAATAAATCCTTTGCACACTTATACTATCCAAATTATGAACTTAGGCATATATCAAAAATGAGTTTAATGAAACATTTCTAACCTATTAATATATAGATTATAGTTTAGTAGTCGGTAAAGATTACAAAACCTGCAACCATGCACGGACTGTGCTTTGCATGACATCTTGGATTGTGAATAAGCGATCTCGAACTGCTTCTTGCTCCTCAATCATTTCTCTTGTACTCTTCACTACTCCTTCCAGCAATGCTCTTGTTGCATTGCCTCTCAACTGTTGAAGAAGTTCAAAAACAATCTCCTCTCGTGCATGGAGTGACCATTTCACTCTTATAACCTGCTAGGTCGTACAAAAAAATCAAGATACATGTGTAAAATTTGTGTACACAACTTACATAATTGCTACTTATGTACCAAAAAAGATTACATAATTACTAATTTTCACAGTACACAACTTAAATGACTAGAGCGACATAATCAACAAAGTTATATGATATGTAAAAGTTTCACTCTCCGCAGCATTTTGTATTTATTTAGGGTTTATGTACAAGAAAAATAACAAATTTTAAAATACATTTTGTATAAAAGAAAAGATATTGGAAAGACTGACATTCAGAGACACTATTTTATTTCAGAAGGCGGCTTTGACTTATGTAAGCAAGCATCATGAAATAACAGACAAACCAGTATTGAAACTTCAAACAATACTTGGGAATTAACTTCTAACTCATAAGAATTTTAAAAATACTAAGCTAAGTATTGGTCAGGGTTATAATTCTATTATGCATGGGCTGAACTACTCCCCCCTGACCAAGTTTAGCTGCTAACGAAATCAGTGTCACTAGGCCACATTTAAAGCAGCTGAAAACTTCACAATATAGCTTAATGATTTCATAATTGCTCTTTTTCTTTTCCCTCATCCTCTTTCTAGCACTTCACGCTACAAACAATTTAATGGAGGAAGAAAAAGGCCCATTTACTCTTGTTGTTATCTTCTCAGAAAAAGGAGCAAAATAAATGGACAGAAAAGGCACCAGGAGAAGAGTGTCATATTGCAACAATATGAACCACTAACTCATAAGCATGATGTTAGTTAATACTAGAATAATTTCTTATTTCTCAATGCAACAATACGGACCAAGTACTCACAAGCATGTTGTTAGTTAATGTAAAAATTAAGAATCACATCTGCCAAATAAAGTATTTTCCCTTTTGAATATAAAACTCTCCAGCATAATCAGCAACCATACCTGGGTTGATAGTCTTCTAATTTCCTGATTCAATATTATAGTGAATAGATGCAAATCCTCATGGTTCCTCCTGTCAAGAATGAAAAAGCATTGTGTATCTAAGTTACATAAAAAAAAAAAAACATATACCCCCCCTCCCCGATTACACTTCCTAAGTTCTTATATAATGATGGTCCAAGGTACATGCAATCACCTGTTCATAAACATCAATTCAACTTCATCTGCAGCCCCAAATATGTGTTTACGAAACAACCTGTAACATCACACGCATTAGCAATAAATAATTATGATGACAGTGCATATTAAATAGTGATCCCAGCTAAGTATGATTTTAGATCAATGAAGAATATGAAATAAATTATTCTTAAAGATCTGAAACTTTTATATTTCTCATGAAGAAAACTAATTAAACAACCGCAACAGATTTTATGAGTAGGAAATTGATTATTTTCAAAAAATACTGTTAACAATAAATTGAAGAGAGGAGGAAACAAAGAGTGAATTACAACCCAATTCGGTCTAGATATGAAACAAGCAAAAGACGTTAATAAATTCTGGAGCAAAAGCCATTAGGACCCTGCTAACCAATCTGATGCCCAAAAGAGCAGGATCTTTGGGGAAATTCTAACTTTCCTGAGTTCCTATGACCCAACCATTCACTTCTAACAGCAGTAAGAAGGAACAGAAAAGGGGATTTTATCTATCTCTGTTCAATTCTTTTTATTCATTCCATCAAGTCATGGGTTTTCTAAACCTAGTTTCACTCTTTATTCATGTCTTCTCAAGAGTGCAATGTGTGCCTTTCTATAGAAATAACTGGTTTTCTCTATTATTTTTTCTTGGATGGAAGTATAAAATAAATTAAGAATCAATACATCTACTAACTACAAGATTAATTGTTGAAGTTGTATAAATATGATGAAGACTTTCAGTATTTATAATCTTCACTTACATGAAGAGCACCAAAAATCCTTTTACTATCATAGATCATGAATTTACACCTTACATGCAACACGGTGGCTTGCATCATGCCACACGGTATGTTTCTTTTTAGCATATATTTCAGAGTTTAAGTTTAAATTTAATTACACCATTTCCAATAGATTCAATTAAGATTATGTTTATCTTTTATATGGGGTCCCTATAGAATTACCAGTGAAGAAAAACAAAAGTAAAATACTAATTAAAAAGGCAAAGAGTAAATTATACAAATAAACAGCAAAACCAATAAAAAATTTCCAAGTTGGTTACAAGATGTTAATAATATTAACCTATCATCCCAACGTGCAAGTCGACAAGCTAGGTGTGCTACAACTTCATGAATGCTGCGCGGTATGTTAGCACCTCCAGCAGCCAGCAGTTCCTGCAAAACATAGTTCAAGGCAAGATAAAAATAATAAAAGTTATGCTTCTAACAGAATAACTGTTTGAAAGAGGATCTGTATCTGTCTTCTGACTAATGAAAGAAAAAATGACTAACTGACCTGAACTTCTAAAATACCTAACACGTTGATGTTGGATGCAGAACCCTTAACATGCAAAGCAGTCACCAAAAAGTTTTGTGCCTGCCATGCTCGTAATACAATGGGAATGTCATCTTCTTCAGCAAATGGATCACCAGCAGACTGCCCTAGAAGTTCAAATAGCAATCCTCCAGCAGCTCGAACTGGAACCTATCAAAATAGACATTGATCAAAGCTTATTTTACAAAATTGAATGCCTTTTCATATGCAGTTTGAACCATTGATTTTACTGAAAAGCACAGCAACCAATGATCAGGCAGGACACAAGCAAATTGATTTTCTTCAAAAAAAAATAATTATTAGTAAATTTCACTCTCAAATATAACTAGTTTATTTACCTCATACAGAAGGTGCTTCATTCGATCGCTTATTAATCTACTTTCTTCTTGCAAAGCGATACTGATAGCAGGATGCAACCAGCGAGAGCTACCAAACCATGCAGTAACAAATGGATCAGCAGCATCCAAATGGCACCACCAAATGGGACCCACTGGCCGCTCCCAATAAGGAGTTGCCACATCTGCAACAGGAACATCACTCTCATCATCTGTGAAATCAAACGGCTGTAAAGCCCAACCAGCATCGCCATGCACAGCCTGGACAAGTTCACAAATTCTATCCCAACCAATTGGTCTCCAGTAACTCCTTGGAAGAGCCTCTTTGCCTTGAAAATGTGGTGGCTGGTAAACTTGGCCACTGCAACCATGGTCACTCAAACAATCAACATCCCCAACCCCATGTTCAGTTGGCAAAATCGATTCATGCAAGCTGTTTCCACTAGCCACTCTCCTCCCTAAGCAATCATTTTGATTACCCTGAAAACCCTTCTTCTTAGTCACCTCTCTAATTGCTGCTGCTGATTGCATTTTCCGAGATCCCCGGATGAACTCAAAAGCACAAATAAGTCCATTGTTCCAAAGTTCCCGGTTTTGCATGTTATCTCGGGCGATAGAAGAATGGATCTTCTTCGTTTCACCTCTTAGCAAAGGTGAATAATCTTCATTCACAGCTTGCATGTCACACTCAAGAAGAGGAACTAGAGCCTCGACTACCATTGATTAGACAATCAAAACTAATTTAAAGGCCATGAATGGCTGCATCATCACGAGAAATGAACAACGTAAACTTGGATAATGGATATAATGATTAATAACACAGAAATTAAAATCTGAAAAACTAGACAAAATCAACTAATATCAAGCACAATTTACAAGGTCTGCAAATAGCGATATTATTATGATTTGAATTACGATGGGAAGCACAAAAGGAGAACGATAAAACGACATGCAACGGAAGAGAGTACGTGATGAACGACGAGGACATTACTTGTCGTTTGATTGAGAAAAGGAGGAATACGATACGAGAAGCAGAGAAGCGAAGGCATTAATGGACCGACGCAGAGAGAAGAGAAGAAGACGAAGAGAACCGCTACGGTGCTGATGGTGACGTACTCAACCTCTTTCACGTAATGCCAACGTGCCACCAAAGCACAGCATATTTTGAAGACATATAGTCACACATATTTTAAAATTATAATTAATATATTTATGTATGAATTATTTTTTGGCGCAAGTTTTCTATCTAATCCATCTTTGGTCGTATTCCTTCAGGTAACATCAGCACCTCTTTTGCATGTTAATGTTTGATGTTTTCATGTTCCACCTATTTTATTTTTACTTGACTATGAAAATTATCTTTAGCTTTTGACCACTCATTATCCACACCACTTCTAATGTGCTAAAGATCATTTTCATAGTCACAATTAACCGTGAAATAAAATAGCATTAAACCATTAAAGTAGAACATCAAAATATTAAAGGTTAAAAAAGAAAAACCCATTTTACGTAGAACCTGAATCCGTTCCACAACACAATGTCTGCAAATACTACAGGAAATGCAATAACTATGATTCTGGGGTAGGACGTGATATCGTATCATCTATTTAAATTGTTGAGGGCCGTGCCACAAGGTTTTGTCCATTCGAACATAGCACACACATATATAGTCATTGCACATTGCTCAACAACTGTTTGTCTGAGGATGAATGAGTTTTTGTTATTTTTTCTAAAGTTGTTAATGTATTGATGACATAATCCAATGTTGTATTATTATTATTTCATCTAAGGTACCGTTGCTTCATTGGATTATTAGATTGAATCAAGACATTTGTTTAGAACAAGAAACACACGTTATGAAGAACGTGAGTGGCAACATGATTTTCAAGATTTGTCATCCAACCAACCACGTAAAACACATTGAAAATCATGATGTCACTCATGTTCTTCGAGAACCAAGGAAGGTACCCAAGAATGACAATAAAACATAGTTAGGATTAACGAGTGACCAAGTAATAATATTACTAAAGTTATATCAGTCATTTTAGTTTTGAAATTATAAATATTTAAAAATTTAGACTTAATTTGGATAAACTTTTAATAAATATTTATAAGAGTAAAAAATATTAAATAGTAATATATATAAAGAGGTCTTTGTAAATTAAAATTAATTTAGATTTTTTATACTTTTTATTTTTTAGGAGTTAGTCTCATTTTAATTTTTCTAAAAATTAAAAAGATATTCCCTTGTGCCGTTACAACAGTATAACTTTCGTTGAAGAAAATAAGAAACATGACCATTGACCACTCATGTATTACAATTGCATGTATTATGATTTCATGTATTATAAAATAATTCCTCATGAAAAAGAAAGGCGAGGAAGAGAAGAGAGAAATTTCATTGAATAATGTCTAATTCTGTTCTGTACATGACAGCCTGTCAGGTTCTGCAACTAAAGAATGACAGCTTTTGTAATATCAGTAACTCTCCAATGACTACAACAAAATTAATGAAAAAAATTCCCCGGCAACCTGGGCCTGGCTAGAAAATAAAGTAAGGTCTCAAGGATTTCGTGGCCTACGTAGATGTGGTTCATTGGATGATGGATCTTGAAAATCATGTTGTTGCCACTCATGTTCTTCAAAAACAGGGACCTGAGAACCATGTTCAGAATGTGAACGAGGAATTTGCTGGAAAGTGTTTCTTGGTCTAAACAAATTTGATCCAGCCCCATAATCCAATGAAGGATGTGTACCCTTGTCAGAAGAATGACAGTAAAACGTAATTATGTGATTGATGAAATAATAATAATACAACACACTGGATTATGAGCCAACGATCATTCTTAAGTAGTCATTTTTTCCCAATGTAATTAACAGTCAAATAAGTACACTATTGATCATCAATACATTAACAACTTTAGTTAAAAAACAAAAACATATTCATCCTCATATAAACAGTAAGCTTAAATGTTGAGAAATGAGCTTCCTAAGTTACATGAAGTTACCCCAAGGAATACGACAGAGAGAGATGGATTAAAGAGAAAACTTACGGGATTATAGGTGGAAGAGCCAGGATAGTTGGAAGAGCCAAAACTTCCATTAACTGCAGGAGGCAATCTATGTACAGGAGGAATTTCACTCCTATTTGGTGTATGGCCGTAGTTCGTGCCAGTTGAATATTGGTGATATGTACGTGCAATACTGCCAGGAAATGCTCTTCCATGAGGATTAGTATGGGCTAGGCCGTGATATCCTCTGGTGTCAGATAAGCCTTTGGCGGGCCGTGCCATAAGGTCTTGGAGAGATTCAACTCTCTGTGGAGGAGCAAAGGCACCGGGTGTCACAGGGTTCAACGGCTGGCAAGAATATCAATGACATAACTATTAGGTCCAGTTAATCAATATCATTAACAAGGCCCATTCAAACATAGCATACCCATACTCATTGAGATCACAATGGAATCACAAGCTTAGGGCAGTAAAAAACCAACTTCACCGAAAGCTCAATATGCAAGCCATAAGACAATTACATGTGCATTGACAATAAAGGCAAACAATATGGACAAAAAAAAAAGAGTAAACAAGCTGAAGAACTCGAATTTTTTGTATTAGAGTTACCACTTCCCCAGAGAGATTTCCGCTCTGCAAGCCTGGCCTCATCAACTGAGATCTTTTAAAACTAGGACCAGAAACAGATGGCATGGCTTTGTGTTTATCATGCCTTTCAAGCTCTTGCTTAGTTGATGAAAGAAAGTGCTCAATTCTTGCTTTAAGAAAATTATATCTAAATCGTTCATCGTCTTGGTTTATAGAACTTCTGCAGCTATAAAACAGGATGAAAATTAGTTTTAATAGACCACGCTATACCAAAAAACTCAATGAAAAAGATACCTTGCATCTAAGTATTGAGACAAAGAACCATCTAAAAATGCAGCCTCCTCTTTCAAGTCACCACTGAATGCAGACGATGCTGGTATTGCAGACGATGAAGAATTACTGCCACCACTGAATGCACTAAAACTCAAGGGTGGACACTCAGCTATTCTACGGTTATCTCCTGATGATTGTTCCTCCCTTAGTTCAAGGTCTCTAATATTTGACTGCCGAAAATCTGAATCAGCTGATGGCACGTCTACAAAGGCATCAATAGTCAACTTATTTGAATCATTTAAATAGAAGAATCGACTGATCTAATACTTTTTACAGATTCTATTTCAAGTAGATGACAAGTTTCCACAAACTTATGCACGGAAGTTTAGGATTATACTTAGCACCATTCAAACTAGTCAGCTTTAAAATTCCAGGTTCACTCCATTTTGTTTATAAAACCCTTTCTTGAGACGGATAAAGACAATTTAATAAAATCTATAACTAAGATGTGTCTTAGGAGGGATCAGCTGCATAAATCTCAAAGGCATGGATTGATGAGCTATTTTGCATTTAATAGTTCAGTTGAGGTGTTTGATGGTTTGCTATATATTATCATTCCTACTACTTGTGTAACCCTTTTTTTTTCTCCATAAAAATTTCTGTGATCCAGAAACAAAAGAAAGAGGTTACGAAAGAGCATTAAATCATGAAACTAATTAATTAATATAGAAATGAATTGAAGGCAAAATTCCAACTAATACAATGATGACGCAAAAATGAAAATTACAAGCAACAATGGTTTAAAGAACAATAGAAAAGTAATTCTAAATTTCAAACTACCGTTGCAGTGGTTACCTGTGCCATGCTCATGAGAACTATGAAAAATGGAGGAACCGATATTCCTTAAGTTAGAGTCAAAATGAGGTACAAGTTTGGTGCTGCTCATAGTTTGTGTATTAGATTTAGAAGCAAATTCCATTTTGTCTGAAATCACACTGCCACTGGCAACATCCACTTGGGAAACTGGGGCTGCATCTAATTGGCTGCTCCTGCTCAAACCAACTTCAGTATTTAAGCCTGGATGCTCAGATGTCTCATTAGCGGTTGATGATGCAGTTATGTTGAATCTTTGTGAATCTCCAGTTATTGGCTGTTCAGACTGACTTTGACATGGAGGATGATTTGAGCTTGACCCTGATTTTCCAGACTCATAAACTCCAGAGGTTTTAGCGTGGTTAAGTAAAACATCTTGAGCTTGCTTGCCGAATTTGACAATATTGGAGTAAGAGATTCCTGAAGAGACTTGGGCAGGCACTGATACGGATTCAGTTGTTCCTAGAGACTGTCTTCCACAATTAATACTAAAAGAATCTCTGCATCAATATTTTAAAAATGATCTAAGATGAATATTTGGATATGCTACTGACAAATAACTGCATATTGCAACATTCATACTGATACCATTGTGTCATCATAGTAGGACCGGCAAACAAAATCAAACAATGTTTTCATTTTCATGATCCACAAAATTGCATGAAAATTTCACCTATTCTTATTTCCTTCAATAACACAGTTTGTGTCAGAAGTAACTGAAGGAGTAGCTAACCCAAGATCTGCCATCTTGATGGCCTGATCAAGTTCTGACAAAAATTTCAAATATTTTAACAGTTAGAGGCAATGAAACAATAAAATCAGAATAGAAAAATTTTGAGCAATTAAAAGGATACCATTATAAAATGACTGCACAAGATCTTGTTCAGTCTGGGTTTGTGCAGCCAAAGCATTCTCCATCTAAATACAACAACAACAATGATAATAATAGGAATACAACAAATAACCAAAACTAAT